GATGTTTGCGTTCTTTGGGTGACAAAAAATGTGGAGCAAAATTTTGGGAAAGAAATTAAGGAATGGATGAGCGGGCATCCTAAGGACAAGGTGATAGTACATGATACTGCGATTTTAGGTCGTCCTAATGTGTCGCAAATGAGTGTTGACACTGCAAAGAAATGGGGCGCTGAAGTTGTGATCGTCACCAGCAATCCTGAAGGAAGTCGGGATGTCGTCAACGCTTGCAAAGCTGCAGGAATCCCTGCTTTTGGTCCAATCTGGGACTCGTAGAAACCAATCATTATGCAACTCATTATTTTACTCTTTTTTATGTAATTGTTGGTTAATTTGGTGCAACTGTCATTTGTGTTTCTGGGTTCAGCGTTAATTTCAAATGTAGTGGTGCATTTGAGCTGAAATTAATCAGAATCGTCAAAGACGATATTTCAGACTTTACCAAATGGGTGAAGCCTACAATAGATGTACCACATTACTTTTGTAACTCTTTGGAATATTTAATGATTTTACAATTTTTCTTTACCGCAAATACTTGTCCCAATGACATTTGACATGAGATCTTAGATTAATTCTGCAATAATTGATATAAAAGAAATCATTTATTCTATAAAAAAATATTAATTTGTACCAACAAACATTTGGTCCAAGTTATAAAATAATTGAGCATATTTAATCATAACCTGGGGTCAAACTTGAACATGAACATGCAACATTAATTAATATATTTATTAGGAATATTAATCCAAAAATATAAATCTTTTTTTAATCCCTCAATCTTTGTTTCATGTATATATATATATATATATATGTATATTTATCTTATTGATAGAATGACTCTATTATCCATGGTTCGATTAGGTACTATACATGATCTCATATGTTAATTTTCGATTGGATCAAAATACCCTAAAAGGCTGCAACATGGAATTAAAGTTACTTAAATTATCAATGATTTATCACACTTCATCTTGGTCTTGATCAATTTCATTCAGCTTGATTTGTTTACTTTTTGTTCCTTCGTTGCCTATCATGGTCTATAACTCTATATAGTACGTACACTAAATTTTATTTTTTTAAAAAAATTAGATAATCCAGCGAGAATTGATCCTCAACCTCCTAATAATAATCATCTCCCATCATAATGCCTTAATCACACCACCCAACCCTCTATACTGAATATATTGAGAGACGCCCAAATTTGAATCATAAAAAAAAATAAAAATAAATAAGGGAAAGTCTGTACTTAAAAAAATGAAAGCGAGAATTTTTTTTGGTAACCAAAAAGAAATTCTTAGCTTAATATCTTTCATATTCAAAAAATACTGCTCAAATATAGTCTTGATACATGAAGATTGACTTTGGTTAATTCTCTTTTTCTTTTAAGGAAAAAAAATCCTATTTTACTCATATGTTTCAAAAAAAATAGTCTATGTTGAATTTTGAAATTTATTTTATATTTAATACAAATATAAAAACTCAATATAAACTGTTTTTTATAGCTGCGGGAATATTTATGTATAAATCATGTGAGTTGAGATTCTTTTTTTTAAAAAAAAAATATGGAAGGCAAAGTCAAACTTCTGTTTGTTTGCCCATCAGCTTGGTTCTCTTAATTCTTAGCGGAAGGGGCAAAACCAAACTAAACCGCTTGTATACTGGAAGCTAAATGATACACTTGAAAAGTAGGAACATACAATATCTGTTTCAAAAGCAATCAATCTTAAGCAAACAGTTCCTCTGCTATCCTGTGTATGATGCAGTCATTATAGCTTAATTACCCAATATTTACTGATGAAACAAATAACTCATTTCATCTACGGATACACATGATTGTGGATTTGCTTATGCATGCTTGATTTTTTTTAATACATGTACATGACGTTTTTCTGCAATGAATATAAATAAGAAAAAAAAAGAGAGAGTAAGTTGAGGCTTTAATGTTTGAATTTCTTGTTTTTTAACCCATTCAATGAAAAATTAAATTTAACTGAGGCACCAACATCAACTAGTAAGTGTGTGCTGTATGTATTAGTCAAAGTTAGTTTGTCATGCAACTTTATTTGGTCTAGATCTTAAAAAACTAGCAAATAAGGTCATCATTTCTTTGAGAAATAATGTTTATATTCGTATTTAGTAAAGAATTAGTCCAATAAAAAAAAGCATTAATTGCTGCTATATATGGTGTGAGAAGGCCACGACAAATAATATTAAGCTCCTAGGTACACCTTGCAAAGTATACCTAGCAGTGCGTGTATATCACCCAAAGCCAAAAAAAAGTGGGCAATTTATCTTGATTTTTATGTTTTCACTCGCATCATTCAATCCCGCATTTAATCACTCAATTTTATCCCTTTTTTTTGGCATTTTATCCTTTTTTTTTGGCATTTAACCCCTTAATTTTATTTCCTTTTTTTAACACACGTTTAATTTTAAATCTTTTTTTTTTTGCTTATCATGTTAGCTTTTATATTATTTTATTTTATGAGATAACTTTTTTATAACGATGTATTTTATTTTGGTAAAATTGACTATGGTGAATCATTGAGACTTATGAATATGGAGAATCAATGTGTATTTTTTCAGTAATGAATAACCGACGTTTAGACAATGAATAATGTTATGCAATTATTAAAAGATGAATGATGATGAAGAAGTATTCGTTTTATTGGTGAATATACATGCGTAAGGTGATGCGTAATATATGATTACTGATGAACATGAATTTCATTGTTGTTTTTTGGCAGATGGTGTATCATCTTGTTAAGATTTTACGATGAGTATCTTATTTTAAGTAATGAATAACAAGTTATTATTAATGAATAACATATATTGTGCTTATTGGACGATGTTTCAACTCTGAGGAAGAGGCTTTTGCTACTTATAATATCAACGTTATGGACGTGATGAATAATGATATTCTTATAGTGATAACGTTATGGACGAATAAATTTAAATTTTGTAATGAATAACGATATTCACAAAGATGAATAACGATGCAAACTTGATGAATAATAATCTCATCCTAAATGAATAACAATATTGCAATCAAGAATAGTTATCGTTTTACAAGATGAATACTTGTACTTTAATGAATGAATAATATACGTTACTAGATGAATAACTTTGATAACAAAAATATATATATTACAATCGGTTAATATTAGCAACTAAACTAACAAACTTCTAATTATGTATTATACTAGATAAAAAATAAATAAAAAAACTAGTCATTGTTTTTAATATATAAGGTCTTGAAAGATTTGCCGATGTTTGATACACGTTTATGTTGATTGTTTGATTTCAACAACTCTGGCAAAATATTTAATTTCCGGCCGATCGACTTCATCTTGATGAGCATTTCTTTGCTGCTGATCAAACAAAAAGAACATTATAATAAGTGAGATTTCACATTCAATCAAAACTCTGTTAATCATCAATAACAATACTATTGAAGATGAATAATCATTATTGGACGATTTTTTAATTGTGTTAATTAATATCAACGTATCAGATATATCACAAAATTAATGAACAATTTTTTGTGAATTAATAAATAACTGTACATAGATGATGAATATACATTTTGACAATGACAAGATATCATGTACTTTTTTTCATATTATGAAATTGAAAAATTAATAATCATTGTCAATCCAATGAATATCATCCCTTCACGGATGAATAGCACAACAACACAATATAATAAATACCAAACACCAATCTGATGAAGACACAATATAATAAATACCAAACACCAATCTGATGAAGAAAATTAACGGATGCATAATACATAGTTATGATAAACGATAAATCTGACAATTTCAATAATGAATAGTTATACAAAATTGATGAATAATTATACATATCTAATGCATAGTACATAACTGGTTTTATGTTAGGTTCCTTGCCGACCCAATGAATAACATCCATTTGCAGACGAATATCCAAAAAAAAAAAAAACACAATCTGATGAATACTAAATACCAAACTGATGAAGAAAATTAATTAATGGATAATACATATTTATGGTCAGTGATGGATCTGGCAATATCAATAATGAATAACCATACTAGACTGATGAATAATATCCAGATCTACTAATTTACCAAACTGATAAATAATTATACCAAACTGATGAATAATACAAAGATCTAGTGATTTACCAAAAAACCAATCGTAAATAGTTATGATAAACGATGAATCCGACAATTTCAACAATGAATAATTATACCAAACTGATGAATAATATAAAGATCTACTAATTTACCAAAAAAAAAATACTACATAGTTATAGTAAATAATGAATCTGACAATTTTAACAATGAATAATTATACTAACCTGATGAATAATACACAAATCTACCAATTTACCAGAAAAACAACATCCAATCGAAAAACAAAACTCTAAAATTGATGAACAAACATCGTCAACCGAGTGAATATAACTTACATCTATGCACAAAACTGAAAATTAATGAACAAACATCTCAAATCGAGTGAAAATACCTTAGATCTACATAACCCAACCGTGAAAACACATCGATTGTTGAAAAAAATAGTAGTATTACCTCACTTCTTCTTCATCTTTTGATGTGCTCATACTCGGTTCAAATTCCTCAATCGCAGGCTTCTATATGAATACACTTAATTATCAATAAAATACCATAAGTTGGGGCTCCGTCCTTACTATATACCCTAAGTTCAAATTGTCTTTATTTAATACCAGAAGTTGAATTCTCTCTTTTCCGTCCATGAAACGTTTAAAAAGAAGACGGAGGCGTGCAAGTCACGTGACTATTATATAAGGTTAACGGAGGGGCATTTTTGCCTTTTAACATCTTAACCCACCCAGTCCCGTGGTCACGTGCCCCCCGTGCCTCCGAACCATGTGGGGCCCACTAGGCTACAGTCGGGGTAACACTTATTTCATTACCCCCTTTGACTCCCAACACTTTTATTTTTTTCCTTCTCGAGTCAAACTACAGTGAAAAAAAGGGGAGATGGGGAAAATTAGGGTTCAGGGTATCGAATCGAAAAGGTAAAAAAGGAAAACGAATGTGGGTAAAATAAAGGATTTTTGAGACTTGAATAGGTTTTAGGTTTGAGTTTGCTTGCTTGTTCATCTTAGGATATGGAGAGGAGTGGACTTCAATCCTCCGGATGAGTACGAACATGAAGTTCCTGGCTATGGTAAGTTTTCTATTCGTACATCTGAGTAGATCTCAGTAGATCTGGGTAGATCTGAGTATTTGGGTTTATTCCGACTCTAATTCTTTTATCGAGTTTCAGAACCTTCGTCTCTGTGCAGATTGATTTTTTTATTAAAAGTTTTATGGGATCCATGTGCCTTTTATGGAGATCTGGATGTCATAGGGAAAAAAAATGGTTCATGGGTTTCTGAAACTCCTCGTGTTAGTGTTTAAAATTTTTTGTTTTTTGGCTTTTCCTGAGAATCTGTTTAGAACATGTGTTTTTTAATGCATTTGTATTAGGGCTTAATTACAATCGCTTATGGGGATCAAAAAACAAAATGGAACGAAGTCTTTCTATTATGATGTCATAAGGTGACAGTACGATGACGTCATTGTGAACAGTGATGTCAACTTTTGATTTTGAAATTTGAATTTTGAATATCTGATTTAATCAGTTCTGGGGATATTTGAATTTTTAAATTCTGAATTTTGAAAAAAGTCCTGCTACGACGTCATCAGGTGACATGTACGATCTGACATGTACAATGACGTCACTTTGAACAGTGAAAGTCGACTGTCAAATGGCATGTTGAATTTGAAATTTGAATTTTGAATATCTGATATGAAGGCTGTAACAGCATAAAGTTAATTCATTTCTGTATGTAGTTAGGTTAGATTTAGTCCTTTTATTTGCTAGATAGTATATTACACAGTATATGGAATTTTTATTTGGTTTATCTTTTTGGTGCTACAGCTGATGGATTGAAGATGTTAACAGTGAAATTGCGGCATAGTGGTGGTTTTATTCTCCAGCGTGGTTACAAATATGTAGAGGGCGAGGCTGAGTATTTTGACGACGTGAATTACAAGTTGCTCACAGTTGAAGCTTTGTATAAGCTAATTGACAAGACTGGGTATTGTAGGCCACATAAATTGTTCTATCTTGTGCCAGATGATGTGGGCACTCTCAAGTTTACAAGGATTGAAGATGATGAAGATATCGGTAGACTAATTGAGATGAAGACTCCCCACGGGTTGGTGAAAGTTTTCAGGATAGCTTCAACTGAGTTTGATCCATTCTTGAAGAGTGTCCGGGTTGATAATGAGGTGGATAGTAATGAAGATGAGGACAATGAAGATGAAGACTATGTTGATAGTGAATTTGAGATGAGTGAAGATGTTGAATATTTTAGGAAATATGTCGATGAAAGGCTGGAATCGACTACATGGTGCTCATATAGAAGTGAATCAGAGTTTGTACGACATGAGAATGTTGGGGTGGGAACTGGTAGTGGGGAGAATGATAGTGATAATGATTGTAGGTCTTGTGATGATCTGCACAGCATAGCTGGAAGTGATGAAGATGATGATGGTGAATGCCATGAACAGAAAGACCTAGTGTTTGACCCAGAGAAAGACATGGGGAACCCAAAATTTCAGCTGCATCGGCAATTTGCAACCAAGTGGATTTTATTGGCAGCTCTAAGACAACATGGAATAAAGGACAGGAGAAAGATCAATTTTCAGAAAAATGATAAGTTTGTCAGAGGATACTGTGAGAATCACAATTGGGAGGTTTATGGAGTGAAAGTTGACGATGAAAAGGATCCTACATTTCAAATTAGGATAGTGAACACCAAGCACACTTGTGGAAGAGTCAACAGCAGCAGAAATGTGAACTCAGACATAGTTTCATATTGGTACGTTGCTGATTTTGCGGATGATCCTAACATCAGGGTGAGTCACCTGCAGTTTAGGGTTTTGAATGAGCATAGGCTGACTATTTCTCGGACACAAGCATGGAATGCAAAGAGAAAAGCTCTTGAAAAGGTTAGGGGGAAGATCACAGAACAATATGCAGATTTAGAGTGCTACATGGAAGAAGTTACAAGGGCTAACCCAGGGACCTCAATTCAGGTGATATGTGAGGATGATGATCCCAATAGGTTTCTTCGGATGTATGTTATTATGCAGCCAGCAAGAAAGGGTTCAAGGAAGGGTGTAGGAAAATCATCGGGGTTGATGGTACCTTTTTGAAGACTCAATGTAAGGGGCAGCTGCTGACGGCAGTAGGTTTCGACGCAAACAACAACATATTTCCAATAGCATTTGCAGCAGTTGAGACTGAAAATGAATCTAGCTGGACATGGTTTCTGTCTTGGCTTGTTGAAGATTTGGGTATCCGAAACACCCCAGAATGGGTTATCATTTCAGACCGTCAAAAGGTAATAGCTCATCTTGTTTAATTAAGTTGCACTTTTCTCTTATCTTTTGTAGAATATGCAGTCTTTAATTATATTGGTTTGTTTGTAAATGTGTGCGCTTACTCAGTTTGCTGTCTTTGCATGTGTTAGGGACTGACGAATGCTGTAAATCAAGTACTGAATAAAGTATTACATCGACATTGTGTCCAGCACTTGTGGAACAATTTCAAGAAGAAGTTCCATGGTTTGGATATGAAACAAAAGATGTTTGATATAGCCAAGGCCACAACAGAAATGGAGTTTCATAGGTTGATGGATGAACTGAAGGATTACAATGAAGGTGCATGGCAGTGGTTGAAGGAATTAGAACCTAGTTCCTGGTCAAGAGCCCACTTTCAGACTAGCACTGAATGTGACATGCTGGTCAACAATATTTGTGAGGGTTTTAATAGAGCCATATTAAAAGCAAAAAGGCTGCCCGTTATTGGTATGTTTGAATGGCTGCGACTGTATCTCATGAAAAGGAACAAGAAGAAGAGGGATTGGATCAATAAAAACTTTGTTGTTATTGATCCAAAGATTTTTAAAAAATTGGAGACCTACAAGGATAGAGCCACAGGATTTAGCTGCGAATATGATGGAAATGGGAAGTATGAGGTGAGGAATCATTTAGAACAGGTGTGTGTAGATCTGGATAATCAGACATGTGCCTGCGGGAAATGACAATTGACAGGTCTTCCTTGTCCACATGCAATCTGTGCAATCTGGGATAAGAATGATGTGGTAGAAAACTATGTGGGTGATTGCTATAAGAAGGACAAGTACCTGAAGGCATATGAACCCGTAATCTATCCAATCAATGGGCCTAAGTACTGGCCAAAGCGAATAGACCCTCCCATTTTGCCTCCACTTTTCAAAGTTCAACCTGGAAGGCCAAAGCATAGTAGAAACAAAGAAGCTGTTGTTACTCTTAAGACCAACAAAAAGGGTTCACTAAAAGCCAGCAGGAAGGTTGGTCCTGGCAAAAATAGATGTGGTTATTGCCGGGGTGAGCACAGTAAAAAAACGTGCCCTGATTTAGAAGAAGCTAGAAAGGCTGGGATCCCGCTGTCAACAATTAAACCAAAGGTGCGTAGGTTATTTTTCTTTTGAAAAGTAATAGAGATTTGGTTTTAACTTCTTTAGTTTTTTTTTTAATTTGTTCGTTGGTGATGTGATAGCCACCAGTGGATCCACCTCAGCCAAAAAAGAAAGGCAGGCCTCCGAAGGCTAAAATAACTACCAACAATGCCGAACCACGTGTTGGTCAAAAGAGGAGAAGGGGTCCGAAACCAATGCCAAACTCCTTCTGTGTATATTGCAAAGTCACAGGACACTTTGTATCAATCTGTCCAGCGTTAGAGAAGAGAAGAGAGAAAAATAAGGCAGCGGAGGCAAGACGGGTAACAACTCTTTTCAATCCTTACTGTTTTGAATGTTTTTTTTATGTTAGGGTTTACACCTATGTTTGAGATCAGTGATGTTTTTCCAAGTTTGATGATGATAGTGTTGTTGTTGCAGCTGCAGGAAATAAGAGATGCAGAAGCAAACATGGCTGCTGGAAGGCCACATGATGAGATATCGCCACTTTGAGAGTGTTGTGATCAATATGGCCACACAGCCGACACATGCGAAGTTATGGATTTTTGTAATTGGATGCAAGATAACAACATGGACACGGAGGGTGGTGGTGCTGGCCAAACTATTGGACCAGAAAACAGTAAACCAACAAATGACACAACTGCAGATGATATCATTTTGCTTGACAAGGTGATGTGAACAATGTTTCACCCTTTGTGTTCTATTACAACATCAGTTTAATATTATACATATATATATATATATACGTTTCATTTGTTTGCCTTCCAGGCGATATACACAACAAATGCTCCAGATGAAAGTCAATTTGATGATGATTTCCTACAGTTTGACGCAAATACCCCGTACTGTAGTTGGCACGATGCATTTGGCCATCATACTGACCATTGTTCTTAGAACTTTGTCAAGTGTAATTACTGCCTGCAATATGGTCACACTAAAGTGAATTGCCCATAATTTGAGGTAAATTCCTTAAATAGTCGGGGTTTATTATTTTTTAATATATATACATAAAAAAAATAAGGATTACAAATTAGAGTTTTGAATTTTTTTTCCCTTTTTTTCAGTCTGATCGCCGAAAAAAGTCCAAATCTGCTGCTGTTGAGGGACTTGGTGGGTCAGTTTGCACCAACTTAAACAGTGATTTTCATGCTGCTATTCATGGTATTATCAACAAACTCAGGCGGCCATAGGTTTGTTTATAGTATTTTCATACCTTCCTTTAATACTATTCTTCAAGAGTTTGATTTACTTTTGTTTTTTTTAACCTTAACTAACTTCCTTTTTGCTGCAGAATGATCCAATTGTGGAGGACACTCCAAATATTGACAACTTGCAACATACATTCAAAGTTTCGCAGGTACAAAGTAGTGGAGTTTATATAGTGTTTTGCTGTTAATGTTGGTGCAACCATGAAAAAAGGCATTGACTAAACTTCACTTGTTGTAGGCTATTAAAAGTTCTGAGCGATCTGCATCTGTTATGAAACTGGGGCGAATGGAACATGCAACTGGTGCGGGTGATTTGGGTCATCACCAAACAGGACAAACTGCAGCTGTTACTGCACAGGTACTGTAGTGCCATATTGGTTGTTCTGGTATTTTTTCCATTCAATTTATGTGCAATTGCTGAAGAACTCATGAATATGTTCCATCTACATGGTAGGTCATAGTCTCATCTGAGGAACCAGGTGTGTCTCACGCAATGAAGAAGAAAAAAAAGGCAAACAAAAACGTTTGTGCTCCCATTAAGAGAAGGTGCAGTGCCAGGTTGAAAGCTGCTCATGCTTTCAAGAAAAAGAATGATGGACTTGGAGAGACTGCGGCTGAGCCTGTTGTGTTGGATGACGAGTGCCCAGAACAAATAAAGAAGCCAAAATCTACCAAAGCCTGAGTCGTTTAGCATTTCACTAGTGTTTTTTCCTTTTATTTATTAGTACACTATCAAGTATGGTTGATCTTGGGACAATTAAGTATTTTGGTTAAGTATTCTATTTTGGATTTTGCACTTCCATTCTCCGAAACTGTCGTGTGGAGATGGTTGTTAAATATGGGTTGTATTTTGGACATGTTGGTTGCCATAATCAGGTTTAACCCTAATGAAATGCCAAATACATTTGTAGATTTCGAAGCCCTTGGTACTGTTAACTAAAAAAAAAAAATTCCTTCAAGTAATGTGGGAAGATGCACTTTTGTGTACATTTGTAAGTGGTTACATATATTCAAAACAGTTTGCCTTTTGATTCAGTGCAACACTTTTGGTAGATGATTGAGGCAATAAAAACAACACCAAAGTTTTGAAACGATTAGTTAATGTAATTGGATTACTCCAATTAGATGAAATACGAAACTTTAAAAATTTCATAAACCGATTTACTCGTACAATTCATCAAAACTCAAGAACATATAGTACATGATTTGAAGTACCAAATGCGAATTTCATTATCCAAATTTCAATAACAAACATAGTCGACAATTTTAACGAACAAAAGTAGACGGTTTTTATTAACGTAAAAACTAAACTTGATGACAACAACACACAACCGGCTAAAGACTAAACTCGACAATAACAACACACAACCGGCTAAGAACTAAACTCGACAATAAAAACACACTACCAACCAACCGATTTCACTGTACTAACAGAAACCTAACAAGTACATTCTAAACACAAATAATTCTGATTATAGTTACAACAATAACACCATCCACAAATAGATTCTCCTTCAAATATCTAAAACATTGAACACTAGTTTACCTTCTAAAAACAATAACCAACACCATTAGGAGAACCATCAAATTGATAATTGTCCCTGCAACAACAATTAAAAAAATGGCCTCCAATGTACTCTTGCATTTGCTGCATTCTGTCGAACCCTTCTTCAGTCTTGTGACAGCCTTTTCCCCAGAATCGTCTATCCCTTCACCATTCAACACAGCTCCATGTAAATCACCTCTATTCATGAACCTTCATCTTGCATAACGGGACACTGAACTCGATTCAATAAGGGTGTGATCCACCCACTTCAGGAACCCATGGTTGTGGCATCTATAATATAACCGCCCAGGATTGTCGTTGGACTTCGACGGGACCACATAAGCCTCCCCCTTACACTTGCTGCAAACAACATTCTCCAAAATCAAATTTCCCGACGATATACTACTGGACGACATGACCGGAATCTATGGAGGGAGGGGATTCGGATTGCAGCTCCGTGTCAGATCCACCCCAATTCCGCCAAAGCGCAACAATTACAATGGTGGTGGCTTGATTTTCTAATAGGATAAGAACAAAATTAGGGTTTTGTTTGTTTTCGATTCGACCTATGTTTACCAGAATCGAAAGATCGATCCGGTGCTTTCAAGAATTTTTTTTTTTTTCACTTGCGGGATTTCTGAGTTTCAAAGAAAGGTCGGGGATCTGGTGGCTGGTTTTGGATCGGGTGTTGGGTTGCTTTTAAAAAGACGGTCCACATGGTTGGGAGGCACGGGCGGGGCACGTGACCACGGGGCTGGGTGGGTTAAGATGTTAAAAGGCAAAAATGCCCCTCCGTTAACCTTATATAATAGTCACGTGACTTGCACGTCTCCGTCTTCTTTTTAAATGTTTCATGGACGGAAAAGAGAGAATTCAACTTCGGGTATTAAATAAAGACAATTTGAACTTAGGGTATATAGTAAGGACGGAGCCCCAACTTATGATATTTTATTGATAATTAAGTGATATGAATATTTCAGAAAATAAAAACGACATTATTAGAACTTGATAGATGCAATAAACACATAAAAATCGATGAATTAGACCATATATTACCTTAAATCTCAGTTGGAGTAGAGTAGATCGCAACCCAAATCGCTGAATTTGTTGCACAATATGATTTCCTCTTCGAAAGTATCACATCGGGGAGCTTTTTGTCGCCGTATCGCTTCGGGAATGGATATTTGTTTTTTCTAAAGTTTTGGTTTGAGACGTACTGGATTGAATCGAAAAGAAAGTTGGATAGGGTTAATGGTCGAAAATTAGGAGCAAATAGCGGATACCGTGATTTGAAAATCAAAAAGTCGCACATAATGGGGGTATTAATGGGCGCGTGTAAATACTTGGATGACATTGTTGTAAATATTGGGAGTTCTCATTTTTTTGGTCGTGTGAGTTTCACCTTAGGTACACCTAGTTATAATTGGAAGGCCACGAGGATGTCTTGAACATTTATTGGTTTATGAACATTTAGTGTCATCTCTTTTATTATATCCAAAAGAAAAAAAAATATTTTTTTTTTTGGTTATTGAGTTCAATCTCGTGATTGAAAACAAATTTGGTTGGAAGTTCAGACCCATAGAGATGTAATAGTTTGGTTTTTAAGTTCATGGCCCTTTCATTGTACAACCAAAACAAAAATAAAATAAAATAAAAAAAAAAACCTTGCTGCTGTAAAATTGCTTGCCCTGTTAAGATAAAACAAATTAAGGAGAATTTTTCGAGACATTTTTTTTTCCTTTGAAATAAGAGATACTTCGCCAAGTAATCAGAGAAGCTTTAGAGTAAGAAGCTCTAGCGTGTGCTACAATATTATCAACTCTGAGAACCCAGTAAAGAAATTTTCGAGACTAATTATATAAATTTGATATTAATATCAACAATTTATAATGGTATTACAAAAACTGTGTAGTAAGGCTTCACCATATGTTATCGGTGAAGTTTGAGATGACGTTGTCCCGGATCCAAGAGTTTATTTGTCGATTACATTGGAAGTCAAAATTGAAACTGAAAACCAAAATTACAAAAGGAATACATAATAATTGGGGAAAAAAAAAAGAGGTTAAATTAAGTTTACGTGATGAAGGAAATACCACTAAGAGTCCCAAATAGGGCCAAAAGCAGGGATTCCGGACGATTTGCAAGCATTGACGACATCCCGACTTCCTTCAGGATTGCTGGTAACGATGACAACTTCGGCACCCCATTTCTTGGCAGTATCCACACTCATTTGGCTCACGTTGGGACGACCAAGCACGGCCGTATCATGCACAATCACCTTATCCTTAGGATGCCCGCTCATCCATTCCTTAATTTCTTTCCCAAAATTTTGCTCCACATTTTTTGTTACCCAAAGAAAACAAACATTGGCCGAACACGGCTGTAATAGAAACGATAGAAACACGCAAATCCCTGACCCGGTTGCGACAACCAGGACCCGATCGTACATGTTTACCAAATAAGGAAGCCCCGCAAAGTGAACTTGCCTTACCCACAGATGGCTCGGACGGTCCGCAACTAACGACTTGGTAAAATCACCGACAGCACCGGCGAGCATCATGTGCTCATCCTTGTCGTCGGAAATGATTCCGAATGCGTGCCATTCCGAGAAGGGAGATGGGCTAATTCTTCCTAAGATTCCAGCTTTTACTCCGCCTCGGAATTTGATTAGGGCAGCATGTCCTGAAGGGGATGTGATGTTTACGGGGACGCGTCTTACTGTTATCCAGGGGATGATGATGAGCACGGTGATTCCCACCGTAAACCAGAACTCTTGTTGTTTGATCAATCTGTTGCCGATGTCGCTGGTGTATGATTTTGTTATGGGATCGTAAGAAATGGTGAGGAGGACAAAGGCCCAGAGGAGTGCCAGAGCTGACCATCCCGCGAAACGGTGGGTCCTCTCGAAGACGTTGTGATGGAGATGGCGAATGAGAGGAAATGCGGCCAATGATGACAAACATATAAGCGATAGGATGGCGGATGCGACGCCGATGATCTCAGGTGAGGTGTTTTCTCGGTATTTAAGGGTGAGGACTAATGCATAAGTGAGCCATGCAATGGATGAAATGCCACACCCACTGTGGATCCCACCGAGGGATTGCAGCAGTGAAGTGATCATAGTTTTGATCGGAATAGGCACCCAAGAGTGGCCGAACAGTTTAACTACCAACCAGAACACGACTCGAAGGCAAGCCTCGCTTCGACACAATGTCAGAGCGAAGATGTTGGCAATGGAAAACAATGCTGCATGATTTCTTGCATATGGGAAGTGGCCGGTGGCAGCAAGAACCAAGGCCGTAATGTTCAAAGTGATACAAACAACAAAAAGCCGTTTGTAAACCGTGAAAAGGCCTTGATCAAGCAGGATGACCGACAACCGGGAACCATGAGGTTTTGGTTTTGGTTGTTGTCGCTTACTGCCAGCTGGTGGAAGAGGAAGAGGGAGAGGATTCACTTTGAGCGGCAATTCGTCAACTTTCTTCTCATGAATATGTTCTTCATGAGTGCCTTCTTCAATGTTGGCCAAAGTAGTATCGTCATCATCTTCATCGTCAGTTTCAACATCACAGAAATGGCTGCTGGGCCTGCTCATGGACCTTGCGAAAAGGTTTCCACCTGGCCCTGCGGGGACAACTTTAGAGTTGCTTCCCCATGGTAGCCAGTATCTTTTGCTGGCAGAAGGGGCTTCAATGGCAAATGGATCTGCATGAGGTTTGATCTCAAAAGAGACTCCTCTGCAGCTCGAAAACCGTTCGATATTTTCAGAATGCATGTTTGATGTTTAGAAGTTTAGATAAAATGGGATGGCTACTTTTAGTTCCTACCAGATGGAAAGGGTATTGATTTATTTCGAAGATGGTGAAATAGGAAATCAAGTTTGGATGCTTAGAATGTTGGTGAGTTGAGTGGCCTTGGAAGTTGGTCAATTTATAAGCACTTCGAGAACTGGAGACCTGACTTTGTTTAGATTTTTCAATTTGGCTTCACAATATATGGATTAATTAGACTTTGTCAACAATACACGCTTCGACCCGAAGTCCATTATTCGATTCCTGACTTTAATTCAACTTTAATTTAAATGATATATAATATGATATTCACTCCTCCAAAGCTTATTTACTTTGTATAAAACAAAATCACATAACACTTTACTGCATATACGATTAATTTGATAACAAATAAATGATCATATAGAATTTAATTTATAATTAGTAAATGGCATATGAATAGAGATATAGTAAAAATAGCCTCAATCCATTAAAAAAAAATGTGTATCATTTCTTTTTTTTTTTTACAATATATGGGAAACCAAATGCTTAGATTCTTACATTCTGGGTATGCAACCCTATTATATCATGGTGTAGTCATGACCTAGCGCCCGATAACGGTGCTTCAAACCTCTGTAACCCGACCAGACAAAAAGTTGCTAGGAAAGGTAAATAATCAGCCACAAAATTTGCTTCTTGATACACATGATCAAACTCCATAATCCAATCACAATGCAACAATTCCCGAATCCCGTATACAATCCCGGGATGGACCCGAAAAATATCTTGTCACCTTTCGTCATAAGCAAAATGCTTGAATTATCCACAATTCATGTGTATTATTTTTCAGTAAGAACAGTATATTTTTAATGTTTCTCGTCTTATGAAAATAATTCACATTATTAAATTATAAATTATATTAGAAGTCATATAATTTTCAATTTATAACCTGAATTATTTTAGCTCATCTCAAAAACATATCTTATCGACTTCTATCACCGTATTAATTAAAAGGTCACTCCATTGCTAAGGAGATATCTTTTTTCTCCCCTCCAAAGTTACTTGCAAGTAAAGCCACATTTAAATCTGGATAAGGAAGATCTTGCGTTGTTTGTATCCCTACGCGACTAAACTTCAATAATTGTGGAACCCTAAATTATGAACAATAATGTTTGCGATAGTGATTGCACGAATTAATTCTTTCAGCACTTCTTCAATTATTGAAACTAAATCATCATCATATATATTGTTCGTTTTTTAAAATATATGGTTTAAACTGTTAAAATGAAACATATAAACAGACAAATTAATTTTTTTTGGTCGAAACAGACAAATTAATTTTGCAGTAAACTGTATGTTGGTTGACAACTGGATGTTGTTTCTGGGAGTGTAGGAGGTATTAATAATATCTTCTAATATCGCCTGTTGAGATTAGATAACAATCATGTTAGAACTAATGTCCTTGGTGTTTCATAGTGAAATTAAATTTTGAGCATTCTCGTTATGCCTAGAAAAATATCAACAAAATGAATGAAACTATTTTGCCGACAATGTCTAATATCAAGGTAAGCATATGTAGCAGACGCGATCTCTTAAGTTGTATGAATCCAAAAAAGAGGTGGCGCTGCAATTCAGGAACAAGAACGAGAAGACCTCTTGACCATGTAATCTGCCAGATCCAACTAGCAAATGGGTTTGAACAAATAATTAATGACCCTTTCTTTTTGTGTTTCTTTTTCAGATTTCCCACCTCCACCCCCAAAAAAAAAATTATTTCATTTCTCCTACCTATTGTAGTATACTTTTTTTACTAACAAATATTTAATTCAAATGGTAAAGATATCGAACCAATTTAGCTATTATTTGATTTCAATTCCAGATGTGAAAATACAATAATGAACAAATATCTTTTTGAAGAGTTTTGACTTCTTGAAATTGACCAATAACCTACTCAAATCTGAATTAATCAGATCAATTATTTCAAAAACTGAGTACGTAATATACCAATAAAATAATATAATATGTGTGGTTCTCAATTTTTAGGTTAAACTATTATATTCTCAAATAAAATAATATTGTGTGCCACTTTTGAAATAAAACTACATTAATTATACGTCGACGAAGCCTCAACAATCACTCACTAAATGTGACCAGTTGCTTATCTTCATGAATGATCCTAATTAGCCGAGATAAGCATGAAGATGCGGGAGAATTTTATGCATGTAGGTCTATATACAGTATGTTTGGAAGTGCCGATCATCTCATGTGTTTTGTGTTCAGCGCGCTTTGATTAGGTTTCTTTCTGAATCAATTAACGATAACACAAAAGCTCATCGTGCATGTGTGTTGTCAAGTTTTACGTACTCAAATCATTACGTTGGTCGAGGGTGATTATAATTTAGACTTTAGAGGGTTGAAACGCGGCTAAGTAATTCCAGTAGAACATTTCAACACATAAACCTATAATTAAATTATTAAGTGTAATTATTTTGTACATTTCATTTTGATTAATTGTATTTGTGTCAGAACGTATGGTCTTCAAATCAAACTCACATGATCCATCCTCTTTCTCACGTTTGGTGGGACTGAAATAAGTTGCGAACTTTCCCTGGTGCCGAAGACATTCTTCGAATTGATGAACATTTTTTTAGCCATCGAAACCATTGCTTCAAAAACAAATATACCAGTTTGAGATATTAAAAAATATCTCATCTATCTCAAAATTATTGTCCAGTTTAAGATTTACTTTTAGTATAATTTGATTAAAAATAAATTTTAAATCTAAACTGGACAATAATTCTGAGACGTGGGAAAAAATAAATATATGAAAATCAATAATAGTTTCACGGGAAGAATTTATATCCAACTTGAACCTTGAAAAACTTTCTTCATATTATGTAATCAATCAATGAAAACTTGGCTTTGTAAATTAAAAGCTTTGCTTATAAGTGTAAAAGGTAGAATTCAAAATTTCAGCAAAGTCCAATAGTGGAAAAAGTTTTTTTTGTTTTTTTTAGTTTTAGGGGAGGTTTCTCCAAGCTGCAAGTAGAAGTTAATTTAAATCAATCGTTCGTCAAACTTCTAACCGCTGACTTTGTTTTTTAGTTTAGCGGGGAGATGACGTGGAACTGCCACTGGGACAAGTCAAGGTTCCATTTTGCATTGACTTGACAAGTCAAGTCTAAATGTCTAATGATCTTCACCAGGAAAGCAAGTTACAGGAACTTTCATAATTATAACTTTTTTTTTTACAAATACAATTACGATTCAATCATAACGAACATGTATCCATTTCACCGTAACAGTAGCCCTACTCATAAATTTCATTCCCCTGAAAATGGAGTCTCGTTCGTATTTTTCACATTTGATAACTCGAAACTATTAAAGATATATATAAAAAATGTTAAAGAACCATGAATACAAACGTTTAGTTTTGAAAGAACCAAAAAAAAAAAAAAAAGAAGAAGAAATCTTGAACTAGATCCTGCAATAGTATATTGAAATTCTTATAAAATTTTAAATACCAAAATTTCGTTATTAACAACTTACAAAGTGTGTTGTATATGCTTATTCTCGAAAAGATTCCACTCTAAAGTAGATATTTCTCTAAATGGTTACCAAAAGAAGAAGAAAAAAAAAAAAAAGAATTAGGCCACCCCAAAACAACACACTATTCATCCTATACTTTGAGTTGATTGCTCATCCTTACAACCTTCACGAAGGAAACAAGTTTTTAGTCAATTTTCGGGATTATTGTGGATAAACAAAAAAAGATAGCCAATGCAAACAAGTGAAGGATTCGAATCAAAAACAAAGTTTGTCATATTATTTATTTTGAGGGTAACTTTGAAAGCTGAATTTCTGATCACAAAAGGATATGTTGAAAATAAACAGGCCTACATTGAGAATGCGACAGAGCGCAATACTCAAAACTTACAATAATATTAACACGCTCAAAGGGTGAAACGAAAACTTAGTAAAAGATGGGGAAAAATAACATACAATGCATAAAACTTGATGGTTCTGATAAATGAAATAAGAGTCGTGATATAGATAAAGGAGGTCATGATTGAATTTGGTGGAGAGTAATTATAATAAGAAAAAGAAACACAAAATAGCACATACAAATAAAAATATTATGTTAACTTCCATACATATCATATCAGCTATTTCATCGTTCATCTTACATATCCGTCCAATAAAAATAATTTACATTAATTATAACTTATAATTTATAATGTTTCTATTAGTATAATTTATAATGTGAACAATAACAATACTAAATACAATGTATAATGTGGATTATTTTTATGAGACAAAAAATACAATCTTATTCATAAAACAAACTAGTATTAGTGAATATCATCCCCCATCTCCCTCATGCCCAAATGATCTAATGTTCTAATGGTTACATTATCATTAGCATATATATAAAAATTGAGGCTGAATTATTAACTGAATCATATAGCCGTGACTACCGTGTCATTCGCCAACCACCAAGGCTAATTATGGCGTAATATTCAGGAACATTATTACTACGATGGAAGACTTGTTAGTTCACGTGTTTCAACATTTCAATCGCAATACCTCAAGACTCATAATTTGTCTCTGCTAGAACTTGTCCATTAGTCACAAATTTGGCCTTTCAACTTTCCTGGGCCAATGATATGCCGAGTGAGGAAAAGCGAAGAAGAAATATTGGCAGAATTTTATTTTAATTGTAGGAAAAAAAGAAGAAGAAATAAACTGCTGGATGAATCTATTTCTTTTCTTTTCTATAATGAAAATCTATGGGATTTTACAGCAGAAAGTATGTTTACATCCCATTTCGTGCAATAATTACGGACTCTTACGAAGGTTATACATCAACAATGTATATATATGTGTGTGATGCAAAACACAAACAAAAATAGACAAAACTCAAAGTACTTCATCCCTTTTAAAAAATTATCATCTTATTTGTAATATTCTTTTTGTCCAAAAAAAAATAATTTATTTTGATTTTTAAAAATTTGTACTAAAAACAATAAAAATATCAAATAATGTGGATTTTTTTTTTTAGGACAGAAAGAGTACTATAATATTTTTAAAAACATGAGTTTTCACTATTAGAAAATAGAAACTTTAATCTATACTCCCAGGAGATGGCTAAGTCCTACATTGTTTGATTCAATAATAATATAAAATAAAAGGAGAAAAAAACTATTGTTCTTAGCTCCCAAGGTATGTGATTGGTATAGCTTCTTGTGATTGTTTCCTTTATAAAACTTTTTGACCAGGTAGTAACAATCCTTTTTCCCACTTTGAGGAAGACCGCGGTACACTATTTGACCCTTTTTTGTATAAATTCATGAATCTGTACTAAAGGTGGCAAAAATAACTTTAAGTCTAATTCATAATATAGTATGCGAAAAATTAAACAGCCGGGATGATCAAACAGGCACTTCCAAACTCGTGACATGTTCTTATATATGTTCCTTGGGGACTGGTCATTTTGGGACATATATGCAGCACTTTTGACTTTTGAATCTGTTAACTTCTGAGAAAATATTACAATTTTTAAAGAAAATAAAGCAAACAATGAAGAAGAAGAAAACGAAGACGAAAGTTTCATGGACAAATCACATGTGAAAAAATTCTTAATCCGTTAGCAGAGTTAGGGAAAAAAAAGAATTACTTCTTAAAATAAATTTTGGTATAAATCTTAAAATTCAATATAAAACGCTTTCTAGAGAGAGAGGGAGTAATAGATGTAGAAACAAAAAAAGAGAAGGAAAAGGCGTTAGAGAGTTATACATATGGTTTGAAAGATCACAAAGTAGCCAGAAGCGCTCCGTGTAGATTGTAGAGTTTCTAATACTACTTCTTTTAGAATGAATCTAATTATTAGGTAGAATGTTTATGTGATTTGTGTTCAAGTTTAAAATATTGATATTCAATACTCCCTCTGTTTCGAAACTATCATCAAGTTTGAATTTTTATTTTTAATACAAATTAAACTAAAAGTAAAAACATAAACTGGATAATAATTTTGAGACGGAAGGAGTATCATTAATAAATTCCTCCCTTTTTGTGTCTTAATTCTTTTGCTTTACTACCATATTGTAAGGGTCCTTTGTCACTCTAATCCACATTAGACAATTTGTATTCTCCTTCCTACCAAATAAAAATGATCAATTGGAGAAGTTAGGGGTTGAACTAAAATAATTGATGATATTTCAGTTGGAAGTTCTTTTACAGCTTCAAAAAGGAGGGATCAACGGTTAAACTACAATATTACCAACTTCTTCTCTCCAAAAATATTGCCATCATGAGACGCGGGGATGTACTGATTGGTCAATAAGATTTCCAGAAGTACAATAGAAAAGTACATGCATGAGCTCGGGAAAGTATTTCGTTTTCGTTGACGGAACTTGATCAACTCAATTATTGACTTGAAATTCAATCGTATACTCTTTATATCCCAAAATTATACGAGAGATTTCTATCTCATAACAATAATTAATACCAAAATACAAAATTCAAAATTTAATGTGAATTATTTTTTTGAAATAGAAAAAAAATATTAAATATCGTAAACTATATTAGTTTTGTACAACTTACATTTACAATATGAATCATTTTTGTAAAATAAAGGGAGTAAAAATACATTGATTGAACTGGACAAGGTGACTTTTCGAAGGTACAAAAATAGATATAGAGAGAACGACTGCGGATGCCAAATTCGGGCTGGATAAATTATTTTTTTGCATCAGCCTCTGTAATTGAACGGGCGGAGAAATGAATTAATTGTTTATATCCAAATTTTAATTTAATATAATTTATAATAAAAAAGATAACATTTTAAATTGTAAAAATCATTTCAGAACCAAAAAAAAAAACACTATTTAGAACGAAAACGACTAGAAAAGGTGTTTTAATCGCATTAGGATTAGCTTTTTGTAAATGTATTAACCATTTTTAACCCTTGAAACGGGATAAAAATCAAGTTATTAGGAGTTACGTGTGTGGAAAAGGCTTATGTTGGACAATTTCCAATGATCCTGGGATGCAATAACAAATGGGTTATGACTAGTGTGCCCATTTCAACTGTGGGCCACTTATACAAATGGGTTTAGACCCGGGACGTTGATCTTACATGTAATAGCCCACTGTTGAGAAACAGGCTTGGCCTGCAAGTATATTAGTTGCTGTATCCTACTGATAATGAGATGTATATTTTGGCAATTGAGGTGCCCCGATTCAACGAGTAGACATTGTGTACAAATGCGAAAAAAGAAAAAGAATGTTAGAATTGGTCAGTTTAGACTCGAAATTCAACCAAACGTATACATTATAGATAGCTTAATTATAGCACAAATAAGAAGGGAGCTACGGCCTGACGATGTGATGGGACAAGATTTTTATATTTCTAATTTAACATACTTTGTCTTGCTTATTGGCACTTTCAAGGGTTTGTTATGGCTAACCCACTAATGAATGCCTAAGGTGGTTTACCTTTCACTGTGGCTTGTAGGCTATTACAGTGGGCATGGGTTTACCCATCTCTGGTGGGGTTCTCGGCGTTATAAAAAAAAATGAAATCTTGAATTCTAGGGGTTTATAAGCAAAAAACAAAAACTTAAATTCCAGGGGGTTATAAGCAAAAAGAAAAAAATTATTTTCGTGAATTCGACTAAGGGCATGTTTGATAATACTATCTATTGCTTAAAATTATACCATTAGATATTTTTTGATTTCATCATCTTTGATAATAAAAACAGAACATCTTAATTCATTAAGTAGTGCGGACTGCAGTACAAGATATAAGCAACAAAAATTAACTTATTACTTATTTCGTTATTGTTTAATGAATAAAGTATTAAACATTCGAATTAATCACTAATTTTTATCAAGGCCATCATGTCTTGATTTTGTCACAGCGGTGTTTAGTCGTGTAAGGTTTCTACTTTATCGGGGGAAAATTAATTTGATGGAAATTTGAAACACAATCCAAACTTAATTGTAAAGTTAGTACTCTCTTTGTTAAAAAAAAAATGTGTTAAACTAAAACAATATAGCAAAACGAACTATTTTCTTGTGAGACATGAAAATACTAATCATCGAATATTCTTATTGTGTTCTTGGAACTTACGTGGGCTTTATTATTGAAAGCATTTCCATCAACTGTTAAATAAACTGTTATGTACCTTAATTAAATAATAATCATGCTTATATCCAATCAATAACATTTTTCTTAAAAAGCAATACTACATTTGGAGTAACTGCTAAAGTTCCAGTTTTAACAATTCAAGGAACAACTTCTGTACTATGATTTTATTTATTTATTTTTGGTACTAAGAGGGGCTACGATTTTGACAATGTACCAAACTCTACTTCAAGTGTAAAACTCTACATTTGTCCACCACATAACTTTAACGACACGAAGGGAAAAAAAAATGAAAAAGAAAAAACAAGGAATATCACATCCCTATATCAAATACAGGAAGAATGGCAAATTAAAGTTTTTCATTTATTTTTATTTTCGTTAAAAAAAAAATAGTGCATCTTAGATCAAACTGTTTAGAATTACACATATGAAAAAAACCCAAATTTCTTGTACAAAATACTCTTCCGTCCCAAAATTAAAATTGAACCTAAAAATTCAAACTGGACAATAATTTTTAGGCGGAGAGAGTACTAAAATTTATATAACAAATCTGATACAATGACCATCATCATCATCATCATTAATATAATTATTACTCGTTTTAGTTTAGAAAAAATCATCATCTTCATGGTCTTCCAGCTTCCAAGATCCATCCGCCTGTTGAACCATTCCTTTATGCTGCAAACACCACCAAGAAACCGGCACACCGTGTTCATCTTTCAACACATCCAAACGCTTATTCACAAGTGCAATATCTCTATTCACCGCAAGCTTAAAATCTCCATGACTTCCTTGCGTTCCCGCCACTCCATGCATGTAACATTCCAAATTGTGCCAAGTTGACAAATTCCCGGGGACTTTCAAATACATTGATTTAGTGGTGTCAATTCCTAATTCCACACCAACATCATCATACAACCCTTTTAAAGGGTAGTTTGGGACGATATCAAGGGCGTTACGGATTCGCAGGACTCGAAGTTCTGGATGGCGAGATGCGGTGTGGTGAAAGACCGGATCCCCGACTCGAGGGGAGGCGAAAACAATGGCCGTGACCGGAAAACTTTTCAGTGGGTTCGATTCAGGTTTATTGTAACCGTTTGTGACTATGTCGACGGCGTTTAGTGTAGCCACGGCGGCGCCCAAGCTGTGGCCTGTCACGGTTATACTGATCTCCTCGTTCTTGTATAGTTCAACCAGTCTCCTTATTTCACTTAGAACCTGAAAAAATCGCATAGTTTTAGTAGATAAATGAATAGGGTTTTGTTGCGATACATTTTTGTGTGAAAACATTTCTGTTAACTTAGCAACGAATTTACAGTTTGACACTAGCCTAGCTAGAAGAACAGTAATTAGACTAAACAGATTCTTCGTTTTTATACCAAATTAAATTTCACGAACAATTAATTAAATTTACTGATTGAAACTCAAAAGGATGTCCCTACAAATCATCTTTCATCTTGTTTTGGTTATAGGAATTCTGTCAAGAACAATTTTGTGACGAATTCACATTCCTTGATGATATGATTTTTTATTATTATTTAATTTTAAACAGAAATTCGACAACCAACAAGACAACAACAACAATTCAGACTTTCCATAATTGAAACAATCAATCAAGGAGCCCAAAATTAATCATTTTCCATCTCTTCTTGGTCGGTAAGAACATATAAACAAACGAACCTTATCTCAAAGAATTAATTCAAAAGGGGTATTTAAAAATAAATAAATCTTTTTTTATTAATTCTAATTACCTGGTCTCTAGCGCTGGTCTTGTTAAAGGGTGATCTAGAATCATCGGATGTATAGATGGAGTACCAGCCCTGATGAACTTTGGGGGCAAGATTATGCCCGAAAATCTTAGGAGCCGAAACCAACAAAAACTGAAGATCATTAACCCATTCCAAAGTCCGAATGGTGCCCCTCCAAGCAACCACAATATCCCTTCTCCCCAACGCAAGTTTCCCTTCATCCGTCGCCACCGCAACGTACCCCATCCAATTCGATTCTTTGCTCCACGCTTCCCTCGACAGCGACTTCAAGATGAACGCGTCGGGAAGCGGGATCGACGACGTCGCGTAGAAGTACCTCGTCACGCTGTACTTGAAAGGGTTGCCGACGTCGATCCCGACTTTGGCGAATAGATCTTTCTTTGCGAAGATGCTGCTTCCGGCATACTTGGATGCTTTGTCGGAATTGAATGTGTCGTAAGTTGCCTGCGCCATTTGGCCGTAGTGGATTATGTGTCGACGGAGATCGTAATCCAATGGATCCAACAATCCTTTCCAGTTGTTGTTGCCGCTGAGCTGCTTCCATTTCTTGGCTATCCCATTAACTTCATTGTTGATTTCTTCTTCCTTGTTATCCATTGCCGTAGTTTTTTCGTTCAAGCAATCACAAATATTCCCCATACAGATATATACCTCTAATATATATAGTATATATACCAACTTGGTCAAGTAATTTTGAGATTTTCAATTCGTTGAATAAGGACAATGTATATATAGGTGATGATCTGTTGGAACACGACCTCCTTCCCACAACTTTCCATTAGTTTTATCTTTCTTATGATAATAATTTAATTAAGCATAAACAGTGGGTTATGTATTCTGTATAAGTTATATTGGCGCCTGATTCTTTAGTTACAACTTACAAAATAAGAAAATGTGCATTATCCAAATTGTGGTTTAATCAAGAATATTATCTGTCGAAGTCAATCACAATTTTATATTGACTTGGTATTTCAGTCTACGTTCATATCTTATCTCAAGTAAATGTCTAGCCGTGTTAAAATCTTTTTTAAAAAAAAAAAAAAAAATTAAATGTGCAACAAAAACGTAGTTTAGATCACTACTAAAGACCTAGCTATGACCTGATAATTAACCAGATTGTTTTTAACTGGGACAACGTTTAGAATTTCAGAAACTAAGTTCATATTTCTTCCTAAATGAAGATTCCAATTCGACTTCTCAGCCCTTTTTTTTTTTTTAGTGTAATTGTATTTTTTCTCCATTTTAGTACTTCGATCGATTTGAAATGATCCCGTGGGTGTGAATTCGTCATAAAAATCTGTGTCGCCTGAATTTTACATCTGAATCATGTTTAGTCTTTTTTTTATTCTTTGAAATTTAGCCACTGTTGAGAAATTTAACCAACTCAATTAATAATAGTTCGAAGTAGTATCAAAGAATACATTGGTTCGTTTCAAAATGAGTATTTCATTTGTTCACTATCCTTTATTATAAGAGGTCTTTTTCCAGATACTACTTTTTATAAGTGTTTTATTCGTTGAAATCTTGTATAACTGGACGGGATATATAAGAAATAATTTGGGAGATGATTCATTTAAGTATTTTCATTCTTCGTCCTAATCCGTTTAAATGACTAGCATGCACGTCAGCAATACTATTCAAGTGTTAATTATAAGACTTTCTCTTTCTTTTTTTTTTCTTTTATAATGCGTATACAAGTGTTATTAATTTAAAACTGAAGAGGAATTTGAGGAGGTTTTCGATAGTCCTTCACATTTGTCACTAATTATCTTTGAAAATTCAAAACATTTTCTTTATAAATAATCTGTACCATGCATCTCAATAAGGTCATACAGAAAATGTATCAAACAACCTTTTTTCCTTGGTGCAATGTTTATCGTCAGCCTCCATATAGTGAAGATACCATATCCAAACGTGTTATTTTAGGCAAACGACTAATCTTTATACATATAGCTAAATAATTAAGTTTCAATATTCGCCTACAGAATTTATTAATTTTATTTATTTATGGTTCTTCTCTTTCTTTCATACCTCGTCCAATTTTCCCAGTTGGGCAAGTAACATACGCGAACAAGCGTATAGAAAGGAACAAAATATACAGTGATGTCTGCAATTTCATCGTCTTGATAAGGACACTTAAATATTCGTACCATTTAAAGATATATAGATGAACCAAGTCTTCAATTTTCTCCAGTGCTTCAAACCTTAGCTAAGATCAGTAAGTCTTTGCTTTTAAGGTACGTACGAACTGCGCAAGAAACAGGGAAAGATGCTTCCAAGGTTCGTTCATAGAGGCTTTGTCAATGAAGTACACCGACTTCATCATTAATTGTGAATTTTTAAGTGTTAGATTTCGCTATATGTATACTTTGATAATGACTTGGTGATTATATAAAACCACTCCAGAATCTCCCATATTAAGTGATCATTTCCTTCGTCTCGTTTAAATAATTAACTTTGCTTCTTGGTAGAATAATCTAAAAAATATAATTCATTTTAGCTTTTATCCTTTGAACCATGATTTTTTTTCGCATTTCATAGCGTGATCTTACCTTATCTGTCTTAGAGTTTTATGATCATGACATTGCAAAGATTTCAATTCCTAGTTTAGTCTTTGATAATTTAGGGTTTTGAATCTTCTATATACAGTATACCAATCTATGTATCGAAAAAGAATTAAATAAATAAAAAATAATCCACATCGAGTTTTGAAATTTATATTAAATAATTACTACAAATTTTAAAATTCGGTGAGAATTATTTTTTAATTTTTTAATTTTTAGAACGAATGTAGTACAACTTCTCATCATGCAATTAAATTTGTGTAACAGTCGTGATAATTTGAAAGTGATGTGATAATGTCAATGATCTCTCTTATCATGGGGCAAAATTTTATCATCTAGCTGTGGTCTTTTCATATGCGTTTGGACCAAAAATGAGGCCCGTCACATTGATTGGGTTGGGCCACAATATTTGGGTTAAGATGCCAAGAAAATATGAACATTTGTTAGAAGCTACTTCTCGGGACTCGGGAGTCACCATTTTAATTTTTATTTTGAGACTGTAAGTTACCATTAACATGGCGTATGTTACATGGAGGCGAGTAAATATATTGTTTTCTGTTTTAATTTTCATAATTATCCAATACATATTACTCACTTAACCGTAGACTCACTGTAAGAAGAAGAAAAAGAAGCGGAAAAAAGAAAAGAAGACTGCAGTATTTCTTAATCAACTGCCAGGAATAGAAAATGCGCGTCATTTTTTTCCATTCATGGCATTAATTTTATGGTCCAGAAACAAGCACATGACCTAGATAAATATGGCCTAGATGATTACTTTAGGTTACTTTAGGTATTCTCCTGTCTAAAAATAAGATTATGATGTCAAATGAATTGTTTTAGTGTAGGATAAGTATGATTATTATTATTCTTTTCAATGAAGGAGGTTATAACTTAAATAACTTAAAAATAAGAAGAAAACTACTCCGGTGATTTTCTTTTAGATGAAAAAAACAACATAAGAAAAGAGATATTACCTCCGTCACAAAAAAAAATAGTTCACATTGAATTTTCAAATTTGCACTAAAAATAATACAAAATTCAAAACTCAATGTGAACTATTTTTGTGGGAAGTAAGAATAATATTTACTTTCTCGAGCTCTTCGTAATGAAGTCTCCTCTCTCTTTCAAAAGGAAACTCCTAAAAAAATAAGCATGAAGATACAAAAAGGGCATTAATCCGTTTTCCTTTATTCAATTAGGCCCCCAAAAAACTTTATCCTCTAGGCATTTTCTCTTAAATGTATACTTCCATAAGAAAACAACAAAACAAGATGCAATAGGATACAAAATCTTTGAGTGAGGAAGGAAGATGGGCTAAATTTGATAATGGTCACGATTTGCCAGGCTATTCATCTCGGATTTGAAAGTGATGTATCATCTATTTTTCCTATCTTAATTCTCAGTGTGTAATCTCATCATCTTCCCCATTCCATGTCGAATTTAACTTCCTCACCTAAATCTTTGGTGATAAATGTAAGTACTCAATCAACCAGTCCCAAAATAATGATTAAAGAAACAGCTTCTTTTTATTAATTAATTGGAAAAAAATTACCTAAGAGTAAAAATATCAAAAATGATTTTATTCATTGTGGATTTGCTCCGCTAATACCTATGTAACGTTTTTCTTGCTCCGTCAAAATGTGGAAAAACGACAGTGAATAAGACAAATATTGCTACCAGACTGTGATGTCAACTGAAACGGAGTTCAATTTTAAAATAACACATATATATGTATTTGATAAGTTCAGTAGGATTTAATACTCCATCGGTCACAGACTCACAGGAGAACGTTACCAAATTTGAAATGCTTATGCCCATCATGATGAATTTGTCCTTGGGTGTGTTGATTCACCTACTATATTTTAAAAATTTGACTCAGGTTATTATTATACTGGTAGAACTTAATTTGCACAATAACTATAACCGAACTTGTAAACTAGTATAATGACCAAATAATTTTACACGCATTATTTAAGCCTTGAAAAAAAGGTTGGTTGTGATTATTAGCCATTATATTTTTCTTCACTGAATCGTTGAACCATACAATTCATTGCACCAATGAGTTCATTTATAATGTAACATTGAAAGCCTTTATTGATTGAAAAAAAAAAAAACTCCAAACTGGACAATAACTTCGGGACGGAAAAAGTATTAAAGAACACGGAATATATTGTGACTTTATATATTCTCGTCTTAATTCAAATTTATGAAGTGTGAAATTTATTCATTACTAGCATTTGCATCGTTTTACGCCACAAAAAAATGCAGTGACACACTAGTAAAGACTCATAATTAGAATTCAACCTTGAGTCAAATGTAAGTCAAACACTTTGGACCTTAACAATACTCCTGAATTTTAAAGTTTAAACCATCTACCCACCAAAATTTCACGAGGACATACAAAGTAACCTCTCTCGTGAATCTAATTTTTGTTAAAAAAGCCGACCGTTGGAATTGGAAATCCCTTTTCACTTTTCTAAATTTCAACTCTGCCCCCGGATCTGAAGTTTTTTCCTATTTTATACCCCCGCAGACCTACTCACCATATTTTAGCTTCCGTACAATTTCCACTCTCAACTTGAGGACGTGACATTCGACTCCCATTAACAACAACCCTTTTGTTCCTCAATTTCAATCTTAATGACTTATTTGGACTGGTTACTTGTAGGGTACATCAATTACCTTATCAAACTAGCATATTAATATTTTTTTTCGTGACGAGAGTTGATTTTCATTCTATTGAATTGTAAGTTAGGTATAATCTAAACTTTTCTCAAAAGATCTATACAAAAATATTAACTTGCTGCAACTATATGTTAATACATATTAGCAACAAATTACTATTCATTTGAATTGGGGAGATTTCATCAAATCACACTCTTGTCTGTTCTTACAAGTATTCTTCATTTAACTATTTGGACAAGATTCATCTTCAAGAAGAAGGAAATTCTAAGGACATTTCTACTTCAGATACTCTCTTTTTTTGGGCAAAAAATAACATGCACGATTTCTCGCCTCTCAAATGTAGTAAATCATGGCTACTACCACTCATTTAGTTATTCCATCTTTTTTATAGAGTTTAAGCCATATATATTCTTAACACCCCTTCTCTAAAGGATGACAAGTTTAGCGACAATAACTCTGCACCAAATAAATCCATGACTTTGGTAATGATCTATATACAAAATAAACATTTAAAGAAAATAATAAGCTCCACATTTTTCTCCTCCTTCGTACATATATAGGATACCTATTGTAATTGTGTATCATATTTGAAAATTTTAGCTGTTGTCTTCAATTTTTCAAGAGAATCCAACTAAATAATCTTACATGTTCTCAACATAAAGCAATATGAAAATGGAAAATGATATGTATAGTGAAAAAAATGTTAAAAATAATAGTAAATGATGTGGAGTATTATTGGTCCCTAGTTTTTTGCCATTTTCCCGTTAAAATTTTATTTTTAACTAATAAGTGCACATATTTAGTCATGATGGTATATTTGTCTTTTCATTAGTCACTATTTCATTTCACTATAATTTGTCACTATCTCTATCATTGCTCTATGAAAATAATGTGAAATATCGTGATATGAGAAGAGAAATTGATTGAGTGGATATCAATATCGTGCACATACATTTTTTAGCGTAAAATGTAGTATACAACTATTACTATTTTTTTTTGAAGTGGTATTATTACTATTTTGTTGATTAATAACATATCTTATAAATGTTTGAAGAATTATTTAGCTACTTTTTTTCTTTTTCTTTTTTGCATATTTGTAGGGTGTCCACCATCGACAACAATGAGTAATTTCTCTCGTTGAATTATAGGCACCTCAATAAGCAGAACAGATTATTCAGCTACTTAATTACACTAATATTGGATTCTAGATTAGTACACCCAACATGGCATGTGAAACTAGTAATATTTAGGTTTCAAGTAAAACAAAAAATTTAATAATGATTTTTCAACGAGCATTTGGTGAAAAAGTGAAAATCGAGAAGGATTGTTTGCAATTGACTTCGAAATTAGCAGAGCTACTTTATTTTGAAACACAGTATGTAGTAAAAAACTCAAAAGACTCTCAGAAACCAAATTAGTACACTGTATAGTGTGCACTCCCAAACTCGCCACCTGGCCTCTCCCGCAGGTAAGGCAGTGTTAAACAAAGACACTAGAATCGCGTGTACAAGTTTCAAACTGGAATACTAGCAGAAGACCGTTTCTCGATTTTGCTGCCTCCTTTTTTTTTTTTAATTTATTACCTTTAGCGAAAAAACACTACTACTAGTGGCAGCAATCTAATCCCACACTACACCAGTTTTTGACCAAAGTTTCACCATCGCCCTTCATTACTGTGTAGCACCATTTTTAACCAAATGGGCAAATGGGCAAGTACCAAACCCATCTGCTTCTTCTTGGCAATCTAGAAAGTGACCCGTTTTTTGGAGATTTGGCAATGTCTCTGTCTCCTTTTAATTTCGAACGATAACTTCTTCTTTTAATTTTGTAACAGAGTTTACAGCTATTTCAGCCGTAGACTGATAGAGATTGGCCCTTTTTTGAGTTTTAGCTGATCTGGGGTGCTGATCATTTTCATTCTGCTTCTTTTTTGTTTGTCAACCTACGACCATGGTTGCTGGAAAAATGAAAGTGGCAATGGGGTTACAGAAATCTCCTTTGATTACCCCCAAATCATCAAAGCAAACGCCTCCTCCGCCGGCGGCTCATGCCTCTCCGAAACCGGCATTTTCCTCCTCAGCCAGTTCCGGGAAGCAACAACCGCAGCCCAAAGAAAAAGGTGGGGTTTTTTCACGGTCATTTGGAGTTCACTTCCCACGGTCCTCTGCTCAGGTCCAGCCTCGTCCGCCGGATGTGGCGGAGCTGCTACACTTAGTGGAACAGCTCAGGGAAAGAGAGTCAAGGCTGAAGACTGAGCTGCTTGAGCAGAAGCTTCTGATGGAGTCCATTGCTATTATACCGGTTTTGGAGAATCAAATTGCCAGTAAAGACGCCGAGCTCGACAAGTCACGGAGGAAGATGGATTGTTTAGAGGACGAAAATGAAAGGTTACGTCAAGAAATTGAGGTCTTACACATGGAAATTTCCAAGCAGAACGGTAGATTCGAAGACAAGATCAAGTGTCTCGAATTTCAGGTTACGGAATTGAAGAAGATTAATGAAGAATTAACGACTGCTGCAGCAGCACAACAAAAACAGAGTTTGGATTCTTCGTTACAAAAATCTGTGCCTATCAAGTGTTTGAGAAAAAGTTCGAGCTCGAATGCAGCTCCGGCGAGCATTGAATTCTGCACCAGTACGAATAGTAATGCTACTGCAGTTAAAACATCATCTGAGGTTGAGACGAAAAGGGAAGAAATTACAGCCAATTCATCGACGGAGAACGAAAAGCCAAGGCATTCTCGTTGCAATTCGGAAGAAATTGCTGAGACTTCGGAAGGTATTATTATGGGATTAAGAACCCGAGCTCCACGGGTTCCTAGACCGCCTCCACGGCCATCATCGTCGATTCTTTCATCCGGTTCATCGTTGTCATCTTCCTCATTACTATCTTCTTTGTCTTCTCCTTCTTATGGGTCGTTATCGGATTCCGCTGAGAGAGCATTGGCTGAGATATCGAACATTCCGCCTCCTCCCCCTCCTCCTCCGCCGTTGAAATCGGCGGCTCCTCCTCCTCCACCACCACCGCCACCATCAGCTCCACAGTCTAAGGCTGAGGTGCCACCTCCACCGCCGCCACCACCACCATCAGTTTCACAGTCCAAGGCTACGGCGCCACCTCCACCGCCTCCACCCCCACCAATTTCACAGTCCAAGGCTTCGGCGCCGCCTCCGCCGCCTCCACCTCCTAGTAAAGGGTTGAATCCGGTACCCGCAAAGGTGAGGAGGATCCCTGAGGTAGTTGAATTTTATCATTCATTAATGAGGAGAGATTCCCGGCGGGATGCCGGAGGTGGCGCCGCCGAGATTCCTGCGCCGGGTGCAACGGCTAAGGACATGATTGGAGAGATCGAGAACCGTTCAACCCATCTGCTGGCGGTAATTGTCTTTGAATTTTGTGGCATTTTTCCAACCTGTTTTTTCTCAACGTCAATTTACTTTTTTGACCCCGAGACCCCCCTCCTGGCATGAAAAGCGACTATTCACTTTGTGTCTTTTGTGACAACTTTATTTTCTGCAATTCAATTATTTTATTTGGAGTCTTGTTGCTCTTCGTTCTTTCAAGATAAGACACGCTTTAGATTCGAAATCCATATTGGTTGATGCAAAAAGGAGTTTTGATTTGAATGTGCGAGCTAATGGGCATGTGGGCAATTATGACAATTCAATGCTGAAGAACAATCATTCTAATTAGTCCCCAACCATATAAGTTAAATTCAATGCTGATAAATCTACCCTACTTTACCAGATTTAAGAATTGATAGTACAATGACTATAGCACAGTGGTAAGAGAGATGTTTGTTTTCTGGTTTTGGACTATGAAAATAGCAATAATATTAGTGTCCCCTGCTGTATAAACGTGACTCCGATATGTGTGTCTTTGTACGTTTGTATTTGACTGTATCCATCTTACTTCGTACAATAATTGATGTTCCGGATTATCTTTTTTGTATTATGATGGTTGGATTCTTATCGTATTGTTGTGATGTTAATGTTCCTCAGATTAAAACGGATGTAGAAACTCAAGGAGATTTCATTAGATTCTTGATCAAAGAAGTCGAAAACGCTGCTTTCACAGACATTGAGGATGTTATACCTTTTGTGAAATGGCTAGATGATGAGCTATCCTTCTTGGTATGTATATGGCTTTCTCTGTTTTGATTCAGGATTTGAACTTCTTATTACCGAAATTAAAGTGTATTTTTAAGAGACCAGTGGCTCAAGTTTCTACACTCTATAGGTTGATGAAAGGGCAGTGTTGAAGCACTTCAACTGGCCAGAGCAGAAGGCAGATGCATTGAGGGAAGCTGCATTTGGGTACTCTGACCTGAAAAAACTCGAATCCGAGGCGTCCTCATTTCGGGATGATCCTAGACACCAATGTGCTTCAGCTCTCAAGAAAATGCAGGCCTTATTCGAAAAGTAAGGATGTTTTTACTCAGGTTCTTTAGGTTACTTTTTTTTCCCCCATAAACAACCAAAAGTTTTGTTTGATTGATTGGATACACTACTTTGGTTGGTGTAAACAGATTAGAGCATGGTGTTTACAATTTGTCAAGAATGAGAGAATCTGCAGCAAATCGATACAAAGGGTTTCACATTCCAATGGACTGGATGCTAGATACTGGATATGTCAGTCAGGTAATAAAAATTATTCAACTCTACTAGTTAGTTTGGTAGCTAGCCTTTCGTAATTGTGGAATGGACACCAAATTTTATAATAAACCCTAAGTGAAATCTAAAGTGATTGATTGATTTTTTGGCCATTTTTATTTTTATTTCCATTTCTCATAATGTACTACAATGTACACACATGCAAAAGGGCAACTTCTTGTGTCTTATGTGGGTCGTGAAATAACGCATGGGTTTCTCTCGCGGCCCCAGCGGCGGTGGGGGGTGTGTGACTTCAAAGTCACATGAATTTCATAATCCTTGAATAGTTCCATCATCCATGTTACAAAAAAAATTCCTTGTCACGGGCCTTCCTTTTGTCTAAGATTTAGACAATTCTTTATTAGTGTAACACAACAAATACTAGTAGTGTTTAATCGTTATAGTCGGATTGATACTTTGATAGAGAACCTGGAAAACAGGATCTGATGATTTTTTTTGTTTGGTAACCACCAAACAGTTTGTTATATCTAAGAAAATTTTTAGAAAGATTAAAGTTAGGTTATGATGGTGGATGACAAAAAGAAAAGAAGAAATTGTAAGTAAGATTCTTCAATAACAATGAAAAATGCCCATGCGCACATGTGAAGAAGACTCACAGATCTCTCTAAACATTCATTTGCTTGTCTGCTGCTCTTACTTGTTGTTTGTCTGCATTACCTGTTGACCTTTCAGTTCGTACAATATGATGATTAATATAATTCTTATGCATACTTAGCCACTTAGCTGTTGACTTAATTCTTTTAATCTTGTGTTTCATTTGTTTATTGTTTTTCTTTTCAGACTTGCAATAAATGTATGCATGTAGACTCATTTATTTCTTTCATATGTCTTGTTGCAAATATTAAATCTTTAATAATACAATGCTGAATTCATACATAAAGAACAGTCTTTTGGATCTTTCAAGTCCGGATTTATCGTTCAATTTATGCAACTTTTAGGAACATGTTCAATTATTTAACCTGCCACATAGTATTACTTTTTTTTTATAGTTTCAACCAACTCTCTTGGATCGATGTTTTTGCTCAGCAATCTGCTTAGGATCCTATTTACTATCTAGAGGGTTGGTGTATTTTTCTGTTGAAAATTGTGAAATAGTACTAATTACCGTTTTAAATTTATTTTTTAAATTATTATATTCTTGTAAAATGGTGCCATCAGAAATCATATGATGGTCTTTCTAAACTAATGATTACAAACTTTTTGGTTCCAAAATCCCTGACTTGGGTACTTTGTGTTTTGATTGGGAAATGATTAGGTTTAAAGTTGACGATAGTGGTTTGATAATAATTGATGTGGGTAGAAGGATATAATTTTATTATTATTGTTGGTGAAATTTACAGATAAAGCTGGCATCTGTGAAATTGGCCATGAAGTACATGAAGAGAGTTTCAGCAGAGCTTGAAATAGTGGGTGGTGGTCCCGAAGAAGAAGAGCTAATAGTTCAAGGCGTTAGGTTTGCGTTCCGGGTTCATCAGGTAATGTCTCTTTTGATTCGCTTTTTGCATTTGCGATACGACAACGCCCTCTCACATATTATCTCGTTGTCTTTATTAGAATTCACAAGTCTTCGAATCTTGTCATTTTTCTTAAGACCGCTACTAAATAGATTAACTATTATTATGTGACGGAAAGAGTAATAAACGAAAGTAATGAAATGGCTAATTTGTGTGACAGTTTGCGGGAGGGTTTGATGTGGAGACAATGAGAGCATTTCAAGAGCTGAGAGACAAAGCAAGGTCATGCCATGTACAATGTCAAAATCAGCAGCAACACAAGTTCCTTTGCCGCCCCACAGCTTACTGATGAAATTGATGACGATGATCCATCCGTTTATCTGTAGCAAACTCAGCTTCAGAACTGTGCCCTCCTATTTTGTTGTTGTAAAGATTAAAAGAGTAGAAAGCGAGAGAGACAGAGAATCATAGAGAGAGAGATGACCGATGAGATGTGAATATGTATAATTATGGTTGGTTGCTGCTCAGAGTTGCAGAACTTATCAGAACGAACGAGAACATTCAATTGATTTGAATTTATAGAGATTAAATTATTTCCTCATCATCTTTAACTCCAAAAGAACACATCAAATTAAATCATCGCTCCATGTCAATTGCATCCAGCCTGCCTTGCTGGATGTGCTCCCTACTAGTACTAGTTAGCTATGGACCAATTTATCTGATGAATATTTTCGACCTCATCTCCGCAACTCACGAGTCAAAATCGCAATCGATATCGTGTGTTGCTTGCCCGTGGGGGATGCTGATGAGGTCCTGCGTTTTTGTTCTTACAAGTTTTTATTTTGCTAAATACTATTGGATTTGCCTCCCACTGTACATGTAACCCATAATTATTGTCGGATTTTCATTTTTCAGTTCAATATATATTAATGGTAAAAATTTAAATTAATCAATAATTTTAGGATGGAAGGAGTAATTATTTACTTCACACCCGGGTGTCTCTTATAGTATTTTACAAAGATAACATAGCAAACGGCCGAGAAACTTAACTCAGGTCAAAATTTATTGTTTTGTATTATTATCACAATTTTTTTCCCTGATGTTATAATTTGTTAACTAATAAGTCATGCATCTGGATCAATTTTAAGACTCACGAAATGGTGGTATTTTTATAGAAATCACTGACGTCGACTTTGCTTTATATCACTGCTTTCTATCCCGCCAAAGAATACAAAAATTACATTGCTTTCTATCATTTCACAATTTTTTGAACGTATCATTGTCTGGTAATTCATTAATCTATAAGTATCACTGTAAAAATTACAAAATGTTTATTTATTTGTGAAAATTGTTCTCGTCGCTTTATTCGTTTATTTAAAAATTGCTTCGTAATACTGAAGAGAAGGTTCCCAGAGACCAAAATCTTTTGAAAAGTAACATGTAAAACTTGTCTATCATCTTAATCACTATCTCGACTTATTTTCATATCTTGTACTCTCTCTCCGTCTCCAAAATTATTGTCCAGTTTGACATTTCTCTTTTTATACATTTTGAACTAAAAATAAAAAGTCAAACTGGATAATAATTATGAGACGAAAGGAGTATCAATTTTGTAAGCTAAAAGCATGTTTGAAAGATGATAACCCAATTAAACTATTTTTATGTCACTACCGCCAATTTTTAGAGCTAAATAAACAGTAAACAATAAATATCAAGCATGACCGAAAAAATATTCTCCTTATTCTCTATTCTCTCAAATTTTAACCGCCTTTCAAAAAAAAAAAAAATTTCTTTTCTCCTATATTCCCTGATCGATGGGGAATTGATTTGATTTTTCTTAGTTTATAGTTCTTTTTATTGTTCAATAAGTGGAATTTCTCCCTAAAATATAGTTTCTTCAGTAGATTAATTGTAATTTATTGAGAGAGTAAGATTTTTCTTGCACGGTTCGTAGTGTCTACAGTATTAGATTTATGATTTGGAGTTTTCATAAGATGATTAGAAATATGTTCAGATTGATTATCTGGCACGTGATATATACATCGTTGTATTGGGTAGATTTACATAAGTTTATCCACGAGAAACACAACAATAGTGTTAAGTTTAATTGTAAATTGTATTCTTGTTTCGACTGTATATTTCATTATCAGTCGTTGCGACACGATTTTTACTAAAATAATATAATATAGTTTTTATTTAAAAAAAATATAAATATCAAGCGGCCCAGACCACAAAAGCCATTTCAGGTTTGTTTTAACAAGGAGAATCAGGTGCACGAGCGTTTGTTGTTTGGACCAGGCCACTGGCCAGTTTGGACTAAAGTCTAAACGATCCAAAACAATTGCGGGTGTATAATAGACCAGAAAACTGGAATGGTTATCATGAACGAGAGATTAGTCACTCTTACCCACAATAGATATGAATGAAAAAAAAAAAAAAAAACTGGAGTGGTAAAATTGGAAATTTCTACGCCTGAGCCTAGCTGAGGATTCAGCAAACCGGCGCAAGACCTCCTCTTCTACGATGATCGTTTCTTCAACTCTTCATTTTTCTATTGTTGCTCCTGCAATCGAATTCAATCGTGTCTCTAGATTTCCATGTCGTACTCACCATACCCAATCTCTACGTCTTTCATCCCTTAGTAATCTCCGCCCTCCTGTTAAAGCGTCAATCTCAGCATCTTCAGTAGCAACCCCAGCAGCGGACATGGCTACTGAAACCGTTCCTTCCCCTTCCATGAAACTCCTGTTTGTTGAAATGGGAGTTGGTTATGATCAACACGGGTAAGCGCTCTCCTGCTTCTTTCATCCTTGTAATCCATTTCTCCTTTCTCGGTGTTCTCTCTTTAAATTTATCCTTGCCTACTCATGAATTTTTCTGCTCTTTTTTATTTGCTTTTGTGTGAAGTTGGACTGTATGAAGGTCTTCTCTGTGATGTCGAAGTAGGTTATATCAGTTTTGTTTATTCTAAATAGAAGTGGAATTTTGATCTTGAATATTATTTGGCGCTGTGTGATAGGAGTATTATTTATTGTTTGTCCTTCCTTGCTTTTGAATAAAAAAAATTTGGAGTTTGGAGCGAGTTTAGTGGAAATTGGAAAGGAATAGGGCGAGGCCTACCCGAATGTGTATAAATTTCTTGAAGGTGGAGTCATGTTTCTGCGTCTTAATTTCCCTTTTACAATCTGAGATTTGGGACATAACAGTTGAACTAATTGATTGCCTGAATGAACAGGCAAGATATTACCTCAGCTGCTATGCGGGCTTGTAGAGATGCTATATCTTCCAATTCCATTCCTGCCTTCAGGAGAGGTACTTTTTCCATGTTCCTTACTAAGTATTAGTTTGTGTTCAGTTTTCTGTGTCTACAGCTCTTTTACTTGTGTCTTGCACTCCCGCCGCCCTGAAATGATCGTCCAGTTTGGATTTTCATTTCTAGTATAGATTGTACTAAAAAGTTAAAATCCAAACTGGACAATTATTTTGGGATTTGGATTTTCATTTCTAGTATAGATTGCACTAAAAAGTTAAAATCCAAACTGGACAATTATTTTGGGACAAAGGGAGTACACTCTTCCTGTGTTGAATCCTTTCACAGAACTGCACTGCTTTGTATCTAGCTTAAGTGTTCTAACTTTGTGTGCCGATGGTTCGATGTTTTCCATACTTTGGTTCAAGTACAAAAGCCCTTGGTTGACCTTGAATGCGCTGTATTTGCCCTTCAGTTGATCATTATGATAGTAGCGTACCTCTGTTTTGCAATTTGCTTTATGATTCTGTGCAAGGTCGTACTCGTTTATTTGGAGAACTATTGCCATCCATCTCATGTTCTGGAAGATTGAGATGCCTTAAAATGATCTTTGGTTTCTGTTAGTTATCTTCTCTAATTCTTGTTGAGTGCAGGTTCAATCCCTGGTGTTTCATTTAATGAGATGAAGCTACAGATTAAGCTGGGAGTTCCTCATGCACTTCAGAATTCACTGGATATTGAGAAAGTGAAATCTGTTTTCCCTTAGTGAGTACCCCACATCACTATTATCCTGAACAAACCTAACCTGCTAAGTGCTTCTGAATAGCCATGTAACAAACCACACTTCCATTTGGAGAAATGATATCTAATAAGAATTCTGCTCTCAACCACTTCTTAGACGTATTCCTTTCAAAGTTTACAAGTGGCTTGACTTTTCGTAAAATTATTCTAGTTAAACTATTGTTTTCCTGATTTGCTTCATGATTTAATCTCTAGAGCTTTGATTAGCGTGTCAGCATGTCTTGTGCTTATTTTCAGTTAATCTATGAAAATGTTACCTTGCATATGTAAGTGAATTTTGGCTGAACCAATTGTACAGGAAATAATGAGTTACCATACCCTGAGTAAACTGTAGAGTCCATTATTCATCAGTTTGATTCCATTCATGTCTAAATTTCTTTCCTTTTCTTGTTACCATTTTTATTCTGCTACTCTTCTTATTTGCATTTGTGTTTGTGTGTTTCTTGTGGGGAGAGTTCTCTTTGTTGAGTAGCTTCTTACTTATACTCATGATGTGCTTTTCCTTGTTTTATTTGGAAGTGGAAAAATTTTGAATGTTGAGGTTGTGGATGGTGGACTTATCTGCTCAAGCGGTGTGCTCGTAGAAGATATGGGTGATAAGAATGAGGACTGTTATATTGTCAACGCTGCAGTTTATGTTGGCTATTGAGTTTCTTTGTAGTATTCCATTTTGGTGGGTAAAATTGCCTCTTGTATTCCCTGTCATTGAACATCTCCATATATCTGATGGCTTCCCATGCTTGCACAACTACGATCGTCTGCTTTAGTTTTTGCTATATTTCGGACTATATGTATATTATAGGCCTGAGGTATTTAAGAGGTTCCTCTAGTTCTTGCTCTTTCTGTCTCTGTGAACAATCATTAACCCTGACATACAAAGTTCTTGAAACCTAGAAATAATCAACAGCTTCCTGCATCAAAATCTCTTCTCTGAGGAACTTCTCTCGCATGTTTGGAGAATATTTCCTTTGCAATTTTTAAACAATGTAACTTACCATCATTTTGCTGGAAGGTTCCCCTACTGGCTCATTGCTGATGCTCTTATGCTTCTGATTTGTTTGTCCTCATAATTTAATGAGGCTGCAGGTTATCATCAAAAAAGGCTATAAAAAATTTAAATCAATCTTCAATTTGTATGTATACATCCTCAGTCAATAGTTTTTGCTTGTTTGGCTGTTTCTCTCTCTCTCTCTTTTTTTTTTTTGTGTAAATTATGTATGGACTAAAACTGTTTTCTTTTTGCAAATCCTTCACCATACTACTTTTTGTTCTGAAGTTCTTCCATGTTGTGCTTGCTTTTGTCCGCCCTGTCAATCATCTGTCGCTTATAGGTTCATGATCACAAATTTATTGCAACGGTGCATTTGTAGTGATAGCTTTTATGAGTACTTCTTGCTCGATGCATGAGGAGCAATGCCGTTGATTGCTTGTGTTCGGGGTATTTCCAGCTGAAGCTGAAAAAAGAACTTTCTGTACCGGCGACACTGGTGTTTAGATGCCTTCTTTCGTTTGCTTCTGATTTACGACAGTAAAACACAAGCAACACTTATCCCTCTATGTGGTATCGTCTAAGTTTTGTGCTACAAAATGAGTTTTTTTGAATGCGTACACAGATAGACGAGTAGCAGTAAAACTAATAGTAGACCTGATTGATTATGAAAGGAATTCATGCATTGGGTTGTCCATTGATTGTGAGTAAACCTATAATACTTCACATGGTTCCTCACAATTTTTATTTCTGCTACCAAATTGTGTGACACTAGATTTGTGTGTCTTGTTATCTTGGTAAACAGAAGCTTGGGAAATTTTCATTATGCGCCTATATATGCAGCATATAGAAGCTGGTTCCACACATCTGGTAGGCCGGCAAGGCACCAGTGGCTGCAGTCAGTCCCTGAATGATCACCACTGTAAGCTGATGGATGGGCATCTTTTCTAAGTTGCGATAAGGTTGTGATGTCTAGTAGATACACTGGTTTCTGTATGTTACTTATGACCTTCTTGATTGCCCCCAGGGCTGGGACTGATCCCGCTGGATATGTCGATCCTTCTAGTGGTTGTTGCTCCCCAGAACAATCCTTAGACCCTCCCCACTCCTTGCCCCTGTTTAACAAGTAACGAATACATCAGTCTCTGATCTTGCATTATTGCCATTGTTCAAATTTCGCATGCAGTACAAAGCTCCACATCGAGACTCTGTAACATGAATATTGGTAGAAATGAAGATTTTCTTGATATACTTAACCTGTAATGTGTAGGAGAAATTCCCAGAAAGTAGACTTTGGTTTTAGAAGTATCGACATTTTGATCAACCCATTTCCCCCAAGTTGTCATTCCTTTGGTGAATGCTTCCAGGCGATCCATGTCTTTGGTTATGGTGGAGCCATCTTGGATATAATCCCACCTGCACTCAATAGCACAGAATGATGAGCGGATTGAAAACAAAAACTCAAAAGTCGTACATCTAAACTAACAAACTGTAGTCTGTAACCCTTTGAAGCATATGTTTGCTTAGTCGACAGATCACATGGCCTTCGTCCTGAAGACAATTAAAATTGGAAGAAACAGACAAAAGGGAAAACAAAGAAGATGAAAATCATACGGTTGAGAGTTTCCCTTGTGAAGCCACCAATGCCAACTATTGAACACAAGAACGTCCATTCCTTTCCAGTTTTCTCCTTGTTGAATAGAGTCAAGTTTCAGTATGTTACCCTTACTGCCTCGTACTACATCTACTAAGAAAGTTGACCGGTAAACATAGATGGTTACATCATAGTCCTGCAAACAAATTTCAACAAATTCTTTCACCGAAAGAAAAATAAAAAAATAAAAAAAATCCCTTTGTTATGGGGGATCCATCGTTTTAAGAATTTATAAAGAAAAGAAACACATCTTGAGGGATTTCAAGAAATATTGTTCCCGCTTCCTTGCACGGGTTTTTGCTTAAAGCTTTGAGAAAAGCAATGTCAGTTTTTTGAGGAAAAAGGACAAAAAGACGGGGAATGTCAGGGAAGAAACCGAGGGCCCAAGTGAAAGGAGACATATGACTGAATATGAACAAACAAGCAACTTCCTCGGCATATGCATTTTTCATTAATTTCTTAATTTGGCACTTTTTAGGAAACAGAACCAAAATTCAAGAATACTGAACGTTGGTGACAGAAGTCTGAAGATTGGGTATGTACTCAATCATTCATCATCCCATGATGGTGTTAAAAACAAAAACAAAATTACCTGAAAAGTCACAGAGGAGAGAGGGTCCTTCCTAACCCCGTTGATTTTGGCATTCGGCACCGACGCATGGAGTAAACAAATCAAAGATTGCCATTGGTTTAAGCTTAGCGAATCTCCAACCAACATTATCTTTTTTCCCCTCCATTTACTTAGCAAGTCCACCCCATTAAACCTTCATCAATCCGTCCACCAAAAACATGATGAAATAAGGTTCTCAATAATGAAATGCTTAGCTTGATAGTCACAAAACTCGACTTCGGTAGTATATACAAAATGAAAGGCAAAAACAGTAATTACACCTTTCTTAAAAATGAAATTTTTTACTATACTAATTAGCAATCTACCATATAAAAATATACCCAAACAACAACCAAAAAACCCGTCACATGTATCACAGGGACACTCTAAGCACTATTCCATGCAAGAAAGTTACTTCTTTTAGTATGCATCCCATATCATATGAACTTATCTAAATTCATGTAAAGAAAAAAAAAAGTTCATATCGGAATTACTAGAAAGTGGTCTAATTATGTTTTGAAAGTTATAAAAGGGGACTATAATTTTGGGACGAAAGTCATACATACGTATGACATGACCGGCCGGAGGAAGGTGTATATATGACAAATACCTGGGCAAGCTGCAGGAATCAGGTCTCCAAGCGTACTTGAGATAGAGTGTGTCCGGACGACCATATTTTTGGCAGTCAAATTCAGGCTCAATGAAAGGACAGCTTGAGGATTCGTATAATGGGTAAGAATTATCAACAACCCATCTTCCTTGAAACAAGTCGCATCCACTCGCAAGACGTCTGAGATTAATTAGGCTGTTGTTATTAATATTATGCACAAACTCCTCCTCCGCTGATGAACTTGCATGCTGTACAACCAACGGGGCACAAACAGAAGCTAAAAGCAGTACTATTAGAACTGAATATTGACGAACCATGGCTGAAAAAAATCTAGCCAGCCAGCTTACGAGGAATGCAGATTCTTTTTTGGCTTTTTGAGGGATTTTTCAGTTTGTGGTGAACACACAAGTTTGCAACTCGTGGTGAAGGTTAAGTTGTCATTTTGCCTTTGGGAGTTTTGGGCTTTTTATTTATGTTAATTCTGTTCTTGTGAAGAAATGGACAAATAAAATGTTTGTAATGGTAAATGGTATAGGAGAAATTTCGGAGGTGTTTAATGAGTTCTTCGAATGAGCCGAAATTCCTCAACGCCTTTAGGATTCGCTTGAATATATAATGAGCTAAAAGAGAACGGTGCCTGAAATCTAGAGTGTTTAAGAGAGTATTTGTAGTTGTGTTTATGTTTGTGTGTGTGTGTGTATGTAAAATAAAGAGAAGTGTTTACATAAAGTTAAGATGAGCTGATTTCTTAAGTTTTCTTACATTGTAGCCTCCAAAATTACCTGGCCCGACAAAGGTGTGTATTTGGCCTCATCAAGTTTTTTTTTCCCAAAAAATGTGACCTCATAACCGACTAGCTAACCGATTGGATAGTTTTATAAGAAAAACTCATTCAAATGAGATGGAATTTCTTGATGGATTTCGGGAAGAGATGATGTTTTGAATCATGGCAAGTTGTGCTATTATTTTATGTCGAAAATTGTCATATTTCGTAATCAAAAGCCACTTTTGGTTTAATTTTTAACCATTTCTGGTGTTCTTTTCACCACTCATATGACTTTTTTTTTCCCCTTCCTTTCGAAGCGAATTGCCTCTTGAAAAGAAAATCATGCTGTTTTTTTTTTAAAAAAAAGTACCTACATATTAAGAAAAGATACCTATACTATTACAACGTATTCTATTATATACTTTCTCATAATAGAATTTTAACCTTAAATTTGAGTAGTGAAGACTTTTACGTGTGTTAGGCTTTTAAAATTTTGACCGAATTGCACACACACACCCACATAGTCAAAACAAATTTGTTAGTAATGATGTAGATTAAATCATAACAATTTAAGTGGTCTACACTAAATCTGTATGCAAGAGATCTTTAATACTTTTCACGAATAGTCACTTGTTACAAATCGAATTTTTCCTTCTTTTTTGGGATCAGATAGAAATAGAGTTTTTTTAGTTAAAAATCTCTGTTTTGTAACAACATTAAAGACCATGCCATCTTACAAAAATAATTTATTTATTGAATTAAAATAATATAATAAATTAATTTATCCTTTCAAAACGGAAGGAATATGTACAAACTAAAAAACAAACACATATTTTGAACAAAAAAAAAAAAAAAAATGAAAAGCAAACACATGATGCATAAAAGAAACTATCCACAGAAAGAAACAATTTAGAGTGGACCTGCAGGATATAGTCCATCCAAGGGGTGGGTACGTCCGACGAGTGCGATTGTTTGAAAGATATTTGCATTCTTGTCAGCTGTTGATGTTCTGTCTCCACGACCCAAAAAAAAAAAAAAAAAAATAGAAAAAGAGGAAACAAATCACTTCTCTTTTTCTTGATGAAATGGGAAACTATAACACTTTTTATAATTCGATATAATTAATAAAGTAATCAACTCCAAAAGAAAGACTCCTGTCCCTGCAGAATGATATTCCTTTGTCTCATTTCTTTTAATAAATTAATTATGTCTCAATTAATCAAAAGATGTTTATTCCTTTGAAAAGTTATATATCTAATGAGATAGGAGGTACACCGCAAGGTCCACTTGTTTGTTTTTGTTAAGTTTATTTTTCTAAAAATATATCGTTTTAAAAAAATAATCCATATTATATTTTACAATTTGTAATACTGTATTTTTAGTAAAAATTATACAATACAATGTTGGTTAGTTTTTAAAAATATCAAATACCTTTCTCCTCGAATAGAGTACAATTAGTGCAAGTATGAATGTATGATGTACCACTTGAAAAAAATTTCATAGTTTCTGGATAAAAAATAAGAATAACAATAATAATGTGTATGTGTCTTACTGAAAATATTGTGCTTATTTCCCATGAATATATTTAGCGTGATAAGCATGATCCTTAAGTTGGGGCGATTATGATAATTTCACTAGACATGCTGATCATGCTAACAATTATTCTGGAAGCAATTCCTCTTTAATTAGCTAACTAATTAACGTTAATTTGGAAACTGAACAACCCTATTCTAGAGCATTTTGTTACTCCTCTCTCAAGATGAATTCTCTTGTTTGTTGTTATTGTTTTAATATACTCCCTCCGTCCTATAATTATTATCCAGTTTGGGATTTCATTTCTAGTTCAAATTGTACTAAAAATAAAATCTTAAACTGGACAATAATTTTGAGACAGAGAGAGTAATAAGTACGACAACTGTTTTGGGATGAAATACAAAAGTAGAGAGCTCACTGTAATTTAAAACCCAAGTATGTACATAAGTTAATTAATCTTAAATTGACTAATAATAGAGACAGTGAATATATTTTGATCATGGTGCTTTTCCATGAAGAAGAGACATCTTCCCTTCTGAACATATATGCTTGAAATGGTGCATGACAACATTAATGATGATAGTCCTTGCTAAAAGATTTGATCATAATTCTATTTTTGGGTGTTGACACATTGTGATTGCTAATATGCATGTGAGAACTATTTTAATTGTGATGTAAATCTCTAACAGTGATGTCAACTGTACAAGTCTACAAATTTATTTAATGAAAATAATACTACTTTCGTCCCAAAAATATAGTTTATATTGAGTTTTCAAATTTGTATTAAACACAATACAAAACTTAAGACTCAATGTGAACTGTTTTTGTGGGACGGAAGGAGTACAATACGAATTTGTAACACAATCAATTCAATTGGACCGCTCCCTGTAGAACTGCAAAATACAAGTCTATCTCTAAATGCATGCTGCGGTGGCTCTTGTTCTACTCGATCAAATTTCAAGTCAATTCATAATCCATTACGATCGATACATCTCAAGAAATATTCAAGATGTACATTAACAAGCAGAATTAATTGCATTATCCTTATCCTGTGGCTATTGACCTTTTGATTACACTTTCAAACGGTGAATGACTGCATTGATTTGCGATCATCGTCATGGCTGAAGTATGATCAAAACAAATGCATGTCATAGAATTACTCTCCTGTCCAAAATAAAAAATAAAAAATTGCTACATTGAATTTTTTAGATTTATACTCCATCCGATATTTAATATAAGGTATTTTGATTTCGTCATAAGTTTAACATACGATATCTTTTTAATTGGGAAAAAAACTTTAAAAATATATTTTCATATTCGTTGTGTTCTCCTAATTGTTATGAAATGTTTTTAAGGTTTTTATTTCAACAATTAAAAAGACATCATAGGTGAAATTTAGGACGAAATCAAAAAGTCTTATAATAAGGACCAGAGAGAATAGTATTTTTAATTTAGACTGTTTTCAGAAATATAAGTAGTATAATCTTTGCATATTGCAGGGTGCATAGAAGTTGCTCCATGCTCATAACGAGGTTCGAACCTTCGACTTATAGTTAGAGTAGATGAGTCTTTACTATTTCACCATAACCCGTTCAATTAGAGATATAACCGTATAATCTTAAACTTAATATATCTGCAAAAACATATGGCGGAAATTCATCATCCTTATATGGAGTTCTTGCGGTGTTCTTTTGTTTTCTTCACTGAGAACGTCATCACAGATGACTCCTTTAAAAGGAAAGGTCATGTTAGAAACCACGATGAACGTTGAATGAATGCTCCATCTGTCCATAAATAATTAAATACCCATGCACTTGACTATTACATTCTTTCTTAAGTTAATAGTTTGATACAAGTTGAAACACATCAACCAAAAAAACAAAACGTTTCTTTCAATTTGTACTCTATTATTTTTTTGGTAACTCGAAAATAAACATACTAGTGAAAAGAGTAAAGAAATGTAAACGATGTCTCCTTTTTTGGACAAAAACAAAAATAATTACAAGACTTTGATCGTAGAAGGTAATGGGTTTAGCTTTTGATCATCAAATATATGTACATCGGTTTTACACATCCCATTAACTTTGGATTTTTAACACTTGGAGTCGTCGATCTGTTTTTCTGTTATTGGTGTGGCATCAGTTCCAAAACTACCATCAGATTAGCCCACTCTATCTCACAATTATATCTTCTTGGTGGGACTGATTGTGGTCCTTACTTTGTGTTAGAATGGTTAGTTGCATCTAGGATTAGGTTAATGTCGTCGACCTTGCAAAATTCTGGTTGATTAATTGCCATACATAGGTGATAAGACTAAACTTTCCTAGGGTACATGCAGCTTGAGTAATTGTCATCCTTAATTCATTGTCATTTTTTTTTTAATTATTTCAACAACTTGACTGATCGAGTATAACATATTTCGCACGTACTTGGAAAATACTCCACTTTTAATTAATACGTATTAATCTATTTATCTACAATTTTTTTTTATCATTTAGAGTGACGTATTTGTTATCTATATATATTTTCATTTGTAGGAACCTTGATCTGTTGATTGTTACTCTTTTGGGGGGGGGGGGGAAGCAGTGGGGAAGCATATATATTTGATAATGCATGATATTATTCATTTCTAATAATAAAGAGCTCTTTTGGGAAAGTGAGCAGCACCTATTAATCGACTTTAATTCATTAAAATATTACCCCAAATAGAAAGTTTGGCATTTCTTTTTAATAATTAACTAACTCAAGATGTGATAAAATAACTTTATACTATACTTTTGTTTGTCTAAAATTCCTGATTAATTAACAAATCAACTTTGAAAAAGCTTTTACAATTATGGCAAAGAGAATGCAACTTGGGGCTGGAAAGTTCTAAAAGTGTCAATTAGTGCCATCATTGCATGACAAAAATTTAGATGTATCAATCAAATGTATTAGCTATTGACAGCTAATTCCTAATGCCTTCAGCAGCCGCATTAAGTGATTGAAATTGCTCAACGTTGACTCTATATTACCTACTCCCTCCATTTTAATTTGTAAATCGTTTTAGATTTATAAAGATTTTTCAAAGGAAAAATTTAAATAAAGGACAATGAAAGATAAATAATTCATAAAGAGAGTAATACTTTTAAATAATTTGTGTTAAGGTAACAAAAAACTCCAATACCAAACATAACTTTGGTTATATTTTTTCAAACATTTTGTTTTTAACCCCCGATGAATTTGAAAGTTTGTTTTGTTCCATATATAATTTTTTGTGAGTATTATAATATTACATATGTGATTATGAATATTACATCTATACGCACACTCATTTATCAAAGTAAATATTTAAGATTTTTTTATTTATAATAAATTTAGAATACTTTGGTGACATAAAGTACAAAATAGATTAGTGAAATTTTACAAAATTTGTTGTAATGGTTTAATTAACCACGAGCTTTTGTAATTCTTTTGGGACAATATCAGTTAAAACTTAGTTCATATTAAAAAGATAAATATTTCTATTTTAAATGTCAATATTATTTTAGAAAAATGAATCTTCAAAATTGTGAACACCGTATTTCAAATAATGTAATGTAATTGTTTCTTTTGTACTATAATATTTTTTAGTTTTGTATATTAATATATTATCAATTTAAACCTTGCACATAGATTTGAATTTTGAAAACTAAAATGGGTAAAAATTGGTTAGAGGAGGAGTTAAAGTCATGTTTGGAACTGAGCTTGTAATGCCTTTAATAAAATTTACTTTAAGATACTGCCCTCTTTATTAATTACATATCTTCCACTGTCCTTCATCTAAATTTTTTCTTTTTCAAAATGTATGTCGTTTACAAATTTTAGGCAAATTAATGACTATTTTTCCAACTTTACCCTCAATAAATGTTACTAATATATTTTTATTTAGTTTTGTTTATAGTTTTAATGAAATTAATGAGGGGTAAACTAGATATTTAACACTTAAATTATTTGTTAGATAATTATTTTCTTAATTTACGTGCCAAGTCTAAAAAGACTTATATTTTGAAATGGAGGGAGTAGATGATTGAATCTTGAGCTTCTGCATGCTAATCTAAAGAGGTTTTAGCTAATCTATAAACAAAAAAAATAAAAATATAAACTAAAATTGAGCTTCTCTCAACGTCGGCTAATAAAGCTTCTTATACTCTTCTGCCTTTCATGTTAAATTTTGTATTATATATATATAATATATTTTTTTGGGGGACGGAATGAGTCATATATACATGCTTTTGTCACTTTAATTAAGTTGATAAATTAGTACTTCTGATTTTGCTTTGGCACTACATTCAATTACGGGGAAAAGGAAATGGGTTCCGTCGCATATTAATTGATGCCTTAACCTTCTTAGTTATAAATAAGGTTTTTACGCTCGTCCCTGGTATATAAGTCAATGTACTCACTTTTTAAGAGTTGTTAGAGTTTCATTGCATGACAAGGTATCTGCTAGTTATAATGACAATTAGCTAATTAAATTTTATTTTATTTTTTTTTTTTTGGTACAATTTTTCTTTTTTTTTTTTTGTTAACATTTCGTTAACTTTGTAGTAGATTTTTTGGTTTCATTGGTAGCACAAGGTCCAAACGAACTGCAATGGCTAGTTGCTCTACCGTCGAGTGCCAAACTGTGGTTAGAGTATGATGTAATCGGGGTAACACACCCCTAAAATGTACTTGTATGATTTTAATTTTTTTAGTCTCTTTTTATTGTAACCAAAAAAAAAAACTTTAAATATGCCACGTGTTCAACTTGTCAACAATAAAAGTCATTTGTAATTGTCTAATATATTAGGGTTGTAAAATTAATTATAGAAAAATAATGTCATACAAAGTGTTGCGGGGGAGTCTGGTTAACCGTTTGTCGACACTTGAATGGAACTGAGGCAGAAAACAATGGATGGATGGGTGGATCATACTGGAATCCTCAGTGGGCTACGTGGATAGCATCTACACAGTGGGCTTTTAGGTGGGAGATGTAGCCCACCTTATTGCCCTTTTTTTTTTTTTTGAGTGATGATGACAATAAAAAGGAAGCAGAATATATGAAGGAAGAAAAGAAACTTGAGCTGAGAGTAAATTTATGATACCGAAAAATTCTATGAAACAATCATTGGATTTTCGTAGCCAAAAATTTTAAATTAAAATAAAATTGAGTATCAATGCTCAAAAATAGAAATGTGTTGAGTGTAGTCTTGACATAATGGGCTTACAAAGTGCATCGATACTGTAATATCCATTTATTTGTCTTAGAAGTCCATGAAGAAAAGTATTTTATGGCCCAATATGTCATTTTTGTTGCAAGTATAGTCAGTCTGTTTTTATTTATTTCTTTTTTTTTGGGAAAAATTTATTTCTTTTTTTTTTTTTTTTGTTCTTCTTCCCAACAAACAGAAGCAAATCATTATTATTCAAATCATAGATGAACTATGTTTGCATTTTGAGTTACTTCCAATGTTTGGATGTGTGTTCTGAGACCAAAAATATTGATGTTTTCTTTGGTCCGCTAGTAATTAGCTAAATATATTTGATTACTGTCATCTCTCAATGAGATTTGAACTAAGATCTCTTAAATGGAAAGATCAAGATATCCAAATCAAATTACCATAGTAATCAACATATATGGAAGTATGTTGCAAATGTGATCATCTTATCATTTAGACAACAAGTAAAAAAAGAAGTTTTAAGCATTGAATTTTCCATTGATATAGAGTGAAAAACCCTACACATATATAAATTAGTATAATCCCCACATTTATTATTTTCTACTATCAATTGTGGGACAAATAATTAATTAATTTATGCGCCGGTATATGCCGCATAGAAAATCTGGTTCCAAACATCCGGAAGTCCGGCAACGCACCAGTGAACGCAGTCAGTACCACCCCCTGCCGGATCACCATAAACCGATGGATGCGCATCTTTTCTGAGCTGTGATAATGTTGTAATATCCAGAAGATACACTGGTTTCTTCATGTTGCTTATTACCTTCTTTATAATACCAAGCCCTGCTGGCGCTCCTCCCGGATACGTTGATCCTTGTAATGGCTGTTGCTCTCCTGCACAATCCTTGGATCCACCTCCCCATTCATTTCCTCTGTCCAATATTATACATATATAATATTAATGACGTCAGGGTCTTTTTTTTTTTTTATCTTTTTCTTTTAAAGGGATTATTAATAGTGATTCTCTACTTAACTACTCTTGACGTGACTCGAACCTGTGACTTATTAGAAATAAGAAAAAACGTCTTGCTAACTAAACTGCAGTTAATACTACTAGTACTTACGAATCATGTTTCGGAGGAGTTCCTAGAAAATAGACTTTGGTTTTTGAGGTATCAATGTTTTGATCAACCCATCTTGCCCAAGTGGTCATTCCTTTCGAATATGCTTCCATCCGGTCCATGTCTTGGGTTATGGTTGACCCCTCTTGGATATAATTCCACCTGCATGCATGCCATGAAACAATTTGATTTCGTTTGTAGATTTTATATGAAAAATAAGTATAATATATGTATGTCGCATCGATGATGATTCATACGGTTGAGAGCTTCCTTTGTGAAGCCACCAATGCCAGCTATTGAACACAAGAACGTCCATTCCTCTCCAGCTCTTGTCTCCTTGTTGAATCGAGTCCAGTTTCAGTACCCGACCACTGCTTCCTTGTACTATGTCCACCAAGTATGATGACCAATACACGTATATGGTGACATCATAGTCCTGCAAAAATTATAAGTTTCATTAAAACCAATTTATTCTCCAACCAATTAATTGTTTTCTTTCTTTTTTTTTTTTTTTCCCTTTTCCATCCTGAAAATGATCATCATACAGGGAAAAAACAACTTAATTACCTGAAAAGTCACATAGGAGATAGGGTCCTGATTTTGGTCCTGCCTCACCCTGGTGAACTTGGCATTTGGGACGGATGCATGGATCAAACAAAGCATGGAAATCCATTGGTTTAAACTTATGGAATCGCCAACCAACATGATCTTCTTGCCTCTCCATCTATTCAGCAAGTCCACTGCATTAAACCTGTTACCACCAATATATCCATCCACAAACCATTAATAAAGTAAGGCTCTCAATAACTAAATAACGAGTTATATATGATGATGCTCGGGAGCTGCAAATTTAAACTAAATAATATACCTGGGCAAGCTGCAAGAATCAGGTTTCCAAGCGTACTTGAGGTATTGTTTGTCGGGACGACCATGTTTTTCGCAGTCATATACGGACTCAATGAAAGGACAGCTCGAGGATTCGTATAATGGGAAAGATTTATCATAAACCCATTTTCCTTGAAACAAGTTGCATCCACTACTCCCGAGCCCTCGTCCTTTGGGAATCGAACTTGCACTGACATTAACGTTGTGCTCAAACTCCAAACGTGAAGATGAACTTGCATGTTGTACAGCAAATGAGATGCAAGCAAAAAACAGTACTACAAGTACTGAATTTCGACGATGAGGAAGAACCATGGCGGATGAGCTTCACCAAGAACCTCTACTTCTTTCGTTGTTTTACTTCGTGGTGAACAAAAAAGTTGGCAACTAGTGATGAAGGGTAAGTTATGGTTTGTTTCCTTTGAAAGGTTCGGCTCTATTTATATTGTTTAGGGTGCAGAAATGAACAAATTATGTGTGTGTTATGGTGATGAGGATAAACGCGGGGTAAATGTGGATGCATGTTTTTGGATAGGGAGATTAGGACTTAGACGTGGTTATTAGTTCTAGTAATTAATGTGACATAATCTAGCTACTAGTAGATTTTGTAAATTTGAAAAACAATTTGGAAGAAAAACGTGTTTTTGGATAATGGTGCATGTTAACGTTTCTACGGGGTACGTATATGACATGTTTTGCTATTCTCAGGAAAATTTAGACGCCAAATTTATCTACTTTCTCGATTGAAATCATTTCAAGGTGTATTTTCTGTTCGTAGTTTTAAGTTTTTGTTCCTTTGTTAAGAAAAGAAATTATTCTGAAAAGGAAAATGATATGCATAGCTAAAAACAAAGTGAAAGAAAATAATGACTGATGTGTGGAACATTTTTTTTTCTTTTTGGAGTATTATGACTCTTTACTATGTTGGTATTTTTCAATTAAAATTTTATCATTCTCTCTAAGTTATACCTTTATCCCTAATTATATATGAATTTTTACTATTCCTTTTTTTATTGTCTCTATCATTACGGTTCTGAAAAATAATACTTTCTCTATTCATAAATGATTATCTAGTTTGACTTTTATTTTATATATATATATGAATTATAGTTTATGAAAATTTAAATTTGACAATTATTTTAAGGCGATAGATCATTAATTATACCGGAAGCAATTGGCTGCCTTAAAGGCTTAAACTCCTACCTATACCATTGTTACCCAATTTTGCAACGTCCAAATTGGTAGAGTTTTGATTAAGGTGTTTGCATGAATGCAGAGTGGATATCAAAACGTGATCACAACACCGCTCGAAATGCTGATGGTACTCTCCATATTTATCTGAAATTTGATCGACAAACATCTAGAGTTTGACTATTAACTCGTTTTTGCTCAATATGCATGCAAATTCGTTTTCTTAACAAAATCTGTAATTGAAAAAAAAAAAAAAAAAGGAAACCGAAACAAAATCCAGTACGTACATACAAGTATAAGTTTCGATCCCTTTAAACGAGAAAATACATCATAAGACTAAGAGGGCCCTTGATTCCCATGCTCATAAGTGTATTCATCGTTTTTTTTCTTTTCGAATAAAGCCACGGATTTCTTCTTCTTCTTTTCAATACATTAATGTTCACGAAAAAAATTTCAATGTATTGGCAAAAAAAAAAAAAAAAAATGAAGATGCGAAATTGTGCTGTCGTTACATATTCACATCGGATCAAGTTACATCGACTAAAAACACAATTTCAACTGTTCATGACTGCGGCATTGAAGATAATCTTAGAGCTAAAATCTGATCAACTAACTATTTTTGGGTATTTAACGTAATCAAAGTTGTAATCTCAATGTAATTATAGCTGTAAATTGCGACCTTATATGGCGTTCATGCGGTGTTCTTTTTGTTTTTTTACACTAAGGAATTCGGACTTCACAGCTGTCTACATCTCTATCCTTCAAAGGGAAAGGAAATCCGGCACGCTTCTATTTTGCTAACAGAATGTACGTCAGATTTATGTTTTGTCAATCCAAAGACCGTGTTTTGAAAACTATGTACACAATATCGTTCAGACTCTATATAAGAACATTCTTGGTCGCTTTGCAACTCTTTATTTTACCTGTATTAATTGAGTAATTGAAAGCTTATGTTTCCTCCGTTCCAAAATTATTATCCAGAATGAATTTTCACTTTTCGTTCAATTTATACAATGAAAATTCAAAGTGGACAATAATATTGAGACAGAGAGAGTATTAATTGTTTGTTCTCATGTAATTGCGTACTTAGATGAAATTTAGAATGTCTATGATGATGCTTTGTAAGGAGAAATTAAAGTTTATCTACTAAATTTGTTGTCCTGACCTGCTGACACTGTTAGGTACGTAGTCAATTAAATTGTTGTTACACAAGAGTTTTCAAATGCTATATCATACTTAAGATATAATTAATCATATAAAATTTAAATATTTATAAAATATTCAACTAAAACTCTAACCAAAACAATGAATAAATCAATTGGAAAAAGTTAAAGCCGGTAATTGATTAAGAAATACTTGTTCATATGTTTAATTATAATAAGACCAATTAAAGGAATATACAAATTTTAAAAGTGATTAGCAGAATTAGAAATATTTAAAATTTTATATAATTGAACATATGAATTATGATATATTCCTTCTGTACAAAAAAAAATTGTGTAAATTTTCTAGAATTTGAAATATTTCAGATTTGTTTAACATGTTAAAGATGAGAAAGTCATTTTTCAACCGTCCTAACAGCGTCTTGCCAGAATAACATGTTATCAATATTATCACTTTTCAAAAAAATAATCACTTTTCAAAAAAATAATCAAATCATTCTTTTTTCAATTTTTATAAAGGGTATTGTTATTGCCAAAATATAACTTAGCATCTAAAACAGATTATTGCCTTTGTTACAAAATTATCCCTATCCAAGTCAAACCTTTTTTTTTTTTTTTAATTCTACTCTTTCCCCGTATGCGCTTTTCTTTCTTTTTTTTTTTCGAGGACTTCTATCTTCTAATTTATTCAGCATGTTTATCAAATCTCACAAAATAAAATTTTTGAGTACCAATTTTTTCTCCTCTCATCATCTATCTCCAAAATCTAACACCAATTTAACACGAATCACAAAGATATCAACTATTATAAATTCATTGTAATTTGAAATTGTTGATTTATGTTTCAGATTCAATGAAGGTTGTAGGCATGATCTAGTAAAATTTTTTGCTTTGTGAAATTATATTTGAAAGTCTCCTTCACGAAGAGAAAGTCAAGAAACTTTCATCGTTCAAATATATAGAAGAAAAAATTCATCGTTCAAATAGAAAAATTAATTTCGCATACGCAACAATTTTTCACGAGGAAGATGAATAAAGTATTGGGTAGTTTTCACTACTTTGATATAGAGTAATAATACTTGAAAGTAATAAATTACGTTGTGTTCTTATTGAAGTTTTCTTTTGTTGTTTTTAATTGAGAGTTCATATTGCAAAAAAAAAAAAAAAAAATTGACTTTTTGTGTGCTGAAATTTGTATAGTTTGCCTTCAAAAAAAAAAAAAAAACGTAATGGGTTGGAAGAGATAGGAAGAGTTGGGAAAAAGAGAAAACCGTAGGAATATGGGAAGAGAATAAAATTTGATTTGAAAGAGGTGTATTTTAGTCACAAAGATAATAATTTGTTTTGGATGTTAATTTATGTTTTGGCAGTAACAATATCCTTTTATAAATTGCTCTTCATATAATTTTTTGCACTGTATTATTATTGCTACAAAAGAATACTCAAGGAGAATTTCAAATTGGAAAAATGATCTTTCTTAAAAGAAATGTAAACTTTAAGAGAATATAAACGAGTTTTCATATTTGGGGCACCAATAACTTCAATAATAAAATGTAGGACAAAGAATCACATTTTATTTTTTGTTAAGGACAAATAATTTAATAGGCTACATGCCTAAATAAATCACACAATTATATTATGCGGATTTGATATACCGATAATATTATACTCTAACCATAATTTAACACAATTTGGTGGGTCTATTAATTAATCGTTGAAACGTAAAAGACAAAGCTCTTTGCTCTCATAAAATGGTTCATCTAATTCAATTGAAGAATCAATGAAGGCTTCTATGGTCTAATTTCGAAAATAAAAAAGAAAAGAAGAGAAATTTATTTTTAAAATTAAAAAAAAAAAATTCTTCACGTGGTATCCCCAATTTACCCTTGAACTTCTTCCTGAATTCCCCAATCCCCCGCCACGGCTACCTATTACCTCTTCCAACCGCACGCTTGCCGATAAGGCAATAATAAGGCAGCCAAAGCCTTTTGAAGAAAACTCTCAGAGGCCGAAATCAAACACTTTCTCCTTGGGGAAAAATGGCTTGCGTTCCAATGGCTACGTTTACATCTTGTCGAAGCAATTTCAGTGTCCCTTCTGCTTCCCTCTCACTTATGACGGGTTCAAGTTCGAGAGTTTCTCACTCATCACTGAAAATGGCTACGGAGGCCACCTCCTCTTCACGTTCTGGGCTGCTTCACTGCTCCTTGTTGGCTCCATCTTCTTCCCTTTCCTTTTCCTCCAAGTCTGCTTTTTCAGGTAATCTCAATTTTAATGCTTTCCTTCCTCTCGTCTTTCTTTGTAATTTAGTTTAACTTAGGGGAACATTTCCGTTTTAGTATCATTCTGAAATGTGGGCGGAAATTTAAAGGTTGGAGCTTTATTGGGTTTTATGTTTTGGATTGTGTTTTTTGTCCTCTTTATTTGTGTAGAATTCTGCGATTATCTAGTTGGAATAGCGGTTGTGGCTATTGTTGGCTGTAAATTCTAGCTGGATTCTGCACTAAGATTTCAATGGGTTCATATACCTATGGGTTGAATTCTGTGGGCTTTTATTATTATTTAGACTCTACCTAGTGGATGGTCACTAGGATGATGTGCATTGTATGATTGGATTATAGTTGTTATTGTGCTGGGAAAAAAGTGATCTGTGACTGGAGGAAAGACACAAAGAATTGGAAGGAAATGTGGAGGATAGGAGAACCCCCCATACTGGAGAGTTTTGTCTACTGCATTGTACTAAAGTTTCATCTTGCCAGTGTTATCTGATCTCTAGATATGTTGCATGTTAAACACTGTATGCGTGTAGCAGATAGAAGAAGGCATACCCGGTGGGTATTGCTTACGTATTGATTAGTGTATTTACTGAATTGTGGAATGGAATTGGAAAGTAATCCTTACGGTACTACTATTTGGCAATGTAACTTCATTTCAATGATGGGGAAAGTTAAAAGGTCGGCTAAAAGGTAAACTAAAAGGTAGGCTAGACTGATGTCCTTTTTACGCTTTATCTTACCTTGTATCCGTTGCATCAACGTTCATAAACGTTTGATTGGATTCTTTATCATGGTTTATGTTTCTAAGATACCAATCATACCATACTCCCTTTCACATTGTCATTTGCATTACTGGGTTCTTCTTTTTGAATGTTGATGAGTGAACATTTGTTTACTGCTGTTTTCTGATATGATTGCAGGTGTTTCGTTGGGATGGGATATCAGCTCCAATTGTGCAGCAAAAACAGGAAAAAGGCAGGGTTTAGTTGTGCAGGCCAAAAAGTATTCCCTTTGTCAGACCAAAAGGAACAGGTCAAGGAAATCCTTGGCTAGAACCCACGGCTTTCGAAAGCGCATGAGTACTACAAGTGGAAGAGCTGTAATAAAGCGTCGTCGTGCAAAGGGTCGATGGAATCTCTGCCCAAAAACTAACCCTAGTAGTGGAAAACGTGCCTGAACATTTAACAAGGCATTGGCTTAGATTGATTTGATTATAGTTCTACTCAAGCAATGGCTATTAACATTGGCGTATAGTCATTATTAAATTGTGTCATTTCGAAAATGTTGTATTCAGTATCTCTCTGCTCTTACATTTTCTTTTGATGAGTTATGAGATGCATGGAAGTGAGTAGTGTTTTGAGCGTCTTTGCTGCTCACTAAATGTCGCTTTGTCCATCTAAAATGTTTCCGTTGCAGAATGACTATGAAACTTCTACTGTTATGAGCAACAGCTTCGGTTGACTGACTGTGGCAGGTGCAAGATAATTATTTGTCAAAATTGAGATGCATTATGTAACACAAGCCTGTCAGTATCACTGCACTTCATTGCTTCAGTCTTGAATGGAACTGGAGCTACATCGCTGTTTCCACGTCCCATCCAATAATATAAGACTCGGGAAATTTATTGTTTAGAAGTTCTGAGCCATTACAGTTTCATTCCCACTGAGCTCTGTGATACTAACACAGTAAGAATGGTTTTAGTTTCGTATGTATGTTTAGTTTTGAAGGCTCATTCGTCAAGTGCATAAAAGCATATTATTTTATGGATTTGGATGTAATGAAATGCTACTTTGTGTTCCATTATTCCCTAAGTAAAGGTTTCTTGGACATATTTCTTTGGAGTACCTTGGACCAACCTCAGATTGATCGTTAGTCCAGAGGCAACTTCCTGAAAACTGACCGGAAGCTTATGAGACGTCCAAATTTCAATTCAACTGCAGTCTGGCAGTAATCCCGATTTGTAATCTAGCAATTACGTTGTTTCTGAATGTTTTGGACCTTCATCAACTAGAAGCTAAGCACAAAAGCCAGAACATCATATTCAACTTTCCTTCTCTTTCACACTCTCCAAGGCCTAAGCGGACCATCAAAACTGCATTTTTCATATGGTGCAAATGAAAGTTGAATCGTCATATATCATCTTCGTTTGATGCCGTAAATTGGTCTCACGCAAAACCATCGTGCAATGCACGGTAGGATAAAATGGACATTGAGTTAAATAAAACAAAATGGAGTAGCTAAGTATCACGATGGCCAACTCTTTGAAACCTACATAAGTATGAGTTCGTGTTCATCAGCTCTGCATAGATAGTAATCGCATAATGGCGTTGAGTTTGATGAAGGTAGGTGCGCTTTGTGTAATGATCATAGTATTTTCAGGGGTTCCACAAGCCCTGTCTCGTGCAATCCATTCGCCTTCCATGACAGAAAGGCATGAGCAATGGATGGCTACCTATGGACGTGAGTACAAGGACGCTGCAGAGAAGGAAAAGCGCTACAACATCTTCAAAGCAAATGTTGAGTTCATAGAATCTGTGAATAATGCAGGAAATCAGCCTTATAAGCTTGGTTTGAATGAATATGCAGACCTGACCAATGAAGAATTTAAAGCAGCTCATATCAGATACGGTATCTCCCCAAAGACAACAAAGTCCATCAGGTATGAAAATATGACACTGATTCCCCCAAGCATTGATTGGAGGCAGAAAGGAGCTGTTACTCCAATTAGGGGTTCAACATGTGGTAAGTTTGTTTTTATACTTCTAATATCTATTGGTTTTTAATGTATCTTTCTACTCACCGTGTAAAAGAGTTTGTCATAATGCACAGGAGGTTGGGCGATTCCTGCTGTTGATACCGTAGAAGGGCTCACAAAGATCAACACTGGCAAGCTTTACACCTTGTCAATTCAAGAAATTGTAGACTGTGATGATGGCGGCCATGGTTGTGAAGGAGGATTTGCTAAAGATGCCTTCGAGTTCATTAAACAGCATGGTCTCACTACTGAGAGCAACTATCCTTCCGGTAATAGTGCAGGCTCTTGTAATACCAACAAGGAAAAAGAACCTGTTGCCAAGATTGGCGGCTATAAAAAAGTACCGGCTGACAATGAATTGACACTTTTACAAGCAGTAGCAAACCAACCAGTGGCTGTCATGGTCGATGCCTCCGGTCCGGCCTTCCAGTTTTATAAAAGTGGTGTCTTCACTGGACCATGTGGAACTGAAGTAGACCTCGGCGTGACTTTGATTGGCTATGGTACCGCCGGAAAGCTGAAGTATTGGCTTATTAAGAATTCATGGGGAACTACTTGGGGAGAAAAGGGTTACATGAGGCTTGAAAGAGATGTCAAGGCTAAGGAAGGCTTGTGTGGAATTACAATAGAATGTATCTATCCCACTATGTGATTTGCATGCAAATTTCTTGTATTGGTTTAATCTTGGTGTGACTTCAGATATATGACTGCAGTATCTATTTAATTTACGAAGATCATCGTCAATGCAGAGAGGTAAATGGTACTACCATAGTTAAACCCAACAATGAAGCAAAAAAGCAAAATATTACCACTGAAGGATCCATCATCTTGTTAACGAACTGAAACACAATAATCGGCCTTCGACCACAAGAGCGAAAAAATGGTATAAAGCAGTCCTATCCTATCTAAGATTCTGTACAGATGGCTATAATGGTTTATTTCACTGCCTTCAACAAGAAAGAAGTGGCAATTCCAAAGAATGAAAATGATCTCCATGCTCCTAAGATCTTCAATGTGTACCAAGACAAGTTATATATCAACAGCAGCACCAGGTGAAATGCAGAACTCATTCAGGTTTCATCTGTTTATTTAACAGTTTGATTACAGCGTGATCAGCATATAAAGATCCAGTTTTCACCAGTCCTACTGAGTTCTACAGTTTTTAACATTTACCTGGTAGAGAAGAATCTAAACAGCTGAACTAGCGCCCTCTAATGTCATCCAAAATCAAAGAATGGTCAAGTCCGATTCACATGTTTATACATAGATGCATTAAACAGATCAGAGAGTGCTTGTATCAATGACTCCGGAGCGAAAATTACACCCACTTTTGGGTCTTTTATTGAATCAACAGTAACCTGGAGTTCAAGGAGAATAGCGAGGATATTATAACTCATTATGATAACACTAATTGCAACCACTTCATCTTCTCGCTGTCAAAATTGACTGCTCATCGTAAGAGAGAAAAATACAGACATCACAGGTTTAATTGTTGAGGCGAAAAATATAAGCTAGCTATGAAAGTACTACATGGTCCCAACTCACATGAAGAAAACAAACTTACCACATGTGAAATGCCTTGGGCAGCCAAAAGTTCAACATCTACAGGAATCTGACTGTCTTTAGGAACCAAAATTGTGTTGATGTATTCATTTGGCTGCAAAAAATCGGGCAAACCTGGTAAGCAACAGCTTTTCCTGATGATTATTGGGACAAGCTATAACATGGAGCAACAATACAATGACAATAACAAGCCATGTGAGGTCCTCTCTATGGATCATATTGCCACCATTGTGTAGGCTGACCATACATACGACTCAAATCATGTCTTTTTATATTTTCTTTCATCTGAATTACTGATTAAAGGCTTCTACTCGTCTAACTAGGAGCAAGTATATGCGAACTAAATTTTGAGTAAATAACATGAATAATCCACTATATCTGGCCAAAAGGTTTATTTTATCCTCAACATAAAAGATGATTTTTGAATTTTGTTAGCCATTTTGAGTAGTGAATATGACAAATGAACGTTACTTAACATCTATTAAAGAGTAACAATGAAAATAATAGTTAATGGTCCCTAACTTCCTAAGTCCCCTCTAATGCACATCTTTTTCATCACAGGGTTTCATGTGCAGTTCACAGGCCATTTTCGACCAGAGTGAACATCAGTTGCCAAGAGGAAAGTTGCATTTCATGAGTAAGCTACCTAAGGATTTTTTATAAATGTAGAGGACAAAAGATCTTTAACACAAATGTAATGAATGATTTGGTCATTTACTTGCTAAATTTAATGAGCAAAACAAGGCACAACTCAAAAAGGCCCCAATAAGCTTTGGCCCAAATAGCAATGCAACTCAAACTATATCCAGAAAGGTGCATGATAAGCTAATTAAAGGTACACGAAAGCTTGGAGTAGAATATGACACCATGGCTATCAATACTGCTTTCCAGGTTTCCCCAAATTAGACTCCTTCGGAAGGAAGGCTAGTTAACCATCACAGAGACTTTTGATATCAGTGAATCTATGAGCTGAGTAATCCACATATGGAAGCAGATTCTAGCTTAGATGGTTTAATAGTTCACCTCCTAAGAAAATTGTTTGTCTGATGGAGTGCTCACAAAACAAAAATAAATTGGAAGTTCAACCAAATTATTTTATGTCCTGAGAAAAGGAAGATATCAGTGGCTCTAAATTAACATTTCCATCATATAACTTCATTAGAGAAAAAAGCATATCAGCCAGATTCAGTAAAACTGGAAAAAAGTAAATAAAACTGAAACCTCTTTCAAGAAGCCTCGGAACTTGTGAACTTCCATATCATGCGACTACTTACCCTGTTATTAAGACAATTATGAGGATCACCATAGGTTCGATTTAAGGCATCTGTGATTGCAGTCACAAAGCTAGATGCCGTAAAACCAGTAGTTTCACGATCTGGAGTACCATTCAATAACAGCACCTGCAAAAGGGAGGAAACTACTGTCAGTTGAAGGTCAAAGAATAAACTTCCCATAAATGAGATAAATGTTGGCTGTGGAGTGAGGACCAATGATTTCAAATGCAAAAATAGACACCAAAAAAAAAAAAAAAGAGGCAGCAAGCATAACTTCCAAGAGAGTGATTCGAGTGTGAAGCTTTACAATAAAAGATACACATTAAGATTCTAAAATGAGATTACCTTGGGACACGACCTTGATGAGATAATCTCTCCGACTCCACGTAAAACCTGTGACATTAACACAAACAAATAACATAAAATAAAATAAAAATCGCCTGAAATCTTACACAACATTAATTGATTTACTTTACAATATGATCGTAGAGATACTAAGAACATCACTAGTGGTAACAGCCCCATTTCATTCCAGCTAATCAACCACAGTTTGGGCACACTAACAATATGAAATTATGCCTGTGACCATAAAGCAATGATTCCTCTGACCATGAAGTGCAAACATTAAAAGGCGTCAAAACAAGTACACAAACTTTACCAATAAAGACTTTAAACCTGTCATTGCAGTGGTCATATGCACTGAAGAGTCCAAATCGGCTTTGTCAGACACAATTACAGAGATAACTAAATTTTACCAACATTGTGGCTTAGCTATACTGATTACATCTTTTTGTAGTGCTCCATCAAAATACATGGTTCTCTCATAGGTTTAATTAATGATGCCTCTAGATATGTTTCTCCATCATTCTCCCTCTGCTTTTAATTTGAGTTAAAATTCTTTGTTTTGACATATGAGGATACGACAAAGGTCTCCTATAAACATGTTTCTAATGTTCACATAAGGATACATATGTTGCAATAGAGTCCGATCACAACAAGAACAACAAGAAGCTTTTATACCACTACATTGGATGCCTATATGGATCATGTGCCAAGTGCTCTGTACACGCACGCTATTCGCAAACTAAAAATCGAAATTCATTGTTCAACTTACCAGAGAGGGGCAAAGAGATGTAAAGAGTGATCCCATGGCAAAGATGATGCAGTCAACGGTCTGCAACTTTTCCAGGACAGTTGGGTTCACAATAGGAAAAACCTGTAAAATGACCAAATATAGGATGTCAATGTATGATGGATCACAAGATCCAAAATAAAAAAGAAGTGAAAACAAAACTTTGATAAGGATATCTCTGCAAAACAGTATCAAAAAATCAACTAAGAACTCATTTTACATAAATCATAGCAGCCATTGCGGGTTGTTTCACTTTAGGATTTGGGTTACAAGAGAACTCATCTCCAAATGGAGAACGTTTCTTTAAAAGTAACATTATCCATGAGGGATAAATAGCATTTCAATAACTAGCTCCCCCCTTTCAATAACTAGCATTTCAATAATATGTTTGGATAGACAAAGCTATGGGTAAGAATTATTATCATGCTAACTCATTCAATCACAAGACCAACTGGCAACAGAACATAAAAAGTGCAGCCACTGCAGAGGAGGGCTGGGACAAGATTTGGCCAAAATATTCTCAGGTAAAAAGACTTCGATAAGTTAAATCATAATTTAAAACAAAATCATCATTCACCTCATGCAGTAGATTGCAGCCTTCGCTGGACATGTAGAATACTCGTTTAATCCTTGAAGGAAGAGCAGGAGCCGAAGAATTTCCCTATTCACATTGCACACAATTATGAGACATATTAGCAAATAACTGAGGCAAAAAGTTTCAAGCAAGTGTATAATTTCATTAAACTATTGGAATAGGGAAATCAGATCATCTATCTGACAGAAGTATGAAATATACTACGTCTAGATAATCGTGAAAGTTCAGTTGCGCTACTTGCCATGAGAATTGGGAAAAGGATTAGATTCATATTAGTTCAATTGAAATATCTTGGACCCAATAATGGACGAAAAATGGGAGATGGTTTACCTTGTCTATAGTTGACACTGATCCACTGCTTGGATGAGATATTTCATTTTGCCCACGAATGATGGTTCCATCCTGGATGGAGCAATATAAAAGTGGACTCAGGTTCATAAGAAACTCAACTAAAACCAAAGTTTGAAATTTTACAGTTCACTGTGCATGTCCCGAACGCAGCAGTTTATCTTTTGAGAGACCAAGTAATGAAGCTCGACATTAAGAAAGAAGCATTATGCATCACCAATGGTTTATTATGTAGAAGTACATGAAAGTGTACTTGACATCTTTTGAGGTGCATAGTAGGAAAAGAAACGAAAGTATGGGATGAAAATGCGATGCAATTATCAGAACACTGAATGATTTCCTCACTACAACGCAGGAAAGATTTCCCTTAGGAACTGTTCATTCTTTTCCTTGGATCAACACATGAAGCAAGTCAGAAAATCATATTTCATATGGACCTATAAGTATATAATACATTCAAGAAAAGATATCGAAAATATAATCCAACCATATCAACTCAGCCTCTTTCATAAACAGCAAGACTTCTCAATAAAGCACCCAGGAGGTAAATATGAGTCAGTAACAACATAGCAAGAAAATCTATTAAGGCATTACAAGCCAGCCAATCTTTAATTGGAAGCTAAGAAGTGTTGGAGAGTCTAGAATTGAATACAACAATGAAGTCCTTTTCGAGAATCTTTCTAAACTGCCTATCTTCTTATAAAAAATAATGATAAATCAAATAGATAAAATAGCCTAGGCATGCTTAAAAGAGCAAAGAGAAAGAAGTGCTATTTTAGACCTTTATAGACTCAAGCAAGAAAAAAGATTGTGCTTGTCACTAATTGCCTATTAATCTATCTTACAAATATAAACTCTTCAGGATACATAGAGCATAATTACTATCTGATGGTCAGTTCAGAAAATAATCATACCCATAGTTCACAACCCAATGTAAGCCTGTCGTTGGTGGATATCACTGGGAGGACCACACTTTCTGTGGGAATATCTGAAACACGTGAGAACAAAAAGATAGCAGCATCTAAAGACTGAAAGAAAATCCGGGCCCCAGCAAAGAAGAAGTTCCCAATGCTGCAAGTTTGATGGCAAGTTAATTCAGGACTAAGACATGGAAATCCTACCAACAGAGTAGAGAACAACAGATTCTCAGATATAAGAAGCAAGTAATAATCTAAAACAAAACTAAAAATACAAAGAAATTAGTGATATTCTCCTTGGAATTCATGCCACAAAACAGATAACAAAAGATTTCCTAAATTATCAAAGGCAGAATGGATGGAAGAAACTGCCACAAGAAAGAGTCTCGAAGACTTGAAGGAAAAAACCAAACCAAATAGACACAATTACAGTAACGAATTTGGTCACAAAAATCTTGGAAAACGATGTAAACAACAATTCAATACATTGGTTTCATTTCAGTGGAAGTTTTCACATATTTGTCCTTGTGGATGAGCCTTAGAGGTGTCTTTTTGATCCAAAGTTACAGGAACTACTCCCTTTTTAATTTTGTCTATTACAGTGTGACTCCAGATTCTCGTTTTCAATCATTAAATATAAAAAAGATCTTTTCATGAATTCTTCATGCAAACACCTGTTTCCCAAAATAAACAAAGAGTTTAATATACATACAGCACATGTGATATCCATACCATGGTAACAAATTGCATAAAGATAATTATATTTGGAGCTGATTTCAAATATTCTAAGATCATAGCCTGAACCATAATCTATATGTATGACGAAAGGATCATTGGTACCTTCCGTTGCTGAAGCAAAATTGATCATCCGCATGACGTAGGATCTGAAGACAAAACCAAATGTTAATAAGCGATATTCATTGAATAAGTTAAATTATAACTACAAAAGATTAAGGTGGGTTAAAAAAAAAAATGTACAGGAATGAATCAACAAAGAGAAAACCAAGATGATGAGAACTTGATGCGGAACAGGAACAAAGATGAATAAACTACAGAAAGAGAGGAACGAGAGAAAACAGAGCCGCCTCTGAATTTTCAATCTCAATTAAATTATCAATCAAAAACTGTTGCACTCTCAACAAAATTCTGGCACCCCAAATCAAATCTGTCAACACCAATCTGCCAGGAACACACCTTACCCTCCTTGTTTTCGAAATCACTTAAAAAACAAGGCTCACAAAACTCAATAACATCCGAACACTCAACCCAGTCTTCCGGGTACTCATCATAGATTGGTGGATTGTTCCAATCAAGATCATGCTTCTCCCATGGATCATAATCTAATCCATATGAGAAAATCCCATCCTTCATATTACCTTCCGGTAAGTCTGAAGAATAACCACTGCAATCTAATCGTTCTTCAAGTTGACAGTGTTGATCTCCGGGACCATAGAACGGACTAACCTCTTCTACCTTATGTTTAAACACCTCATCAACACCTTCCGGTGGATCAGGATCTTCGACACCTTTGGGTATCAATCCTCGTGCTGCCGCACGGTTGTCACGTTGTTGGTTCTGCACCAGCAACCTGAGTTGCGCAAGTTCTCGTCGCAATTCTTCAATTCCAACCACATATTCCTGGTTCTGAACTCTCCTAGGGACAGCAACACAGCCTTTGCGTGCCATCGAAACCTGGGGCTCGTGATACCAAATTGATGGGGAACAGGAACAAAGATGAATAAACTACAGAAAGAGAGGAACGAGAGAAAACAGAGCCGCCTCTGAATTTTCAATCTCAATTAAATTATCAATCAAAAACTGTTGCACTCTCAACAATATTCTGGCACCCCAAATCAAATCTGTCAACACCAATCTGCCGGGAACACACCTTACCCTCCTTGTTTTCGAAATCACTTAAAAAACAAGGCTCACAAAACTCAATAACATCCTCCTCAGAGACATCCGAACACTCAACCCAGTCTTCCGGGTACTCATCATAGATTGGTGGATTGTTCCAATCAAGATCATGCTTCAAAACAAAAAAACTAGCAATAGATCCGACAACAAACAAATAAACCAATTTCGGGAAAAAAACTCTTACCGACAAATCATCAACTCCAATGGTATAGGACCTTTCGGCTCTGATACCAAATTGATGGGGAACAGGGAGGGTTTGTTTTTCTCACGTGAATCAGATTTCGATTCAAGTGAGGACCAGATCGTTGATTGGAGCAGTCCACCAGTTTATGATGTTTGCCCAGATGAGTTTCTGGATGAACTGGTTAATGATGGTGTTCATGGTGTTGTTCAGTTTTCTCTTCCAACTGAACCAATAGCAGACAAGGAAGATTTGGAAGAGTTTGATGGGTTTAATATACTTGGGGAGGAGAAGAATTATGTTAATGTGGCAGAACTTCCAGTGATTCAACAAAGTTTGTGCTTTACTCAAGAGGATCTGCTACAAGCACAAGCAGCAATGGTGTCCGGTGTTTGTTTTGAATCATGTGATCCAGTTTGCAATTTCAAAGCTAAATTTTCAAGAAAATCACAAGAAGCTTATGAGTTTAAGAACTCTCTGAGTCAACAAATTGTTCATGCATGGAGAAGGCGTTTTTTATATTAAAATAATTTTAAGCTTTTGAAGCTTCGACAGACTCTGTCTTTCTGAAATCCCTACAGCTAGGGTTTGCCTTTCCGTCTGTTTTCAATTAAACCCCCCTCTGTTCCCCATCAGAACTGCAAGGTGAAGAAAGAGATGGTGGAATGAAGAATCATCATTGAGATAAAAGACAAGGAAAAATAACTTCAGATGCACATGACATATGAGCTTAACAAAAAATGCAGATCATTTAATAGAGATCAACATGCATCCAAAGAAAGATTATACTTATGAATTATTGATACTCCCTACACCTCGAAATAATTGTCCAGCTCTTGTACTAACTTTAGTAAGACAAACAAGACAATCATTTTGGGGATGGAGAGAGTAGATCACACAAGGCAAATAAGAAAACATGCACACTTGCTGCACATGCATGATATACATTCTGGGGAGTAGTTAACTGAGACAACAAAGGAGAGCATATTACAAGCATTCATCAAATGATAAGAAGAAAATGTCCAGTATAACCATGCAAAACTCAACTACAGAAGTTTAGTGTAATGATTTTACAAAAACTAAATGAGAAGCCTCTTTTGCCAACATACCTGATCCTGAAAATATACCAAGAAGGCTCGTATAGTTTCCCTGTAGGGTTTCGAGACACCTTTCCAAAGGGAATGCTTTCCTTCCACAATGCTGTACCTATAAAATTGTCAAGGTTAAAACACAGGATGATTTGGAGAAGGAATAAAGCATGTATTTAAAGAGGAATGCTCGAGGAGAATGGAAAACCCACCACTCTAATTTGGCCACTTCTGCATCAAGGGGTAACCGGTGACCGAGCAACATTCGGACTGAAAGAGCCTCAGAAGTGCTTTGGTCAGACAATCTCAAACATCTTGAACGAATGTCACCAACAGCTGGGCCACCTGTAAATTGATCATTCGAAAAATTAATACATTTTGGGTCCCGGCCAGTGAAAAATTGGCGCACGTGTGCGATAAAACTTGATTTCAGGGGAATCCAAAAAACTGTGTGAGATGCCCATAGGCCATATCTCAAGCACTACAACAGTCAGAGACGAAAATATTTAAATGGAGTACTGATAAGACTTTTATCTTTCGTGTAAAATGTCAGTTGCATATACACTCTTGTCAGAAGATTACCTAACCCAATGGGAGTTGGGAGACCGAATGTTGTTACTTAAATTTCATAAACAGAATATTTTCTCTCTACTCTATTGTGGGGCTTGTTCTTATTCGTCATACCAAAGTTTGCTTCATTTGCTCAAAGTTAGCAGCTCATTACATTAGAACATCAAAGAACAAGACTCAGAAACATCAACAGTCATAAAATGTACCCAGAACACGCACAATCTCTGCAGTACTTCCCCCATCATCAGAAACCGGAAGGACATGAGCTACTCGGGTAGTTAACTTCTTCAGCTCTTCTACGACTCCATTAAAGGCGGTTCCACCTGAACCAATATCAAATTCATATCACATGTTGTTACCCTATGCATATCATTGACAAGAATGACCCAACCGTATAAGCAAACAACAATAGATATCAAGAACTAATAGAAGAATCTAAAATATACATTTTAGGTCCGAAATGGATCATTTATCACGAGAAGGTCTTAGTCCCCGACTGAGATACTAAATTTCCATTTGAAAAGAAAATGGTTGATAATTCCCTCTATTTTCCAATACTAAAAGTTTCAACAAGAGTCCTTAGCATTTAAGATGCACTATACTACTTGCTGAGCTCCAGATGCACTATACTACTTGCTGAGCTCCAGAAATAGAAAGGTGTGGCCAATTAAAACTTCCTTTGATGTTTCTCACAATTTAACATATTCACGGTCTTGTTGTCAAAGGAACAGAAACAATGCCCTGATCAAAATTATACAGCAACTAGCATTAGAATTATGTTGGATGAATTTACAGCAATATGGGCAGTAATGAGTTAAATTGCTTCCAAGTTACTAACAGGACTAGAATAAAATCAATCCAATCAACCACCGCATAACTTCCATGCTGACGATCGCATATTGACTCATAGGGCAATCAGATTACTACATAGATGGCGCAATAAAGACAATGGCATGCAGATGCCTTATTTTCACAAAAAAAAAAAAAATGACATGCGCAATAATGATACGATTCTTGGATTTTCACAAAAATAAAAAAAATAAAAAATAAAAAAATCCACAAAATCTCAAAGCCAAAATATCAGCACAGCCAGATGCCTTATTTTCATCCAAGAATCGAGTTTTATTACATGAATTCCTACTGGCAAACATTCAGTTGAAGAACCCAATCAACAATGCGGAAAAGCTAAACAAATTAAAGTAGAATTGGAGAACGAACCCGAGAAGACAAGAAGGGAGGGCTGATAATCAGGGGCGGAAGAGGCGGAGTGACCGTTTTGAGCAAGAAAAGGATCAGCAGGGTGGAGGGAGCCATTAGGAATGGAAGACATCGAAGGAGAAACGGAAGAAGAAGAAAGCAGGGATTTTGAAGAGGCGGCGGAGAAGGATAGTTTGGGATGAAGACGGGGAAGGGAAGAAGGAGAAAATGTGAAGGGAATTGGGTGAGAAAGGAGAAGGGAAGTGGGTTTTAAGGGACCCAAGCAACTGTCCGCCATATTCCCGCGATTTCTCTACTCCTTTCCTTAATTCCTACAATACGTACTCGATTCCGCAACTTCTCCCTCTCCTTCTTCTTCCTCGTACCAAGCCCCCCAACGGCCACCTGCCACTAGATTATTCCTTTTTATTTTCCCTTTCATTTTTGTCTTTCGTTTTTGTCTTTTGAAAGATAATATTAGGAAAAAGTTTTAAATCAATTAATTTGATTTCCCATAAAATTTCTTGAGTAATAATACTATCTTCATCATAGGAAAATTGTCTGTTTTTTTACAAATATATGTAAATTATGCCTTTTTTAAGTATAATTTATAAATTCTAATGTGAATTATTTTTTGTGAAAAGGAGATATGAACTACTATCTGTCTTTAAAAAAAATAATAAAATAATTCACGTCGAGTTTCCCAATCTGTATTAGTTTCAGTGCAAATTTTAAAATTTAATGTAAACTATTTGTGTGACAATGCGAGACACATATTACATCGTTATAATTCTAAGCATTGAGACACATATTACATCTCTTATAATTCTAAGCATTGGTGAGAAGTTTCTCATGCATCATGTCAATAGAAGAAGTTTCCCAAGCATCATGACAATAGAAGGCATTAGAGAATCCATATTTAACTTTTCGCCTATTACTTGTAAATAGACTTTTCACCTATTAATATGTAACTGTGATACACCACTATTAAGATTAATATTCATACCAATTTAATGTTAATACTTCAACCATTGATCACTTATGCGTGTTAAGCTTACCATATTCAACGGAACTTTGATAATGAGAATTTCGGGTTTATCATATTTTATAGGTTTTGGAACATTGTGTGCTTTTTTAAAAACACTTCTAATATCATCCTGGAAATCTGGCAAAATTTGGCCAATGATATAAAGAGAAAGAGAGCAATAGGAAGACTTCCACAAATCAAAAATTCTAGCAGTTGTCAATTTTCAACTGATTGCCTGCTATTTACAGATTACCTCAATGTCTTGAAAACCAAAAACAGACAGAAAGCCTTATTGATTTTAGCCATCCCCTGAATTATTTTGTGGTCAATGAAATGCCAAAATACCACATTTTAGTTCCCAAGTTTGGCTCTCAAGGAGGCCTTAAGGGCCTATACAATCACCCAATCAGACTCAGAAAAATCTTGCTCTGGAAGCTCTGATTCCCCTCTAAACAACTGTTCGAATTCAGAGTTTCCTCCATATGTAACGGATTCTGCATCACCATCTACAGCCCTAGAAATCCTTCTGCATCCACACTCTTTGTCAAACTGCATTGTTGAACAAGACTTGCACACAGTTCCCTGATGGAAAAAGAACACAATGCATACCTATCAGTTGAACGTCTTAAGTCATGAAGATAATACACATAAATAATCCTCACCGACCTAAGCTAAGCAGTCAAACCTCGCTCTTAGCCAACAAGCATGTAAACAACACATAGGGCTCCACTCGCGGAGTAAAATTACACATTACACGTGGATACCACATTATGATTCCCCACCAAAAAAATACCTGACAAATGAAGGTCTCCTCTATCAAATCAGGAGCAAGACACAATTTTCGGGTATCTAGCATTGTGCATTTATCCTCAATCAACTCTGTTGCTTTTACATCATGATTATCCTCGATCTCCTTTGCTTTGATCACATCTGATTCACCTGGAAAATGAAAGTAAAAAGTTACTCGTGAAAAGACCAATTTTAAGTGTATCACAAAAGCAAATTTCATGCGCCTCATTGAGAAGGAATAAGAAGCAGAAGAATGTGTATGTATGGTTGCAGATAACAGAACTGTATTCAGATAAACAAAATGGCATGGAACACAACTTACCATTCGAGTCGCTTGATCCTGTTCTTACTTCATGGCCTAATGGAATTCCTTGATTCTCTGGATATAGGTTTACATTACAGCCAGGAGTAACCTTAGAGTTGTCTAAAGGGACAGCTGGATGCTCCTTTTTGACATCTGAAATTTTTTCATCAGCAGTGTCACTCAATTCCCCTACTCCAGCGAACATGGATGATGGACTGGTCACAGTTGAAAGCTCAACTTTGGGATCTGCGGAGTGTCTATCTAGAAGCTCACCCAATTGCAGTAATTTGGCAGGTGGGTTGGATGATGAACTCTGAGGCAAATTCTCATGACATTCACCATCATGATTATAAGCTTCCACTTGGGAAACTTCAATATCTCTAATACGAAGCTCCTCGAAGCACAGATCTTTTCCAATATTGGTTCCTGTTTCGAAGGGTGAATCATAATGCTCATTTTCAATGATATCCATAGGAAAGGGAGAAGAATCATCAGAAGGTGCCTTTGTAGGTTCTTCATTGATATCAGTTCTCATTTGTTCTGCAACAGAAGGTGATGGTTTCTCTTTCAATGTGTTAATAATAGTCTCTGGCAGCATTTCCTCCACAAACTCTGAACAGAACTGCTTGACATTTGCTCCGGCTTTCAATAACTGGTTTTCAGCGTACTCAAATGGAACCTGTCCAAGCAAGAAATTATCAATTAAACAGCCAATTCTGTTTACGTAAATCTATAATTGTAGCACTCAAATTAACCGCAGAGTAGACAATAGTAGATAAGTAGATACAATATTCTTGAACAATGCGTAACTTGACAAATTGGAGACCTAAGTGGCAACAGATTTCTTATACAAAATTCCCAAGTCTTGACTTTGCATATCTAGTGTTTATATTTATTCATTTCACTAAACTAACTTTATTCCTCTTCCTTAAAGTTTCCAACAACAACAATTAAGCCATCATTCCAATTTGTGGTCCCTACATGGATCATATGCAGCCCTTAAGCTCTATCAACATATTTGTTCTCATAGTTTAAGACAAAAGAAGCTGTTTTTATAGTTGGAAACTTGGAATTTCAGTGATAGGAGAAAGTACAAGTGTTCCTTTCTTCCTGGATATGCAAAGTAAATATCTTCCAAGAAAGCTAGAAATATTTTAAATTCGGAGCTTGAATCAAAGTTCGAAGTTAGTAGGCATTAATGCAAAAAAAAATTCAACTCCAGCAGAAAGGATCCATTGAGAAACAGAACTAATTGGGTCAATAAGAAAACAACCATCAAAAACTAAACAGGAGCAAAAGTTTCAATGCCTTGAGGTATCCAGAATCGAGAAGAAAAATACCTGATTTATGATATCGTTGATATCCGAACTAAAATTATCAAACTTGTCCAGCACATTCTCAAACCATGAGAAAGTCTTGTCCATGGCAAATGCAAATGGCGAACTTCGGCTGGAGAACAAAAGAAATTCAAAAGAATCGCATTCATTATCACCTCAGAGATGAAAAAACAACCAAAAGGGTAAGTTACTTTCTTAAGAGACGAAACTAAATATCAATAAATTGACACAAGAACATCAGATGTGCATTCGTCTGTATAAGTCTATATTCTACAATTATCCAGGGTTGACCTTTAACCACTGCATTAGGTGAAGTTACCTTCCCAAGCAAAGAATACATTAAAGATTATTCTTTTAATAGCAAGAATAAATCATAAAATCTTTGATAAACAAGGACAGAGACCTTAAAAAGTCCACCGCAGTTCTCAATAACAAGTACCAAGTTTGAACAATGCAACGGATAAACTCACTTAAGATGTAAGCACAGAATTGTAGCAGAAATATGCATATAGCCAAAGAATTCTTCACATTGATGCATACAGCCCATTCTATTCATCAACAGGTCTAACCCCTTTCCCAACCGCCACTTTGGCCTACTTTCGGCAGAACCAGAAACATTATGCAAGAAAATCCAACATTATCCCTCCGAATTTTAAAACTCACGAAACTCTCCCCAATTAGCCACTACCAGCTACCCATGAATCTTAATAGCAGAACCTTTGATGCTCTATTCTCCAAATTTAGTAAGGACTCGTGTAGGTTAATTTTCTAAAGTTGTTCCCATTGTTCTAGCCATTACCCGAATATCAATACTCTCTAGCCAAATAATCTTTTCAAACTGAGCCGATCAGTCAAACAAAGTTCATCAATCAAGCAAAAAAAAAGAAAAAAAAGAAACAGAAGGTGATCGACATATTAAGCTAACTCCTAAGTCATCATTATTTTCCCCCAGAAATTAAAAAAAAAAAGCAGAAAAAAAGGATGGCAATCAACGATTGACAAGAAAAAACATCCTAATACAAAAACAAAGAAAAAAGACTACAGCTTTCTGCGACAAAACCATCAAGGACTTACCAGTTAGAAGCAGCTTTCACGTCCCAGAAGATGAGATTGTCTCAATAAATACAAAAATTCAAGCAAACCCAATTCAGAACTAGAATCCTCAAATTTGCAGAACAAAGCTTTCCTCGACAAGAATAATGTTGTGTATAAAGAGGTTGTAATTCAGTGGACTTCCAACTCCGAGTTCCAACAGGGTTTAAGGAAGGTAAAACCGAAGAGGAATCGAAAATTGAGATTGTTTAAAAAAGTAAAACGGAAAAGAGAAAAAGAGAGAATTTTTTTTCAGTTGTTGTAGAAAAGGAAAAAGAATAAAGGCAGGCTAAAAAGACAAAAAGCCCGGCGGATATAAATTGTTGGGGGAAAAAAGAAAAGAACCCCTGTAAAAAGGGACGGAGAGCTTAAAATTTTGGATATATTTCGTATTTGACTTTTGTTGGAGAGTTGACTTATTTCCAACCTTTGTTATTGACCCGATTTTCTCTCAAATTAATTATCCATCCCCTTTTCTTATATCAGCTTTAAATTTTGAGAGAACTAATTCTAGAAAATTCAAGACAATAAGATCTGGTTTCAAATCAAAGATGAAAACATTCAAAAAAAAAATTTCCAAATTATTTTATCTGATCACATTAAATTAACATTAAATAATTCTATCACATACCGTTTAAACAAAGGAAAATGTTAGACGCTTCTCTGAATTAAATACTCTATCCGGTCCTTAATATAAGGCATTTTGATTTGTCCTAAATTTAACCTAGTACATATTATTAATTGACAAAAAAATCTTAAATTTTTTTCATAACCATCAAGAGAATACAACAAATATGAAAATATGTTTTTAAGGTTTTTTGTCAATTAAAAATACGTATTAGGTGAAACCTAAGACAAATTCAAAATGCCTTATATTAAAGACCGGAGGGAGTACATCACAAATTTAAGTCAGAAATAAATAGGGATTTATCACTGATTTTCTGAAGAAAAATGTAAATGACGTTAAAAGTATGTGTACAATGCTTTTTTCGGACATTAAAACGTCTTATTACAATCCAATCACTTGTCTAGTAGTAGATGAGAATGTGTATAGTGAAACTTTTATATGCATATTCGCCCGACCTTTCAAACCATCATAGTCTTTTGTTAGTGCATATGATTCCGAGGCCTGATTTGATCTCTCTCCTGTAGGTGTTTGTCAGCCGAAATTGCTTACTTGAATCAATTGCAATGGAGTTAGATTATGAACCCTTTAAATTTCAGTATAGACTAATGTTGTTAGGTGAGATCCCAACTTTGAAAGAAATGATTATTCTTAAGAAATATTCGTTCCGTTCCAAACTGAATAATAATTTTGAAACAGATAAGTAGAATATTAACAAACTCTTAAATGGGGCGATCATCGCAAAAGTGAATATGTGACACTTCTCTCTCCAAATAAGAGGGGGACAAAATGCATCATTTCCCATTGAAAACATACACGAACCTTCAAGGAAGAATTGATCCGTAAGTCCACAAGCAAAACAATTATTCGAACTCTTTAGACAGAGCAATAAAGCACAAACATTACATACATACATATTGTCGCTTGTTGAAAGAAACTACTGCTTGACAGAATGGTAAACCATCGAAAACTAACTGAAACGCAAACTTTCTTCTCAGTCGATAACCATCATAATTTCCTGAAAACAACATCTTAATTCGTAGCCACACTAATTACTTTCATTGTTTAAACCTGCCCTTTCTTATCCCCTATCACATAACACATCTTTGCCCATAACAAGCTCATCAGAGGAATAAGCCTAGATCGATAGTCAGAATCCAAAGCATCTTTTTTTTTTAAAAGTTGCACTCCCTCCGTCCCAAAATTATTGTACACCAGTCATAATTTCTAGGCGGAAATTTTTGTGTCCCCATAGGAGAAGATTTTTCTGGCATTATTGAAGCTCATCTGTGCAAGTTCTTCTTTCTCCATCTCAAGTAAAGATGCTACATACTCAAGCACATAATGAATGTTTGCTGGATGATTAAGCATTTCTTCATCAGAAGCCGCAGACAAATTAGGATCTGAACAAATTGTGGTTGGCAAAGCATCAGGAGAATCAGTCTCCAATAAAATTCGATCCAGCGGAATCGCTTTCAGAATCTTCTTCGCCTTACTCAACTCCATCGGCATCAGATGCCCAGAGATCGAGAAATAAGCACCAAGATCAGCAAGCTGCGGGACTAAATCATGACTACCATTGTATGAATGAAGCAAAAACCCGGCTGGAAAGGGTCCCAAAGATTTCAGGATTTCAATCAGATCATCAAAAGCTTCAACACAATGAATTGAAGCTGGCCTGTTTATTTCCTTGGCGAGCTGAAGTTGTTTCTGAAAGACTTCAACTTGATCTGTATAATCAACATGGCTGGCCCATGGAGCCCTGTCCAGACCGATTTCTCCAACTGCAGCCTCAGGGGTTGACTGAAGAAATTGCTTCAAATTTCTCAACCAATCGGGATTTCTATCAAGAATAAACCAGGGATGGAGGCCAAAGTTTGAAATGACACAAGGGTTGTTTTCACTCATCTCTTTGACCAATTGCCAGTCGTTTTCTGAGACTCCATTGACAGCAATATGAACAACACCAGCTTCTCGGGCGGATTTGATTTTCTCAGAGGAGATGTGGTAGATCCTTGGATCTTGGAGATGACAGTGGGCATCAAACAGCTTCATGTTCATGATCTCTTCTTAATCGAATCTTCCACTTCTTTTTTTATCTTTTTAAGTTAGAAGATTTCAGCATAAGCAAAAAAATGCAGTATTGGTTAAAGTACCAGTAGCCTCACGTGGTTTAGCCCTAGGAAACTAACGAATAGGATTATTTGTTAATTTTTTATGGCGGTCATTACTGAGGATTTAATTAACAAAACTTTCCACCCTTCCGGTTGTTGTCAATAACAAAACTTTTTAATTAACAAATAAGAACAATTAATTCGGAACGAAATGAATATTTATTTAATCTTAAAATATGCACTAACCACTAACATAATCAACTACTTCCAAAAAGATAATAACAAAAGAATGTACTCATCTAGCTGCTCCTAACAGTCCAGCCTAATGAATGTTTTCTTCGACCAAGTTTTGTTGCGTCAAACAGCCGCCAAGTTTTTATTCATATCAAAAACAAAGAAGATAAACAAAAAAACAACTACAAATGTAACATGGAATTCAATCCAAATTACTTTCCCTGTCTTTCCCCAAGGGAAACCAGAGTTACCTGAAAGATGACCGCTTCCACACATCGTCTATATTATACATATAATTTAGTTCGGGTATTCTCGAAAAATCGCTCTTTCTTGTATTTCTTTTTTTTTTAAAAAAAAAAAACTATTATTACTGTATTTGACAGCAATATGAACAACACCCTTTGAACAAGTCGATATCGTACTGATATTCTTGTGGGACATTATACTTACACGGTTAAAAAAAATTATGATTTGTCGGGACAAAAAATTCTTGTTGGGAGACTCACCCACCACAGCCAGATGTGCGACCCGGGTCGACCAACGGATTAGTCAAGGCAAAGCTCCGGAAACCGTGACAGGTAACTAAAAAAAAATTATGATTTGTCGCTTCAAGTGAACATTATTTATTTATTTATTTATTGCCCCTTGTGTATGCCATCCTTCTCGTTCACTTCATGTTAAAAACAGACAAAATAATCATTACGATACAGAAGATTAGAGTACAAACCGAATAATCTAACAAAACACTCTACCACTGTTTGCGTGAAATTTGTGCACCCGAAGCCGAGGAAAATAGGGGAACAAGACTCACATAAAACACAATTAAATCAGACGATTGTGGTTGAATTTGAACCAGCCTCGGACCAGGATCGAGTACTTAGGGTTATTGGCTTTAATTTGAGAAATACAAGTAGAAACTAGGGAAAGTGAGGAAAAGCTGAAGAGACGGCGTTTAACTCATAAAGTGGAAAATCCTAGCGCCGGCAAGCTATAGATGGTGCCGATGACACGTTATTACATAGAAGACAAAGATAGGACGGACGTGCAGAGGGTAGTCCGACATACATAAGTACTAGAACACCTATTACAGCATAACCGAATTCGTTGGAGTAGAAAACGTTCAACACCTACCTAATTCTATGTAGAAGAGAAAGGCAAACAATTCTATTGCTAAGCTAGGGGCTAAGCAGGCATGATAGAACGTGATGAACTAACATAAGGAAGGTAGAAACACGATAAACGGTAAAAGAAATAATAAAAGACAAGGAAAACCAGTTGTATGGTTGATCGATGATGATTTTTTCTTTATAACTGCCTCTATTTATAGTGCTTGGACGAAACCCTTGCTGCCTACTTTCTTGGAGAAAAGGTAGCTTAACATAGTTCATTTCCTTGGAAATAGGTTACTATTCGTCTCTCAATCGGTTGATGACTTTTCTCACAATCAGATCTTATTTTGGTAATAGAATTCTTTCCCAAATATATCTCTTTAATTACTGATAATTTCCCTTTATAAAAAGGAGCAAGAAATCAGGAGGAATCTGCTGTAATTACCAATTAATCGCCCAGTCGATTCTAGCACAATTCTATTTACACTTGATCGATACTTTCTTTCTCCAACTCTCAAACTGTTCACACTTAACCAGCCCATATTACTTCTAAACGTATCATGCCCTCTTTTAGGCTATTTTAGGGCCTTAAAATCTCAGCCATTATCATATAAATTCACTAAAACTCCTGGGCCATGAATCATATGTCTCGTCGGCCCGATTTGCCAAACAACTGGCCGAACAACCACTAACATAATAAACAATTTCCAAAATAAATAACCTAAAAATTAAGGGGGAAAAAAATATTCTCATCTAGCTACTCACTACAATCTGGTTTCTGGCCTCATGAATCTTTTCGTCCAGAGAAAAACTGTGCTCATCTTGCTACTCTCGGTCACCTTTCTACTATTCACAAATATCATCTAGATCAGCCAACACTGAGAAAGAATTAGAGACATTTTCTTTATGTAAATTACCCTTCTCACTAGGAGCGGTCCTACTTTTACTATTATGATTAGAATGTGGGCTGCCATCAAAGTTTTTATGTCTAAGCCTACTATGCATTTGCTGTTGAGTATCCCACATCGGTGATGAGAGAGAGTTGATATCAATATATAAGTCTATGGGCTACTCCCCTCGTTGCCAATTGGTTTTGAGGTGGAACCCATGAACTTCTATATGGTATCAGAGCCAGCCCGCCAAAAGTCGGACTCTAAAGCCTGATTTAATAGAACTAGTAGGGCTGAGACGTGAGGCGGTGACTGAGCTGATAAGCCCAACCCAAGAAGAGACGTTGGACTTGCGGCGAAGTGTTGAGTATCCCACATCAGTGATGAGCGAGAATTGATATCAATATATAAGTCTATGAGCTACTCCCCTCATTGCCAATTGGTTTTGAGGTGGAACCCCATAAACTTCTATATTTGCATCAAAAAATCTTCACTAACACTGGCGTCCCTTGCATTGCCATTTACTACTACTGCTTTGGATTCTTGCAATTCCCTTTGCTGTTCGGTCGTGGGATCATCAATATTGTTTCTCCTCATCACTAACAAACTTCTCTCGACAACAATATTATTCTGTGCTACTGACGGCTTACTTGTTTGTTGAAGCATTGTTACTTGCCTACTAGGACTAGTAGTACTAGATTGCAGAGATTTCCCCCGCCTTTCCCGAAGGGAAACCAGATTTGGCTGAAAGACAACTGCTTCCACGTAATCGAGCCGCCCAACGTCGAAATCATAAACCTTCTTATTAGAGCCATCTTGTAGAGAGTAAGATATGATATGTCGTCTATCATCGGTAAACAGTAGCACCTTGTCATCATCGTTCCAACAAGTTAATATGCTCCTAATATCTTCTTCAAGTCTTATAGAATGTTTCTTACACCATAGCCATTTGCCGCCATCTTGTTCCATCAACACCCGAACTTGGAGAAATCGGTGGATATTTTGGGTGAGAAATGCAAGGGAATGACGACCCAACATCGATAGAGTTGTTGAATCCACATCCAAAGGATATCCAGGATCAGGACATTCAATTCTGTCCAAAAGTTTCAGTTTGGAATTATCTCTATTGTTTAATTAAGGTTTGACCATCTTCATTAGAGTTCAAGTTTTAGATCCCAAAAATGAGCAGTCTAGCTTGCTGGGTCTCAAACTCTGCACCAATTATTGGTCCAAACATGAGTATAAGCTGATCGTTTAAAATATCTTCTTCCTCTTCCTTCTACCCCCCACCAAAAAAAAAAAAGAAAATTGGGAGGAAACAAATACTCCTTAAGTCAACCGAAACATCTCGCCAGCTCATCAATATCATCTCCTAAAAATTGCAAGACTTCCATGTTAGCTCGTAACTGAATTACTCCTCCGTTCTAAAAAAAATAATTAGCATCAAATTTTAAGTTTTGTATTATTTTCAGTACAAATTTAAAAAACTCAATGTGAACTTTTTTTACGTATTATTTTTATCATGTGTTACTAAAACCAAAAATAATTATTAAAACAATTCGAACTCTTGATATACACATTGTCAAATTGTACACGATTGTATTTTTGTCATCGTCAACTAATCGGCGTAATGGTATTACACAACAATGTTTTATAAATATCAAAAGTTCGAGACCGTGATTTGTTGGCGATTAACCCTTTTCTATAATGCCAGTCCTATTTTTGAAATACTAGTATTGTTAAGATCAATTAGTAACGAGACTAGTAGCGGTTTCGACGTTCATTTTAAAGCCTATGAACAGAACGAAATGCGCTTCTTTTCTTTCTTCTTGTTATTCTTCAGTGTGGATTTGTAAGATCTTTTTTCTTTTTTTTTTCTGAAAATGATGTGTAAATCATGAAAAAAACAACAAAAACAAAAACCTTTTGTTATCCCATGCCCAGTTCTCCAGCTCTTCCATCTAGAATTCAGTCAACGATTCATAGTCTGGATTACTGGAAGCAACGTGTCGGAACCCGCCACATATGCAAAATTTTGTCATTTTCCGTCCTCTTTTCTCGTCGGCGGGGGGAAATAGTAGTATTATTTGCGGCTGGAAGTTAAACGTAAGAATCAGATCAGGGTGATAAGGTTGGTGCTTGCGACTCACTAACCAATAAAAGCTACCATTCACGAAAACTCGTCCAAAAGGGCATGACGAGGGACGGCCATGTAGGAATGTATCAGGATCGATAAAGCAAAAGTCAGTAACAAAATCCAAATCCACATTAAGCTCAGTCCAACAGTTGGTACTGAGTTTATAGATTTCAGCTATGCTGTTGAGGTCCAATCGGGCGCACCTGACGACCTTGAAATCGTCAGCGAAAACATCGAAACCAAAACCGAGTCCATCAATCTTCCATTGCCAATCCCACAATGGAATCCTATCGGAAAGTTTCAAATATTCCAGAGTAGTTGGATTATACAAATAAACGAGGTCCTCCCATAAGTTCCAAAGACAAAGAATGATCCAAATAAGCTAAGGCGAGGCAGTTCCGGTAATGGCGACCAAGACCAGGGTAACACATCCTCATCCCGCAGAAAATAACGTCCATCAAGATTTTGACCCGAGTTGGGAAGATTTGTGGTTTAATAACAGTTGCTCACGTTCGGGTTCGTAATCTTTGTAAGAATGTGAGTTCTCACGCGTGTGCGACCACAGCCTCAGAAAGATGCCCCCGGGAAGGCTAAAGTTTTCGAATCAGAGCACACCATGTTTTCGAGACGCCTAGGCATGATGTGGATAATGTATTCATGGGCAACTTCTGTAATATCTCTGTCCAGATTTCCTCCGGCAAATAAGTTTTTAGGCATCCACCGACCCCATCTCAGAATACACAGAGGAAAAAGAATTGGAATAGTTTTTAATTTTTCTTTTGGGTGGTCGGTTGTCTAAGTCAGTTGACTTTGTCGGAACTGTCTTAGGTTTGACCCAAGCCAAGTGATATATTAGTATACTTTTTCCCTTTTTTTTTTTTTTTTTGAAATCAATATATTAGTATACTACTATACATACAGAGTGGTATACACTAATACATTCATGAGCCGAAGAGAAATAAAGAGATCATCGAAACTTTTAGTCAAACACATCTATGGAAGGCAATACTTTCACCATTGAAGAAGCCACCGTTGAAGAAATCCATCAAGCATTCTCCGACAACCGGCTCACCGCAAGGCAGCTAGTGGATTTCTACTTGAACAGAATCCAGACCCTCAATCCAGTTCTACGAGCCGTGATCGAGGTCAACCCCGATGCAATTGAACTAGCTGACCTGGCTGATCGGAAATTGAAGGAATGCAGGGAAAATGGCACTGGAATTAATGAATTGGGCGAGTTGCATGGGATCCCTGTGTTGCTCAAAGACACAATTGGGACTAATGATAAGTTAAATACAACTGCCGGGTCGTATGCGTTGATGGGTTCCAAGGTTCCGAGAGATGCAGAGGTGGTGGAGAAGCTGAGGAAAGCAGGGGCCATCATATTGGGGAAATCTAGTCTTAGTGAATGGTACAAGTTTCGATCTTTGTCTGGAGTTCCAGATGGATGGTGTGCTAGAGCTGGCCAAGGCGTGGTAAGTTTGTAAAACTTAATAAAGGCGTCACCTTTGCTGTTTGCTGCAATGACATGAAGTGTATAAAATAACATTTGGGCCCAATTTAGGTTTTTACTTGCTGGCTGATTTTAGAGGTTGATGGGTGGCTCAAGGTTTCATTTTATCTGGACTTGTGAGTTAAAATTAGTTATGACACTTGCTGGTTACTAGGCTTTGCTGATGTAGTGTGTAAATGACACCTGGTTGAATTCAACATAGGGATAAATTTGCTCTTTCATTTCTAGCTAAGCTAGCTTAAGCACTTTTGCAGATATTTATTTCTGTTTGTTGACAATTTAAGTAAGTTGCTACATTGTGCTTCAGGATTAGTCTTAACCATGTAATTTGTCATATTTTGTTAGTTGTTATGCTGACAGCAATTTTTTTTGCCCACATTGTGGCACAACTAATACGTAGAAGTTATCAGGTAATGTAAGTGAAAAAGAGTCTCATATCGAGCAAGATAAAGGATTAAGGTTCTAACTTTGCTTTCAGTAGTGTGTATTCAACTTCAACAACTTAACTGGGAAAATGTTGAGTATGGAGAAAGCATGTATGGAGGAATTGTATTCATGAGCTTGCAAGGTTTCTCGGACCTTTAGTGCTTTGAACTTACTATAGCTTGTGATCTTGGTTTAGCCTTTGCTCTGTCAAAAGCTTGTCAAGCTACTGCTGTTTGGTAAAGTACAGCAGTACATGCTTCATTAGGATGGTGGTTAATACTTCCATCAGATTTACAGATAATTCACGTTTTTAGTCTAGGTTGTACTGATTTCAGCTGGACTGAGTGTAAACTAATGTTTTGTTTTCCCTTTTGGTTGAGAAAGTTTTCTGTAACTTTGAGTCCTGTACTCGTCAAGGATCTGTTCTTGAACATTAAGGATCTCATGTATGTTCGGCTTTTTGTAGTCCTGGGAATGTAACTAGCCAACGTCATCTAATATTGTGTCTATCTCACAGTTCCAATAGTATTCTGGAAATTTAGCTCATCTGATCTCTTTCAACCTGTGCAGAATCCTTATGTTCATTCTGGAACTCCTTGTGGGTCAAGCAGCGGATCAGCAATAGCTGTATCAGCCAATATGGCGGCAGTCTCTCTTGGAACAGAGACACACAGTTCCATTATCTGTCCAGCAGGTCACAACTCAGTGGTAGGCTTCAAACCAACTGTTGGGCTAACCAGCAGAGCTGGCGTCATACCGATGGCACCACGTTGGGACAGCATTGGGTAATGACACAGCTGAATGCTTCATAAAATCAGAATTTTCGAAGTACTGTGAACAGGAATGGTCGATAATGATGTCTACATGAGTCCAAAAGGACTTACTTTGACCAAAAAGTAGAAGGTAATCGATTCATTTAATGATGTTAGTCTGACAATATCTTGCCTTATTATCTGGTGCATTGTAGGCCGATATGCAGGAGTGTATCGGATGCAGTTTGTTTGCTCAATGTGATTGCTGGTTTGGACCCAAGAGATACAGCAACTGCTGAAGCTTCCAAGTTTATTCCTGAAGGAGGCTACAAACAATTTCTCAACAGAAATGGCCTGAAAGGAAAGAGATTAGGCATTGTCAGACACCCATTCATGGAGAATATTCAGGATTCCAATGAAAGTAAAGCTTTTGATCACCACATCAATAGACTAAGGTTTGGAAATGTCAGTTCTCTTAGTTTCATGTTTAGATGCACTGATGATTCATGATCAAAGGGCAACTCGTAAAGATTGTGTTTTCTAATGTACCTACCCTATTGAAGCATTGAATCTTTTGCTCTCTGGCCTGTATAGGCAGGAAGGTGCTGTCATAGTGGATAACCTGCATTTAGCAGACATCGACACAATTCTGGAACCCAATCACAGTGGTGAAATATTAGTGATGATGGCTGAATTCAAGACTTCCATTAATTCATACCTCAAAGAGTTGAGCAATTCTCCTGTGAGTTCATTGGCAGACATTATTGCCTTCAATGAGAATAATCGTGAACTGGTTGGTATTCCCTCTTCATTTTAATCTTATATTATGGTTACATCCTTCCTTTGCCTTAAAAAGAGAAACAAAATATACGGTTAACTTCAATCTCAGGAGAAGCTCGATGAACATGATCAGCAAACATTTATTCACGCTGAAGATATAGATGGATTTGGGGAGCAAGAGAAGGCTGCAGCGAGGAAGCTTGAGGATCTTTCTCGGAAAGGATTCGAGAAACTAATGCAGGCGCACAAGTTGGACGCGATGGTGACACCAGGATCACGTGCCTGTGCTGTCACGGCAATTGGCAGGTGTCCAGCAATAACTGTTCCGGCAGGTTATGGAAGCGATGGAATGCCCTTCGGGATCAGTTTTGCGGGGTTGAAGGGCAGTGAGCCAAAGCTGATTGAGATAGCTTATGCATTTGAACAATCAACCAAGATCAGAAAGCCACCTCCTTCCTTTACTGAAACCTCTACTTGGATCCGACAATGATCCTCTTCTTCGAATAGTTGAATAACTGAGAAATAATGTATCAATCTTCTATGTGATCCCACAAGGTGAAAAACTCAAAAATTTTATTCGGCAATTCGGCAGTTTTAATTTTCAACTTTGAACGATAACGATACCGGCTCTGTTTGGGGGGTTTTTTTTTTTTTTTTGGATGATTTTTTCAGAATAATTTTATAATTTTATCAATAAAATATCTCCTCTCATCATACCTTGTATATTTTTCAAAATTGTATACTTTTTTTTTAAAACATTTTTAATAGAAAAAAATTCTAAAAATATGTAATCAAAACATGATCTAAACATAAAAATAACTAGTTGCGAGGCAAACTGAAAAGGACGTCGAAAGCTTAAAGTAATTATACATCTATAAGACTACAACTTAAAGATGAGCAATCTCTAGTTACATACCTGCATGACGTAACCAAAGAATCAAACACAATATACTACTTCCGTCCCAGAAAAATAGTTCACATTGAGTTTTGAGATTTGTACATAGTTTACATTGAGTTTTTGTACAAATCCCAAAACTCAATGTGGACTATTTTTGTGAGACGAAAGTAATATCAAACTATTAGCTAGCTCGTTTGACACCGAATCATTCTTATGGGGTATAATGTAATGCAAAATTCAACTTCCATGGAAACACCTACAAGCTAGGTAGTTGTGAATGTAAACACACACACATTTGTTCAATTACACATAACCGATAGTTGGAAAATGGATTTTTATATAGATAATCAAGGGCACGGCATTCGGTCAAATTAACTATCTCATATTTTTGTGTTTAAGAGGTAAAATGAGACAAAAGGCAAACGAAAAGGTTGTCAAAACAAGACCTTAGTTTTATACGTATTGAAACTTCAAGGACTGAATGTGCGATCAATTTTTGAAAATGCAACGAAAACTGGACAAATTTCAATGTTTATACATCACAAAAAGCAACACAATAAGGGCAATCTTGGTTCAGTAGCTGATCTCCCACCCAAAACTTACAGGCTAACTAATGATGATCATGGTTCAAGCCAAAAACCGAAATTCTCGGTACTTGTACCATGGCAAATTTCATTTTACTTGTCTAATTAAAATACATCAGCAAATTAAATCAATGGACTTGAGCAGGAATCCTTGTAGAAACTTGACCACATTGCATTGGCGAAACAAGACCCTTGCATACGCGCGTTTAATATGTACAGAGGAAAAATTACACACTGATGTTCATCCAATAATTGATTGACAATCCTGTAACTGTGTAACATATTCCGGGAGGGGGTGGTAAAGAATCGATCAATTCACTTGATCACCAGCAATCCTTGTAGACGAAAGTTGACATAAGTGATGAGGCAGCAGCATTTGCTTTCTTGGTGGTATTTGGCCAAACAGATCTTTTGTGAGGCTCCACGAACCAGATAATGGACTGTAATTGCTTGATCTCTTGGTGAACTCACTCTGCCTCAACTCCAGAGTCGGGATCATTCCTCTGAGGTTTTCTTGAATAAACGGGTGCTCCAGAAGCTCGTCAGCCGTCCACCTTGAATCCGGATCGAATTGCAGACATGTCGTCAGGAAATCCTTCCCAGATGGAGAAACGTGATCAGGAATTTCAAGCCTCAAACGCTTGTGTTCTCTATTGATCCACATCCTGCCATTCATCATGTAAAGAACCGTATGCCCCAGTGACCATATATCCGCTGGTTTTCCATATACCCCGTTTCTTAACGTCTCCGGAGCCGCATAATCCGTTGCTCCTCGGACTCCCTCGATGTTCTCCCCGCCGTCCAAAGACTTGCTCACTCCGAAATCAGCGAGTTTCAGAAACCGGTAGCCCTCGTGATCATTGAAAACGAGCACATTGTCGGGTTTAAGATCCCAATGAATTAAGCCCTTCTCGTGGATGGAAGAGATCCCTTTCAACAACATGAAGGTGTAAATTGCTAACTCGAATTCCGGCAACTTGCCATTGTACGAATTCACCAAGGTATTGAGCGTGCCACCGTTGGCGTATTCCATCAAGAGGTTGTAGCACTTGGTTCCGGCGTCGCCTTCTTGGCTGATATCCGCGCCGTAACACTCCACGATATACAGATTGCCTTTGAGTTTCTTCAGTACCCGTGTTTCCCACTTCAAGCTCTTGCTCTTGTTCAGCTCCACCGTCTTCACCGCCATGGCTGCCGGACGCGTGGACGTAGTCGAGAAACTACTATTTTCCACAGCTAAATACACAACACCGAAACCTCCCCTGCCCAACCTTTTTACCTTCTGCCACATGATTCTTGGTTGATAATTTAATCACCAGAAATTTCGAAGGAAGAAAGTACAGCAGAGCCCGGATGATATATTGTTGATTTTGGAAAGTGTGTATAAGGCAGAAATTGTGGTATGTCAATAAAACCCATCTATTTAGAACTAACTAATAAACAAAAAAAAAAAATCAATTTTTTTGGGAACTAAAAACAACCAGTTTTTGAGAGAGAGAAGTTTAATTAAATTTGAGTAATTTTTACTCACGAAATGACGTAAATATTATCACTGAATTGCGTCCATGTTTCAAGTGGTTCGAAGTCGAATTGCAGTGTTTATGTCATTCGGTTTGTCTTGTGCACTAACAATAAGCGCCGTCACATGGTTTCTTTACGGTCTTCTAACTGGTGATATCTGTGTTGCGGTAAGTCCATAATTCGGCTATTTATTTTATTTTATTTTATTTTCACCGAAAAAACTCAGTTACAATTTCTCATTGTTTATTATACGTTAACAAATAGTATCAATAAACAACCATATTAATAATTAAATTTGAGATTTTTTTTTATATTTTTTTATCTTGTTTTTCATTGCCATGTTACCATGTCATCAACATAGTGATGCTTGGGAACCCTGAACAAGTTCATCAGACCGAGAAGGCTGCAACGATGCTGACAAGGACGAAAATCGAATAATAATAACAGTAACATATATATATAATTAGGTAAGACTGATAATATATATATATATATATAAAATAGATAATTAGGTAAGACTGATAATATATATATATATATAAAATTCTGGAGTACAATATAATTATAATGATTATTTTAAGTTTGCCAAGTACAAAAGTACTAATACTACCTACCTACCTACCTACCTACAACTAGGACCATACATAATAGGTATGGCATAAGGTAACAAGAGTCGGACAGGGTCCTCGACGCTACTGAAATAGTTTCTAAGAAAAATGCTATGAATAAAAGCTACCACTTCTTTAAAGCCCATTAACAACCAGAATCTACTACCACTTCCTGTGTTTTAGCTACATACTTCAAAACTCAAACATATGGAAGTAACATTATGTCATTATAACAGCAAAGACATACCACACAAAGGAAATCTCTTTAGGCCAATTAAAAAATAAAAAACAAATGAGCACATGTACTGTGAGAGCCTAGAACATGCAACAGCAGCCAGGAAAAAGAAGAACGAAAAATGTCACACAATGAGTGAGATGGAAGAAAAAGAGGACGGGGGAGGGGGAGCCGAGACGGAGTTACAATACTCTGTTTAGTCATTATACAAGCAGCGAATCCAACTTTTGAAAGAAGCAAAACAGCTCAACATAAGCAGGCAGCTCCATGGACATTTAATTCTTATTGTTGAAAGTGCCATTGACAAAGAAATTATAGGACCAATCGATAATGACAAAGAAATTATAGGACCAATCAATTCATACACAAACAAACATGTAAAGTGATTCTCAAGGTTGTAAAGTGATGCAGACAACTTCCAAGGATTTCATTAGCAGCAAATTCCAAATGCACACTTTTAGATAAAATTAAGAAGCCATAATAATTTGGCTTTAATAGTTAAGAGTTGTTTTCTGTTGCAAGAGCTTTGCTGCTGCTAAAACCTAAAATTTAACAAAGTGGAAAGCAAAAGACTGAACAACATGATTCCACTTATTTACGTACGCCATTTACATGTGCTCTTTCTAGTCATTAAACAAAAAGCGAATCCAACTTTTCAAAGAAGCAAAAACCTCCCTGCCAAGCACTGCAGTTGTCCTTCAGTAACCAACTAGGAAAAGCAGCATTATTAATCATCGCTTTGCCAAGAGCGATCAAGACAACTTGGGGATTTCATTAGCAGCAAATTTCAAATGCAGACTTTTACATAAAACTTAAAAGGCTAAATAATGTGTCTTTAATAGTTAGCAGTTGTTTTCTGTTGCAAGAGCTTTGCTATTGCTAACAACTTTAATTTAACAACATGAAAAGCAACAGACCTACATGTCACAGCATGATTACACCACGTAAAATGGTTCCATATTTGGTCAGCTCGGGGGACAATGTCACATATTCACCAGAATATTGTATCAAGTAATAGCATAATGCCTTCCCAAAAAATGTATTCAAGTTATTTAAAAAATTCAATAAAAAGTGAATAAAATCTAACATAGAAAGAGATACTATAGCTGAATCAAATACAAGAAACAGAAACAAAGGAAAGTAGCTCTTTATGAGCAACACCAGTGAGCTAGAAAATTATAACATAGGCACTAATAAAATAACAGCAAAGAGTAATGATACTGGAGAAACTGGTAAAAGGTCTATTCCAGAATGTCACACAATACAGCAACTTCCACCAAGTTAACCTACTACCCTAAACCTAGCAATTATCAAGTAATGGCCACAAATCCACAAGGAGCAGATAGAAGTGAAGCAGCAACAGATGTATAGCAGCCATAATCAACCAAAGATGTCATTGTCTGCAATCATTGAAATCACCACAACCATACAAAGCATTTGCTCCAAGCTCTCAAACACCTGAACAGATATCCACATACAACTCAGTACATTAATTAGATTCTAAACATTAAAAGGGGACATTTTGTGTTGGCATAAAGAGGAAGAACAGTCAAGAAAAGCAAATAAAGCTCCATCTCAAAAACAGAGAAGCCTTAATGGCACAAGCAACCTAACAAATTAGTACACCAAAAGAAAAAAATGATTTTGGAAAACAGTTTCACTAGTTTAAAAGATTAATCTACCCAACCAACAAAAATCAGTAAGAAAAAAAGGGCAAAAATCCCTAAAACAAACCAGAAATAGACAGCTTCAGACAATGACACAAAACTGAGGAGGCCAACAGAACATACTAAATACAACTAACACAAACTCCGGTCATTGTACCTCCATAATAGGCATGTGGAACCTGATACATTCCACCAGGAGGAACCCTGGGTCCTGTTCCAGGCTGCTGATTCATCTGTGATGGGTAAGATGATGGTACATTAAAATTCCCACCATCAGGGAACCCTCCAGGAGTCTGCACCCCAATTGAACTTGGTGGCATCCTGTACATGTTAGGCCCATAGTCACCACTGTTAGGGCCACTAACATAGGGTTGGTATTGTTGAGGCTGCTGTATCATTCCTGGCTGAGTGTGAGGAGGCTGCTGCTGTGGCTGAATTCCAGGAGCTGGGTAATTATTATATGGTGGATATCCATAGTCAGGATTCGCATTGGGTACACCAGGGCCAACATTTGGTGCCTGCTGCTGCTGCTTCATCTTCTTGTTATCAGTAGCCAACTTACAAACCAATTGATGCCCATCAATGGTCTTAGTAGGATCCACCAAGGACTTCCTTGCCCCATCTTCGGTCTTAAACACGAAGAAGGCAAAACCCTTCGCCTTGCCAGTCTGCTTATCAAACCCTAACGGTCCCTCCTCAATTTCTCCATACATAGAGAAGTGACTAAGCAACTTCTCAGAACTTATCTCAAACGGAATATTCCCAACATAGATCTTCCTAGAAGCCACGTCGGTGGATTGCGAATTCCCGGAATTGCCAGCAGCAGCAAGCTGGGTAACAGTAATCCTACCATCGATTTTCTTGTTCGGTTCTTTTAAAGCTAAAATAGCAGCATCAATGTGTTTGAATGTTACAAATCCATAGCCCTTCGACTTACCGGTGTTCTTATCGTTGATGACGATTGCTTCGTCGAGTTCCCCGTAGGCCGAGAAGACAGAGCGGAGCTTGTCGGTGTTGGTTTCCCAACCGAGACCGCGGATGAAGAGTTTCCGCTGGGAAGGGTCGGAATCGGCGACGGCGCGCACCGCTTCAAGGACGTCGGGGTGGCGGAGGATGGCCGCACGGAGGATTGGGAGCAATTGCTCCTTGGAGAATGGGTCGAGGATTTTTGCGATGTCTTCTGGGGTTAATTGGGACGACAGCGGCGGCAAAGTGGAATTGAGATCCCCGGGGATGGAATAAGCACCGCCGTTCTCTTCCGTTTTGCGCTTCTTGGAGAGATCCATGGGATTCATCGTAATTGTTTAAACCCTAATCTGAGAGAGCGAAAACCCTAGAAAGTGTTTGGAAGAGAAACCTTTTTTCCGAATTCGTAACACTTTATTGAAAGCCTTACCGGAAAGGGTCGTACTCGGTTATTTATAGACCACGTTTACGAATCGGATTTGGGCTTGATATTGGGCTTCATCTTTCAAAGTCGGTTTGAGCTTTAATATTTGAGCTTGAACTTTAAAATGAGTAACTTTTGGGGGTCCAGCATCAAACAAAGACATGAATCCACTTACTAGTAGGATTATTTTACATCCAAGAAAATTGTTGAGAAATACTGATTTATACTTTTAACTTTATGATGTTCATTCATCTCTTTTTCTACTAATATAATAAAAATAAATAAATAATAAATTATGAGATTTTCATGAAAAATTTGATAAAGATCTTGATCAAAAGGCAAAGTAGATATTAATAATATAATAATATTAACGTGGGGTTGAAGTTGAAGGGATTGAAATTACGAGCTCAGGAAAAATAAAAAAAAAATGACAAACGAATACAACAATTAAATAACTAGAAATAAAAGGGGAAAGAAAATACAAAAATTAAGTAACTGGTGATCAAGGGACTCAATGTCTTAACATAATTGTGTTATAGACTTCCTTCATTTCAAGATGATTGTTTAGTCTGGACTAAAAATAAAAATACAAACTTAACGATTATTTAAGGATAGAGGAAGTATTAAAAATAGTGCAAAAAGTAGACATTTATGTTTAAACATGAGGTAATATTAGTTGAAGGTCAGCAACACCAATTCTTCAAAGATCGATGGATAAGTACTTCAGTTCAAAGGGACAAAGGTTATTTAGGTTAACTGCAAAAATCCCTGGTCCCATTTTATGGGAAGGAAAACGGTTTATATATCTTGTATATATACGTTGAAACTGTGAAAAGAGAATTTGAATTTTTGCATTTTTTTTTTTTGGTGTCAAATACAAATGATGAGCTTTCCCCCCCTAATAAGGCAAGCTTTTAGAACTAGAACTAATGACCAAGGATTTAAGCTTGGATGAAGCATCACCTCCACTGGCTCTTCTAGTAATAACCTCCATATTTCTATGCAAACTTTGTTTCACAATATTCTTCATCATTTTCTTCCCAATTTCATCCCTTTTGTTCACAGGTGATCCTTGATCAATTGAAAATCTTCCCAATTGCTGTGGCCCTGAATGAGGTCCCATTCTCTTTTGCCTTTCATCCTTGAACCATTGCAATAGTTTTAGAGCTCTCTTTTGTGCTAGAGGGCTGCCTAACAATGCAACTTCTAAAAGGACAGGCACAATTCCTCCTTTAGCCATTTTTTCCCTTTGTTCACTGCTTTGATGTGCTAAAATCATCAACAGATACGCAGATAACTCTTGACATTTCGGTTTCTCTTCCCACGCTAAGATCTCGATCAAATTCTCCGGCACCATTGGATTGCCTTCCAACGCTTTCCTCCCCGTCGATGTCACCACCAAATTCCCTAACGTCGCGAGTGCTTTCTCAGAGGCTTCTTCGTTTTCACCCGAAGAAGATAGCCTCAGAAGAGTACTGATCACCCCTGTACTTGTGGCTAAATGTCCTGCACTTTCTATCTGTGATGACACATTATGCAATGCACTTAAGCATAGCTTCTTGGTGTCTACATTATTGCTTGACTCGAGAATGGAGACTACAAAAGGAATGATTCTTGTTGCTGATGAAGAGGGGAATTGAATGTTTGATAGGGCTGATGATAGTGACAAGAGCAAATGCGCAAAATCTTGCCTTGCTGGTTCATCTAATTTGTCTGTCTTTTTGGGCAATTTTGATAAGATTCCCGACTCCAACATGATCAACTTGTTCCTGAAAATTTCGAGAACAAAACAAAAGAGAATGTTACATGCTGAATTTAATATTGCAAACCAACCCACCTTCTCTGTATCCACAAAACTTAAATAGAATAGAATGTCCTGTTTATCAAAAAATCGAATTAAATGTATTACTCCCTCCATTTCTATTTTTATTTTTTAAATCCTAGTACTAATCATGTTTCACTTGCGAACTACTCATTTTTTTTGGTCTAACGTAAATTCACTAATTTTTAAACTTTATAAAACTATGGCACCTGCTCAATTGTTAATTGGAATTTGGAAAAGAGCAGCGACAGAGAAAGTGAAAAATTATAGTGACTTTGGTATAGTGACTGACGTGTAAAACACTTATTAGTTAATTTTTTAGAGAGCTAGTTATTATCATCACATGAACCACCAATCACACATTTATACATCAGTCACCGCACCAAAGTCACTCTAATATTTCACTATACTTATTATTTTCCTTTAGAAAAATAAGGCCACGGGATTGTAATTGTGGGGTCTGATAAGTACATGGAGATGGAGTTGGGGACCTAATTCACCTACTCAAAACAAAGGAAATTAAATTATTTGCAGTGAGAAGAAGTCAATGGTGTTAGGATATACTTCATAGCAAAGATATGCATAAACAATCTAAAAGGAGAGCTATTCCAATATCCTTACAGAGAGGATGAGACCTAAGTTGTCTGCAGTAAGGGTGCTGTGAAATTCCCAAGTTCCAACTCCTTTTGTCATGTCACTAAGTATAATTTACTAGAGTTCATGTAGTCCATTTGAGTAAAGAAAAGAGTTTCACAAAAATCGCATGCCATTAACACAACCATAACTGAGAGTAATCCGTGTTGTATTAGTAATGTGAGTGCACCTTGTCTCTCCTAAGTGAAAATGGTAAACTTTAATTTTTATTATATTTTTTTCAAAAAAATTTTGTTTTATTTTTTTTTTAAAAAAAACGTTTTATATACCCACAAGACATGTTTCAACTCTAGCAAATAAAAATTTAAAAACTAGATGATTCGAACTTTTATAGTACTATAAATCATAAGTAGTAGTATTTTTTTTTTTATAATAGAAAAACTCTACTTTGTTGAATCATTAGTAGATTCGCCCTATGAAATTGTCATCTTTCGGATTCAAATCCATGATTAATCAACAATTAAGGAACGCCGTTTTTATAGCGCTCGAAGGAAAGATCGTAGAGCCAGCAAGACCACTCGCGCCTCACAAATGGAAATAATTTTCTCTCTCTCTCTCTCTCTTTCTCTCTTTTGTAGGACTGACTAATCTTGTTCTCTCCAAAAAAACTGCAAAATTCAAACTTCAAAGTCAAAATCAGGCCACGGAATTCCATGGTGGTTCCACTCTCGTATTTGTTAGTTGCTTCTCCAATGACCTTTTGTTACATCATTTCTCCACCAGTTTACTAATAATATAGTGTACTTATATCTTTCATTATTCTTTCTAGTCGTATTCAAATTGATTTTTATAGTCAGTCACATTCAACTAAGAGTCAACTGATAATAACGTCACCATGGAACCTTATACTAATATATAGTCAGAAAACAAATCCAAACTGATCCTATCTTCTTCCCCTTTCGGTATCCTCTCTTAGTGGTTACCATTATTTCAAAGTTATAGGCTTCCACATATTTAAAAATTGTAGTATAACCCATTTTGAACTTTCGAAGTCCTCTACTTCAACAAGACGAGATTAATACACTTATCTCCTCTATCCTAAAGATATTGTTTGTCAGTTTGATGCACTAAAAATAGTACTCCCTCCCTCCGTTCCACAGAAATAATCTACATTGAGTTTTGAGTTTTGCACTGTTTTTAATACAAATTTAAAAACTCAATGTGGACTATTTTTTTTTGGAACGGAGGTAATATTAAAAAAAAACTTCTTATTGGGGAAGAATGTAGTGATTTTTGCTGATGATTCTTATTTTAATTCCAACTTCGTGTTTTATAATGATCAGCAAAATGACCTTACTCCTGTAAACTATCTCCAATGGTAAATATTCAAGTAAAATTTGGTTGAATAACGCCACCATTTTTCAGTAGTTGCCGTTTACTGGTACGACTTTTACTTTAGTGGTTCTACTTGGAAGAACACTTGTGTGGAACAAAAAAGGATCCAACAAATATAGACCTTGCTACTACTCTTCTTCGGTAGTGGACCAAAGATTAATTTCACGCTTGTAATGAAAATGTTTAAATTACAACTTTGACTAAGAAACAAACAATTAATCACTCTCTTTATCTAATGAACACTCTAATTAACTATCTTGTTAAGTAAACCACACACATGTGGAACATATATACCAGCAAGAAAATTAATTAAAGCATATTACTTATAGAATTAATTATTTAATTAGCAACAATTAGTGGAAGCAACGAAAGTTCAGAAACCAAAAACTTCATCATGATGAATTGTTTCAGTGCTGGATAATTCCAGCTCATTTATAAATTGTTTCTTCAAAAAAAAAAAAAAAAAAAAAAAAACAAAAAAACAAAAAGAGAAGAAAACTTACATGGAAGAACCATTAGCGAGCTCAATCAAAGCTTGAACAGCCAATCTCTGCCTTGCCAACTTATCTGATCCAACCATGTCCACCAAAGGCTGTATCACTCCAAGTTGAGCCATTGATTTCTTCCTCTTCAAATCCTTCTTAGCTATTCTCCTAATCTCTTTAGCTGCCAACTCTTTGTCTTCCCAGTTCCCAAACAGCAGACCCTTTACAGATTTCTGCAGAATCATCCAATCTTCTTGATGATGATGATGATGATTGCAATCACTCTCCTTCAACATCTCCATGATCAAAACTTACAAAAGGGTCTATCTTTCTGTTTCTTGCTAACTAATAATTTAACAGGAGAAAAGCATTTGAAAGCAAGAGAGAATCTTGCTTATGTGAAAGTAATCAAAAAGTACTCTTGAGTTTGAAATTTGCGGTGAAGATTCAGAGTTCAGACAACATGTATTGGTTTTCTATTTATGAATAGGAGACAGATATAAGTACAGAAGAGGGGTTTGATGAAATCTAGGTGGGGTTGCGACTAACTTTGATTAAATAAAGGTGTTTGATCGATTTGTGTCTGACTTTTTTTTTGAGTTGAGAAAGGAATTGTGGGGGAATCAAGACAAGGGAGATGCAGACTTTGCAGATGAATACAAATACAGCAGATAGATCACATGCAGAGAGATATAAAACATAACTGTCCCCCTGCCCTAAATGCAATGTTTAAATGCTTCTGTTATTAACTATTAAATTATAAAGACTAAATTACCACTATTTCGTTTTTTATTTTACATGTAATGTAAGCCGTGAATCAAAATTTTTGTGGTGGTGGGCATAACACCCCACTATATCTTCTGACTGCTGTAAATTAAATTAGGTAGTTTGCCGAACTCTCTACAACAAATTAACCTCACGTAATTTGGACTAACTTAAATATAGCCTCTTTCGTCTCAAAAATAATTATTTTAATACAATAAATAAGACGATCAGTATAGAACAAAGAGATAATTTCTCAACTTTCTTTGACGTTTAATTAGAACAATAAGTTCTATCTCTTTTTTTTTCATTTTGCTATAAACAATCAAACATTGTAACACATCGAAAAGCAAAATTAATGGTGAAGCATGACCTAAATGAGATGTCAAGTTGCAAATTCGAAACTAATGGCTGCGAATTCATTAACATTGATCAAATGGTAGTCGGACTCCTAATTGGAAGGAACCTAACTTTTTGCACCTTGACGAGACATACATACACAATAATAAAGCACAAAGCTCTTAAGCTGAGCGGATAAGCACCTAACTATTCACATTTTAATTAACTTATGGGTTATAACATTCACAGTAATTTTCTATAGTGTTAGGTGGGATATTTTATTTATCGGCAGTCGATCTATACAAGTTAATTTAAAACAAAACTTGTATAGATTTTGTCACTAACCTGCAGTTAATTACTTGTCTCGTTTCACTTTAATATTTTATACTTAACTGTACTAGAAAATAGTAAAAATATTTAAAAATAAATTATTAACATATAAACGGAAAGAGTAACAATATAATTTTGAAAAGATCATTAGTACAATTATATAGCTGTGTTTTTTGTGTTTTTTTTTTGCCGACTACCCATACCCCCAAGTCTTCCCCCTAACTTCAAGGGCACCCCCACATGGTTGTTTTATAGATCAGAAATCATGATGTTGTGAATTGTTATTACTACATCTTAGTACTTTGCTACCTCAAATCTGGTTGTTCTTTGTGAAAATCAATGTGGCATAAAAGGAATCTGCCCGGAACATCATGTTTTGTGTTCCCAACATCATGTTCTGTGTTCCTCCTGTTTTTCAGATGAAAATTTCTACCTCTCCTCAGCCAAAAAAAATCAAAATAAAAAATTTCTATGTTTTCTACAGCCGGTATTTACCTCATTTCCCACGGTGAAATTGTGCATAATTTAATGAATCCATTTTATGATTGATTAACATGGAAACCATGACATGATTTGTTTTTGTTAATAAAAGCTTGACATGGCTGCTTCTTTTGGAGTATTAATTTACACTTTTAATTTTATCAGTAATAATTCATGTAGTCAGTCTTTTCGCCACCAAATGCCAATCGATAACTCAAATTTCTTTCGATTGTGGCCACTGGCTGATGAAGACATGACTACAAGATAATCTTTTAATCTAGGCCTAATGAGAGATCCACCATATTTCTGATAGTTTTAGTTCTGGTCATTGAAATTAATCTTTTCTGACATTTCCATGCAAAAACTTATTACATAACACTATTTTTAAAAGTAATTAAATACTTTATTTTTTTAAAAAAAAATAACTGCGTATTACTTAACCGAATTAAACTCAGAATGTTACGTAGACAAGATACTAAAGAAAATAAATTCTTTTGGATCATCATGAAAAAAAATGGCAAGAATTCCCGTCACATAAACTAGGATCAATGTCTTTACCAGGAAAACAAAAAAGAACAAACCTTCACATATCCAATTCTTGTTCCAAGAAACTGCCTGGGAAAGTGGATAACGATAGAAATGGATTATAATCAACTGTATCATCCAATTAAAGCCCATACCACCACTATACTTTGAAGCACTAGCTATTACTTTCCCAAAATTGACTTTGTCTTCTTAAATCTTACCCATTTACTACATGATTTTTACAAAGCTAATTCGTGCAGCCATAATACTATATTCACTGATTTTATTTTTTTTTTTCAATATAGAAAATGTTCTTTAATGATCAATAGTAGTTTGTTAATTAGTAGTCGATTGTTTAACTTTTTTTTTTTTTTTTTTTTTGGTTTTGCGTCTGGGATAAGGGATAACAAAACACTTACATTAGTGCTAGCTATATCAGTTATTGCGATCTTTCTTGGCGAATCTACATTGAAGATCACCTAGGGTTCTTTCATTGACTTGGAGTATCCATGTCGGATTTCCAGTGAAATAGCACCTCCTTTTGGCTAATATATAGTTTGAGAAATGTGATAGAATTCTTCCACATGTTAAACATTAGAATATTTGCTGGCAAGCATGCCATGGAAAGCATATGGAGGTTGTGGTTCAGATTGACAATAACATATACTTATATATGGGTGCTTTACGTACATGAGGTGTACTTCCACAAAGGATCAAAGAACAAGGGATAGCAAAAAACCTAAAAAGTGCTAAATAGTCGTTTCATATTGGCTTATTGCGTGAATGATGATCCGATCGATCCACCAAAAATTTCATATATAACCAGATGTTACTCGCACGATGTGTGGGTTAGAGCATAATAATTTTAAAACATTAATAGAGTCAATAAAAAAATATAATGAAATTTTATTAATAATTCGAAAATAAAATTCGATTTTTTGGTGAAAGATCATCGAGCATAATCCTACTATTTTTTCCCTACCACTTACAACTAATGAAAAAAAGAGTAGATGCTACGATATAAGAAAACAATAAAAAATGAAACAACTTTATTATAAAAATAAATTAATCAGATTTTTTTTTTTAAAAAAAAAACCTCACTCTCATTGGGATAACTACTTACCATCTTGCCAGTTCTTGTATCATTTTTGGTATGTGAACCTAATTTTACTTGTTTGTGCACAAATCTATTTCTCTGAAAGATTCTGCAGTGAAAAACAAAATAGCATAATTACGAAAGTGAATAAATATAATTGAAATCCAAATTTAGACCGCAAATAATAAGATAAAAGGAATTCGAACCACACAAATATTCATTCATCTCATTAGGGATATAATTTTTCCATTTCTTTGATCACGATACAAAAACGTAAGTGGGAAAAAAAAAAAGAAGAAAAGGAACGAATCTAAATCTTTTGATAAAACGCAAGCAACAAACAATAGCACTATAAGTAGGCGTGTAGAATATTGAACTTTTGGGAGGTATTTTGCGGTGTATGTTTGTAAGGAGGAAGATGATGTGGTTTGACGATGTCACTGGCATTGGATGAAAGAATGTGTAAAATGACTATATCCTGGTGTCGATATCATGAGAAAGCTATAACAACTGAAGTTAATTTGCACTTATATGGGAATAAGATTAATCTTATATTAGGAATTTGTTTGATTTGAAGTTTCTTTGCATATATATTGGGCTTACGCTGTATAGTTTAGGGGAAAAAATTCAAAGCATTAATTATGTTCAAAAAAAGTATTAATTATGATATATATATATATATATATATATAATCGAGCATTAATTATAATGTGATCACGCCTTTATGATTAATTTTCTCGTCCATTAAACATTAATTATAATTTGATCAAGCCTTTAAATGTCTATTTTTTCCTATAAATTTGGTGATTTTTTTTGGGGGGGGGGAGGGAGTATTTTTAGGGGTTCATTTTTACCGATAATTAAAGGCCAAAATAACCTTTTATGACATTGTATTAATTATTTTCAAATTTCAAAATACAATAATATTAATTAATAGGTGGGAGGGTTCAGTGGGGTGGTTAGGGGATTGGGATGGAGGATGGTTATTATCGGAAGGTCGAGGATTCGATTCTCACCGTGACCATCCAATTTTTTTTTAAAGAAAAATAATAATATTAACTAATAAATAAATTTAAGATAAGGACATCATTTCCTTAATTTTGTGAAGAATGTCTGGCTTACATTTGATCTTTATTCAGATCAATAGGCATAATCATAAATGAATGAAATCAATAGTTACTTTTTTTTTTTATTACACCAAAGGGAAAAAAAAAAACACATTAGTGTTGATTTTTTAAAAATGTTGCGTTTCTTTGGTTTGACCAAATACAAAAGGGAAAGTTCAGCACCCAATTAATTGATAAACTTTAAATGTGATTTGGTAAAACTTTATTTACAGAAAATTCAAAAGACTATTAGTATAATTACATATAGTAAATATTTTCCTATCAAGTATATATATATATATATATATATATTTGCAAGAAAAAAAGGGAGTTGAAGGACTATTTTCGGGTTCCAAATGACTCATAAAATACTTAAAGGGTCTACCTAAGAATTATTTTATAAGTCATTCAGTGCTAGATGATGCAATGCACCTAAGGGGTATACTCAAGGGATGGATATACACACCATCTAGTTCCTTATTTTCATCACTTCCCATTATTCTATTAAAATTCCAAAAAAAAAAGTGGCACAATATAATATAACCACGATTACATCAAGCAATCCTGCGCCTTAAATATGAAAAGGAAAGTTGATCAAAAGCCAACAATCCTTTAACATTTCTAAGCAATGAGTACAAGGAAAGATAAACTTCGGAATCTCCTAAAGCTGCCTTTCTAGCAAGTCTGTCATTAACAGAGTTTGCTTCTCTAAAGATGTGGGTTATGGTAAACCCATTTCTTTGTAGTAACGAATATATCTCTTGCATATGCGAGAGATATTTCCATGGAAAACCCATTCCTCCAACGAAGACCTTTGATAAAACCTTATTGTCCGTTTGCACTTCCTTTCTTTTAAGATTCAGTTGTTCACACTTCCTCAACCCGAACAAGACATCAAGTGTCTCAACCAAAAAGCTATCGCCACCACCTAAGTAACCGCATTCTCCATATAAGAAAACTCCCCCTGGACCTCTAACGACACATGATTTTATCCTTCGTGGGAACGTAAAATAAGTTTGGTTTTCTATCTCTCTAGTTTTTCTCTTAATATAATATATTATAGATAGATACAATCCTTTAATTCACGACATCAATTACTAATAAGTGTTCATTGATTGGTTTTAATCAAATTTAATTGTGTAGGATTTTTTTTTAATCTCGTGCATCCCATTTTTTTTTTGATTGGTGCCTCAATAATTATTTGAGGATATGGTGGCAAAGATGGCAATTTGTGAATTTTTATTTTTTTTTTCCCTTCTCAATTTTTTTGTTCCGGGTTCAGGTCGATGGGCCCCTTATAAACACAATTTTAATATTACGGATATAGTCCTAAACTTGTTGTAAATAAGTCAATTTCATCCTAAACTACAAGTATTTGGAGACTTAGTCTCAATCTATCTGAAATTGGTGTAATTTAGTCCCATCCATGGAAATTTAAGGGCATCATCGTTATTTTGTCATTAATGTCCTAAAATTTTTCTTTACATTTTCTTCCTCTGTCATTCACTTTCTCACAATTAAAGAAGTTAGTTTAATCAATGATTTCGGATACCGGTGTGTAATATATAAAAAAAAGTTAGTTTAATATACCAAAAAAGGAAAAAGTTAGTTTTAGTCGTATTATTATATGTATTATTATGCACTATCCGTCCCGATATTATTATCCTGTTAAGAAACTGTAACAAAGCGTCGATTTTTAATATGAAGAATATTATTGCAATTTTGTTTCTTCTAGGATTTTTTACTATATTGCAGATCATCTTAATTTTTTTGAAAATAAAAAGTAATTTTATTACGATTACTGGGAATCGTCCAAATGCGATTGACAAAAGGAGGTGAATCAGTCCACATAGTAAAATGTAAGGCATCATTTATGACATAAAAAGTTAGTTCTTGAGCAACCGTATTCGCCGAACGAGGACACCAAAAGATGCCTAAACAGGATGAGTTATTTGCCTAAACAGGATGAGTTATTGAGCCGATGTCGTAGTTCTTCCAACAGTGAATTGCAGATGATAGGACATGGATAGTCGCCTTGAAGTTCTATGTAAAGATGGTTAGTTAATTTGGTTAACTCTTGAGCAGTATTGCCTATATACAATACTTTTTATATTAATCAAATTGGGGACATCAGATTTTGCATGAGTAAAAAGAAAAATCCATTTCCAGGTTCCATTTACTTTCATAGTGAAAATGTATTATACAATCTCAATCAACATACACCCACATTCTTAAACCATGGTAATGAGACTATGAGAGATCTCTTTAATTCATTACATGTTCCCTCCCTAAAGTTGGAAATCAATTTAACGAGATTCATGATTACCACAGGGTAATACTGGAAGTGGAGCCCGCTATGCTTGTGATCTTTTGTGGCATTATGATGCTCATGAGGATGAGCTTGATGACTCAAGATGAGAAATCTTTCGCTTCTTGTTCGGCCATATTATCCGGGGTGAATAATCTAATGATACCGTGAACTTTTCCACAGTCGAACTCAGAGCCTGGTGAACTGACCGCTTGAGTTCTTCATCATCCTTAGTGCTGCTCAAGTCCTTTCTTCTGTTTGCTGAGAAGAAAAATACAATCATCAAGCGACCTTCCAATGTAGAGAGTTCCGACCTGACCATGGAAACGTTAAGCGCGACGAGTGTTTTTCTTAAATCAGACAACAGTCCAGGCCTATAATCACAGCAGATTGACGCCCTAAATGAAGCTTCTTCCCCAGGTATCTTTTCAAGCTGTTCAACTCGCACTTCATCAGAGTCCAGAGGAATAAAGAAACCATCACTAACTTGGTCAGCTGTTTTCTGCATTTGCTTCACATGGGTAATAACTTCAGCCAGTAAGGTTGCCTTGTCCATCTGTCAATAAACAGACAGTGTTCAGAGTTCAGCTAGAGTTGAGCAACTTTTATAAGCCAAACCACCTGGGATGAGGGGCAGTATTAGCAAAATCATCCTCCACCAAAAAGAAGAGATAATACAATAATTCTTTTGGAGTTACCAGAGGATATAGATCTTTCTAGTTCCTAAATTTTAGAAGACATGAATAAGAATCGAAGTTTTCTGAAGAATCACTTCCAATCTTATTGTTAACAAGAAATTCAACATAAAATTTAACAAGAAAGACCTATTGTGGAGCTTCCCTAAGTACTATCTGATCTCCTTCTTTGAACCTAAGGCACACAGATATACTTAATCCAGATAAAACTACTTTCATGCACCCGATAATAAAACATAATCATTACTCACTTTGTATATAACACAATAAAAGAACTCTTCTACTGCAAAATTATCAAAAGTTATGTGCTATGCTTAACAGTTACACGAACGCAGAGAATCTATGGCTATTTTTCAATCGACATTGCTGAGATTTACCATTTTACAAAGGGGTTTCCCGTTACTGCTCTTAATTGGAGTCAGGACATTGACTATAGCAACAACAAGCGCCACACCGGTGTTCGTACAACCACGTTATTTATAGCAGTTGATGCCAAATCAAAAACAATTTTCATCAAACAAATGCAATATATATAAAAAAAAAAAAAAGGAGATGAAAACAAGTAAAAGCTTATTGGTTTTGACTGCTACTCTGAGCTGCCATCTCACACAAAGCAATAGATTAGACAAAAGACAAGATCAGTTAAAAAAAGGCCAAAACAGTCACACCTTCCTTTGACTAGATTGGACTAACAATAAAACAAATTTAGGTGGCTTTATCAAGTCAATGTTCTCATCTTAGAGAAGTGCCACAACTGCTCCCTCGTTCACTACGCTAAAAGTAGGCCAAAATCATATGTTATCATTGCGCTATAATTGAACTACCCTTATGTGAAGATATGAATGAGTCAATGTGTGCAACACAACTTTATAATATTAATCAGTCATGAATCCATACTGCACCAGCTGAAATGGCTTGATTTTTGTAAACTACATTATATAGAGTATTATATAAGCTTTAAATTTGACTCTGGATGTTAGAATATATTTTTGCAGGGTACAAACTTCAATGCATACCATAAAAGTATTTAAAACAGCAATAGACCTGAGTAAAGTAAAATTAGTGACGTATCATTGTTGGTTTTTTGAAATTTATATATCTAGAGTCAGTAACAGATGTTTTACATCTCCTTTAACAGAAGCAAGAACAATCCTCAGCACAAACAGAAGTATAGCACATCCATTGACCTCAGTAACAAAAGGGGAAAGAACTGATGAACCGATAAAGTGACACAGAGATGCCATATTAAAACTCATTCACAATACACCTGCATAGGCTAATAAAATACAAACATAAACCACAAATGGTTTGAAATCCAGCAGCCATGGTTTCACAAATTGACAATGATACAGAATTAGATAAAAATTTATCAGCATGTACCATGAGGTGCAGATACACAGTTATTCTGATGAAATGGAAGAATCTGCAGCAATAATACTATAAGCAGAGTAGCAACTATACATGTATGCTGTCATAAACGTAGATAAACCTTGAAAAAGGTTTGTTAGATCCAGATGTAACTAAGAGTCCTTTGTATAAGTCAATACTATTCTCATACTTTAGGAGATCACCAGAAGTTGTAACCTTTTGATCAAAAGTGTTGTGTTAGTGGAAGCACCTAAAAGTTAAGCACACGAACTCCCTAGATATCAAACATTCATTAGCCTTTTCATTATAAGATATTCAGAAGAATTGGTAAAAACAGATCAAAATTGTACAAACCTTTTCATTTACAGGGACAAGACCGCGAAGCGTGGCTAGATGACTGTTGATCCTCTCTCTTCTCCTTCTTTCTGCCTCACTGTGGCTTTTCAGAGCTGCTGCTGTTTTAGCCTCTGATAGGTCACCTTTCTTCCCCACTTTCGAAGAAGATTTCACCAACTCCCCTCTCTCACGATCCAGTACTAAAGCTTGAGAAGCTGACATATGATCAGTATCCAAATTCCCACCACAATCACTTTAAGTTCCTCAAAACTGATAAGAATTTAAGCCTTGAACAATTCAGTATACGTTGCTCCTACTCAACAATTCAGCATCAACGCCAGCCATTGAAATTACACATTTTTCATTCCAACATAAGCACCCGAGAGAGTATATCAGAGCTCAAAGTAAATTCCAATGTGTATGTTAACAAGACTAAAAATCCTAACTTTTAGCAATTTGGTTCGAATTCAACCAAACGATTCACCCGGAAATGAGTGCTCTACAGTAAAGTTGAATCCCAAAAAGGCAATCTATGGTCAAAATGCAGTATTCGACTTCCGGGCTACCAATAAATCAATAATTCAATGCAAGAACAATCTGTGTATCGTCAAGAATTCATGTGTACCCTGGAGTTTCCCAATTCAAAGATCAACCTTTTTCAGTTCTAACTTCCGGGCTACCACAAAAGAGCTACTACAAAGCAAAGAATTCAGAAGTTACCAATCAAATGAAATATGTTTTTAAGGATCTAGGCCAGGAGGGCGAGTGGTTGGAGCAAACCAGAAAGAGAGCATTCGAGCACACCAAAGCGTTGAAACTGAATGTAATGTAAAAATCATATCTATATCTTCCATTAGGAGAAAGAAGACAAATTGGGGAGAGTTCTGGGGGAACGAAGTAGCTGTATATGTATTATCATTTAACACTGAGGAAACATCCACAATTCTTCTTGATGATCTTTGAATTGGGAGTCAATTTTTTGCAAGGAATGTTTTGAGGTTGGAATATGTATGACCCAGTTGAGGGAATCGATGATTCAATGAATCTCTGAAAGGAATCCTAACCAGGAAGAATTAATCAGGAGGACTGAAAAAATAGTGCTCTGCAGTCTGTATGTAAAAGAAGTGTGTAGCCGAAGTTTGCAAGGGGGATATATAAAGACAAATCAGGATGTGAGACAAATTGAACCCAATTATTTACTACAATTAAAAATTTAAAATTATCAATTTTAGGGGGTCGAAGTTCACTATCTGAATGAATTAGTACTATACTTTCTTTTTTTTTTTTTGGTGCAATGAAGGAGGCCGAAAGACATAAATTACTAAGCAACCACACAGAAGTGTAATAAAAAATAACAATATTGTAGTTCCTCTTTAAAATCTAAGCTCATTTTCTATTTGGGATCATGTCAAATTATAAGTTTACTTTGTTTTTCAATGCATGATCTTTAAAAATTTTCTCAAATTACCTTTTTTGTTTAAATGCTATTTATAAAATCTCAATACAGAAATTTTACATTTCTCTTAGTGATTAATTCTTAATTTTTGTGCCACTCAAAGTAAAATTATATTTTTAAAAAGGAGAGAGTATAACAATGTATCCTTAATCAAAATCGAGAAGTAAAATTCCACAAACTTACAATTAAACCTACAAAACTGGTGAATGCTAATGCATTGAGTAATTCATTTCCTCCATTCGACGTTAAAGACTTGTTTATAAAATAAAATAACAAAAAAGGAGTGTGGTTTTATTTTTCTAGGACGAACTTAATTGGAAATTTCGGTTCTGTCTGTAGTATAGGGCTTCAAATCCTTCACATTGTATCACATTGTCATTGGTGCAGACAAAAGGGACAAAACATGCCATGATTCATTAACTCAAGTTCAATTTGATTTAGGCCGTTGTAATTGACTCCACAAAAATTGTATTTAAATTAATCATGTCTCTCTCTCTTTTTATTTTTATTTTTTTGCCTTTTTAAAAATGAAGAGAGACAAAGAAAAAGTAAGTGAAGAAGAGTCGGCAATGGGATGAGGTAATCTACAAAACATTCAACTTCGATTTTGACGAATCATTTTAAAGTCATCAACTGCTCTAACTACTGATGATATCATCCTTCTGTTTTATTTTGCCGCAGCATTTTATCTTAAACCTTTTAACCTCAATTCTTAATACGTTCCGTGACTGTGACAGAGTAGGGCGGGCAAGCTTCCGTTTTCAGCTCAAACTCTTTTGTTTATTATTTATATCAGAATCGATTACATAGCTGCTGATTCAAAATCAAATATGATTAACAATAGACTGTTGCGTTATGTCAATGTCTTGTTTCTATGTTAACATGGTTGAGAGATTATATCGAAAATACACTTTCCGTCATAAAGAAAATTGAAAGAATGTTATTCTTTTGGATAGAAAGAATATTATTTTTTTCTTTTAAAAAAACAACATAGTGCTTAATATATTTGTAACTAATCATATATAATCAAGAGAGGAACTTCTTCCTAATGAGAAATGGCTTCTAAATAAACTAATAAAATGTGTTTAGCACGTATTAGTAAGCACCAAAAATTTTGTTATATGCACGTAGTAACTACGAAGTTAGGTCGATGATTGAGATGTATGAATTATTAAGGTCAAACATTATGATATTTATTTGGTTTCACGCACCTATAGCTTAGCCAAACATAATGAATCTTTTTTCTTGCTATCATTTATCATCATAATTAGAGTTTCTCCTAACTAGGGCAGGCAAATTTGACTTTTGATAATCTGAGTGTTGGTAAGTTGTTAATTTCTCGTCCAGCCTATTCTTTTCTTGCCTCTTGAACAAAAACAAGTTCAACTTCCATTTTATAACAATAGCACGGTTCATGAGTTGTATCTCAGATTGTATATCCATATGCACCATCATACAAAAACCAACATTATTAATTATCACTTGGAATCTTCTTCACTCAAAATGATACTAGCATATAAGATTTGATTTTGAAATAAAAGAAAGAAAAAGAGTTTTTTTTTTTTTTTTTTAAAAAAGCAACAGATGTAGTACATTTTAGAGGTTGACTTTGGTATTTTAATTTGTTTACTTAGCTAAACTTGTGAATTATTGTGTGACATTCACAACCAAGGGCACATTCTAAAAATCCTGTCAAGTGTCAACTTTTCCTTTTCTCATAATTCGTCACTTAGATTGTGAGAGGCTGGACTTCAAGGATCAACTGATGTTGAAATATTCTTTCTTTTCTATATAAAATAATAATAATAATAATAATGATGTAGAGACTTATTACAACATCAGAAAGTAATGTTTTCAATTAATAAATGATTCTGTTTCATGATTCATGCCATATTATTCAATCAATATCACCGTCTTTTTCATCCTTGTAATTTTAAACATGTTAGAGTTATAACTTCTACTAATTTGCACCAAATGAAAAAAAAATCAAATAAAAATTAAGTTTCCTTTCTCAATATATCATTACTCATTTTATAAGTGTCATCTCAATAGATTAGAAGATGAAATCATACTTCTATTCTTCAATTCTGTGACCATCATGTTTCTCTTTTTTTCTTTTTTGTTTAAAATGTATTATTAATACATTAGTGGTAATAATGGTTTGCAACAAAAAGCTGACTTAAAAGCTAGCTATTGGCTTTGACATTTTCATCAGTTGATAGCCACAATTATTGTGAGAAAACTTTCAACATTTTTTTAATGGTTTAATTAACACTAATATTCGGCTCTTCAAATCAGGCAATGAAGTTCTGAAACATGACCAGCCATTTGTCAACTTCTTAGTTTTTGTTCACGGGTCGACTTCTTAACCCAATAACTTTACAATTTTATTTTTTCTTTGTCTTTTTTAGAATAGGCTAGAGGTTCAAATACATAGACGAATCAAATAATTACATTACGTGAGTGAGAGTCACCAAGAATATTATGCTCTAGTTATAATTTATTACCAAACAGTAGATTCATTTATCGTTGATATCCCGCTCCGCTGCCTGATATGTCAAGTAATCCAATACAATACAAAGTTTGATTCCTAGTAAGGCATAATTCAACTCGACAACCATCATCTCCCGTAACATCACAAGTTTTTGTTAGTTTCAAATCCAAATCAACCCAAGCCATTTTCAATCTTCAATTTTTCCGGGTCAAAATTAATTTCCACATTTATTTCTCGATTACTTAAACACTTAAATATTCACAAATTTTCCTCAAACTGTTAATTCCAAAACTTCCTTTGTCACCTAAGAAAAATACTACCTCCATTCTTATTTATAAGAGATTTTAGACATACTTTATTCGTTCCTTTTAATAAGAAATTCTACAATTTCAAAAAAGTTTTTTTCTTTTCTTTACCCTCACAACTAACCAATTCAAATTCAACTACTTCATTAATGTTATCAAGGACAATTTGAAAAATTTATAACTATTTTGAGACAAAAAAAAATAAATTTTGTTAATATATTAGTTTATGTAAAGTTAGTTAACTCGATCTTATAAATATGAATGGAGGTAGTAAATAAATAACAGCAACATGTGTTTGGTTTACGGTAATTACTTAACAATCTAGTTTTTTTTTTTTTTTTTTTTGTTTTTTTAGACGAAAGGAGTATTAAACAAGAAAATGAATACCGAAGCCCATTTGTACGACTCATTTGAATATTTGATTTTCGTTTACCAATTAAATCATCCATAAGAAGGTGTCTTCTTAAACAGCAAATGTCAGTAGATTACTTAGAAGACATATTTCTGCGTTTACCTTTTCCGATATAACAAGGATCAATGATTCAATGAGCCTAACATAACAGATGACGTTTCACCTTTTGATTTGAAAATTAAGTTTGTCCCTTAGCAAGAAATATCACTCAATAACGACATTAACGATACTTTGTGGACATACCGACATGGCATTAATAATTGAATATTGTTATTAATAATTATTAAATAGCAGTAATTTAATATCGAGTGACTGAAATTGACTTCAAAATAAAGAATTATATATATATATATATATATATATATGTATATATCTTTCTTAGAGTTCACGCCAAACGTAACTCGAAATAAAGAATTTTATACCAAAAAAATCAATTTTCTTATACGTAACTCAAAAACCAGACGTTTACGGCAGTAAATATGTTAGACCAAATGTGTTTGATCGAGAAGGACTGAAATCGAAATTTGCCACCAAAATGATGATGTCAAAAACGAAAAAATAAAAATCCGCTACGGTGTTAAACAACTGGATTCTTAATAAATTGAAATAGTCAAATACCAAAACAACACTTTTACTGGTAAAAAGAAAGCAAGTTTTAATAATCACACTTTATGAGCCAGATTACTCATCAATGCCTTTCACTAAATATTTCAATCAAATTTACCATTTTCGTTGATATATACATTTACATCCCAAAATTAAAAGATTTCCAAGTTGCAGCTTATAATTACTACAGTACGGTATTCCCTAATAAAAAGCCCAAGCCAGTATGCTTAGCAACAGAAAATAAAAAAAAAAATCATACCAATCACTGTATTCACTGATGCATTAACACTCTGAGTAAACAAACACATCTGGCGAGAGCATCTATTAGACTCATTTCATACACACTGGAGCCTGGAGGAATATACCTTTACAGAGTTGAAAGATCTTTGAACAATTACACTATAAATAAAGGAAAATTTTAGGGTCCGTTGCCTATTTTGAGGGTTTGGTCCCGTTAAAATTTAACTGATAGAAAAATGACACATTAACATAATATTAAATTTTTCTAATTTTTAAATTTTTTGTGACCTGCTAAGCAGGTAAACTTACCAAAATTTAAAAAATTGAATAATTTAGGAAAATTTCAATATTTAAAATAACCAAATCATCATTAATTAATCATCAGGTTTCCTTTTTTTCATTATATATGTTGCACAAATGCTTATATATGATTGCACATTAGTTTATAAAACATTGCACGTAATTAATGAATAATTAATTGCACCATATTTTGTTTCTTTTTTTATAGTAAGTTAATAAGAGATATCCAAGCATTGTATTTTTGAAGATGCAATTGCACATTAAAAAAAAATACATTGCACGTTCACTTTCAAACAATTGCATTATACCAAAACTTTTCATAATTCTTAATTAAACTTTCTAAATTTATTTTTATATTACAAAAAATTTTTGTGTCATTATACATTTGTTCATTAGAAATTGCACATATATTTATACATAATTGCACATTTGCTTAAAAGCCATTGCACCATTTCTTATATAAGTTTTATTTAGTAATATTGCAAGTGAAAAAAAAAGCACATGCGTATAATGAAGTGGAAAAGACAATGGTGATAAAAAAAAATAACGTACACACAAATGTACCATGTTTAAAAATATATTATTATGCTAAAAAATTCAAAAAAAAAAGTTACAAATAAAATTCTAGTGTTCAAAATGATATATTTATACTCGCTTAGTAAGGCTTATAAGAAAATTCTAAATAAAAAAAATAAAATTACTGAAATTCTGAATTAATTTCCTTTTTATTTTCATATTACACAAAAAGTCACATATAATAGCGCAAATACTTGTATGTGTATGCGGTCACATATTAATTCATAATACATTACACATATGTTGGTAGATGATTGCACATCTCTTACATATACATTTATTTTTTAATATACTAATAGATATAAAGTATTGTACCTTTGCATAATAAAAAAAAATATATTGCACGTTCACTTTCTAACAATTGGATTATACTAAAATTTATTATAATCTTAATTAATTTTTCTTCTTTTTTTCTTACATTGCAAAAAAATATATGGAAAAGTGTACATTTGATCATTAGAAATTGCACTTATATTTATACATCATTGCACCTTAGTTCATAAAATATTACACTATCTCTTATATGAGTTTTTTTTAACTAATTTTAGTTTTTTTATTTAAAATTTTGCTTATAAGTCTTATTGAGCTAGTATTGTGTATTATTTTGAATAATAGAGTTTTGTTGACAATTTTTATTTCGATGTTTTGAGCATAATACTATATTTTTAAACATTGCACATAAGTTTGTACATTATTATATGTTGCATAAAAATAAATTGTCTCTATATTTTGTGTTGTCTTGTCGAACTTATATTTTTGTTTCACCCGTGATGAAATCCAAATATGCTACAATGATGTCTTGGTTTTGAAGTCATACGACTTTCTTGTTAACAAAAAGATTTAAGTGATGACTAATCATTTACTATCCATCGGATTAGTTAGGTACCTTTGTGATTTCTTTATTCTTAATTTTTATTTTATTTTAATTTAAAGGAGAACTAAAATCGACTGCTACGACTTAAACATCAATATTCAAGTTCAAGCATATAAATATAACGAAACAGTAAGCAGAAAGAATAAGAGTTATCTATTTTAAATTAATATTATCTAAATTTAGTAATTAAGAACAAGTATTTCTCATTTTATTTTTCTTAATGTTTTGTGTCTGAAAGTTTCTCGCAATTTTTTCATCAATTTTTTCCGCAAGAGTAGGTCCTGCCTCCTATGCCTTTCCCGCAAGAGTAGGAAAGAAGCAGCTCAGCGCACGGTGAGGAGACTCCCAGTAACAAAAAGTTACACAGGAAAACTGAGAGGTGGGAGACTCCAATTTTAAATAAATGGTAGTATACCATAAATAACTAACAAGTTGCCTGCGGGCAATTAATTTTGATACTTGTTTATTTAGAGTAAATTCAACGGTTGTGATTGATTTATATGAATCTAACGATTATTAATTAGATGATGGGACGATGTCCTCAAAATTGCTAACAAGACCGGAGCTTTACCCATAAATAAATTGTAACAAGTTGATATGTTCATTAATGTTACAAAATTCATAATTCAATCTCAATATCATTTCACACTTAATATTGTTGATCAACTTATAAACACCTTGCATATTTATTCTCAAATGTTAGTACTCGTGTTTCTTCCCAAAAAAAGTAATTAATGACCCCGAATTGATCAACATGCATGAACTGCTGGATCCGAGTCGCAGATGAAGATTCAAATACATCTATAATGAAACCATTAATTGATAATTTCATATTGCATTACATTTCATACGCAATACGACTTTTACATATCTTCATTTTCTTTTATAATTACATATCATCACTTGATATCATGTATCCAAATCCCATATAACAATGACCTTAGAAAGCTTGCTTTTATCTGCAAGCTATACATTTTTGTTAAGTATAGAGAAAGATAGCACACAAATAGCACCTAGTCATTAGACTGTTTTCTCAATCACAGGATAAGAAGCAGCCATGGCAATACCACAGTGGCCTTCTTTTGCTGGAACCTCTCTTTTGATCCTTATATATCCTTTTTCACCCCAATTTGGTCCCCACGAATTCTTAAGCAACCAATATTTCGCGCCATTGGGTTCCACCCCAAAACCAACCGCTGTAACACCGTGATCGAGCTTGGTCCCACACGGACCATTAAAAATGCCGCTTGCATAGAACTGAAAATGGGAGGCGTCGACCCCAACCGAGACAGGCTGGCTAGCCACGGCTTGCAACAACGCCGTCTCGTTGTTGGCCGGAACTTTCTGGAACCCGGTGATCTTGGCCGCGGCCACGGTTGATTTCTGGGCATTGCACGGGGCGCCTTTTCCGGTGTAAGGGTAACTTAATTGCGAGTTGATGCCTTTGTTCTGAATGATGTATTTGAATGCTTCATCCATGTACCCACCATTACAACCACGGTTCAATCCCTTGACGTCACAATCGACTAGTTGTTGCTCAGAAAGAGGGACTAATTTGCCGGTTTTGATTTGGGTTATGCCTTCGGTTGCTCCAATGGCTGAAAATGCCCAGCAACACCCTGCATGCATAATACATATAATTAATTAATTCTATCTTAAATTCGTACATAGACATACACTTTGGCAATGTTCAAAAAGTACGTACACTAAAAATAGTTTGGAACGTTGACTGAACCATTCAGACGATAATAACCATATTATTGAAATGGAAGCTTAATTAATTACCACAAGGTCCTTGTTCCTTGATGGGAGTAACAGCGCCTTTGGTTCTCCAATCAATACTTGGTGGAATTGCACTAACATTTGTATACTTAAAAGATGTAGCTTCATTTGAGGTAGACAACGGATTGGGTTCCTTATAACCATTTCGTATGGCACGAAATTCATCGGCAGTTAAGTCCGCAAATTGATTCACAGCTAGCTTATAAGTATTGTGTTCACTATGAAAATTAAACACCTCGATCCGTTCCACGTTTTCTTTGAAAATCCGGAAGCGTTTAGCCTTCTCCGCTTCATCGACATAAACTTTGCCATGTTCAGACATCCATGCTTCATGCCTTTCTGAAATGGTTTGAGTATGATTATCAATGAGGGCTCGAGTCGAAGCTGGAGAAGTCCAAACGCCCAAAATAGTGACAGTAATTAAGAGTAAGAAGCACAAAACGTTATGCATTTTGTACATGGTGATAATATAATATAAGGGTTGATTCAATTTGAATTTTGGGTTTTATTCAGATGAAGGCTTTTCCTATGTATGCTCCTTCTGCTTGGTGATTTTGTTGCATGCTTGGCCAGGCTTTTATAGGGAAAGAGATCCTGAACAAGCCCCGATGATTTCTCTATCTTAATTACTTTTGTTTGGCGAATTCGATCGTCAGCTTGGTTAATGTTAGGACTGTAGAAAGAGACCTGAGTAGGTATTTCACATGCCAAGTAATTAAATCTGTTCAAATCTCTCTTGAAATTTATTTAACTTTATCAAGTGCATGGTGTTCAAGTATCTTCTGTTCAAGGTTTTCATGAGTTCTATACTTCTGTTTGATTTCATGGAGAGCTTCATGCATGAGCATTGATTTATCAATCAATCTAATTATAAGTGTTGACCAAATCCAATAAGAATTACTCCCTCTGTCCCAAAATTATTGTCCAGTTTGAGATTTCACTTTCAATACAATTTAAACTAAAAATAAAAACTCAAACTGGACAATAATTATGGGACGGAGGGAGTAATTTCTTTCTATGTCTAGTACCTGATCTTGAGATGTGTTCGTGGTTGTATATCTTTACCATTAGTTTTACATAATAATTTCTTTGTTGGTTTTTTTTTTAATCTCTATTTCTTTTGTCAGCATGAGCATCATTTTCTTTTCATGCACTCACTGTGAACATCATGTACTAAAAGAATTAGAGGCTAAAGATTTGAAATAAATACACTAAAAAGGAGACCATTTTCTTCTCTTTCTTCTTTTCAGGTGATTCTCCCCCATTGTGAGTGAAAAGACTGAAGACAGACAACAATGTGGTAAATTTCGGTCAGACAATCTGGTTATGGTCACTCTTTTATAAAATGCAAGTTGGAGTGATCAGAATCCAAAATAATGCACTAACTTTTTTATTATTGAGTCGCTAAACAATTCATAAGTGATTACATTCGTCTGAAATACGAATTACTTTTTCACTACTAAATATTTCTGGAAACATTAGAGATAAGAAGGCCTGAACCGCACGAAACAAACGTCAATCAGTTGTATATTTACCAAAAATGATTAACGTTAATAGTCACCACCCGAAATAGTTTTGGTTACTTCCGGCTTTTGGAATAGAATAAAATGCAACTTTTCCTCATTGCCCTTATCGAGATTTCACTTAACTATCGATTTCTTATCAACGTAATGAAAACTTTAGTGATTAATCGTGTAACAAGAAAGACATCATCAACCCAATAAGTTCCTTGGAGCAATGTAATAAGGTGCTTTAAATATGTCTATTGGCAGAATTTAATAACAAAAATTGCATTTTCTTTGTCCCAAAATATTATTTGTGCGGAGTAATGGTATAGAGTTTAGAAAGGTTGTGAGAGAATGACAAATGAGTTTGGTGAAACTAGTGAAATTATTTATTTTTGTTCAATTTTTATTTATTTATTTTTAATTACTTGGGAAGCCAACCGGCATAGGTACACAGTTTCCCTCAAGCTTGGGAGAGCCTAGCTCTATCAATAGCTAACAATTTGTATTTATTTGATGAAATTCTGGAGGGATTAGTCACAAAAAAATTACGAACTTTTGTCGGAAAAGAAATTGCTTGGTCCATAAAAATGATTTCCTGAATCTCATAATAATACTCCAACCTGGAATAAAGGTTTACTTAGCATAAATGTATTTGACCAATATGCATGCACGGTTGGAAAGCAAATCGCAGATCAGGGGCGGTTCAACGTTTTTTGGGGCCTAAGGCGAGTTATGAATTCGAGACCTTTTGATAATAAAAAACTTTAAAAAAAAAAGGAAAAAAAGTGTAACCCTCCTCATTTTTCGCTAACAGCTATAAACTTATGAGTCCATAGCAAGCATAGTCTAAAACTTTTTTCCTCAAATATTATTAATATTAAATTTATCTTTCTAGCATTTTTTTGAAAATGTTGTTTATATCAAGTTATTTTTCTACCTTTTTTGGTTGCAAATTCTTTTATGAAATTTCTATGATCTATCTCTTCCACTAAGTCTTTTTTTATTAATATAATAGCAAACCTAGCTTAATCTGTCTCGTGACATTGTCGATTTTAAGTAATATTTTATTAATTTAAGTTTTGAAAATTTTCTTTCTATTGAACCAACCGTTACACAAATAATAGTTAACATTATCCTATAATTAATTATGAAAGAATTAAGTCTTTTAATATAATTAAGTATATCTCTTGGATTATTATTCTCAATAGATACATTATCCGTTAAAATCTTTAGTTCATAATTATATCTAAACCGTAAATATCTAAAATATCATTGTATTTTAAGGAGTTTTGAAGATTAAGACAATTTATTTTCTAATTTTTTGTCATCAAGTACTTATAATTTTTCCAAAATAAATAGAAAACTAAAAATACTAACATCTATTTTGAAATTTTTAAATCTACTTTATAGTGATGAGATATATAGCTCTATTAACTACGTAAAGAAAATAATCAGTTTTAAGAACTCGAGGGGTGTAAGAGTTTCATTAATTCTTCACATTTTCAACAAATCACTTATTTCTATGAATTTTACGTTTTTACCAATAATTATTAACACTAAGCTTAGTTAATATATATATATGGAGCCCCCCGATTCCAGTGCCCTAGGCGATGACCTGTTTTGCCTAGTGGAAGAGCCATCTCTGTCGCAAATAAAGGTTTAATTAGAATCTATAATAAAATCATAGAGTGCTACTGAGAAAGATTTAAACCGTTATATATACGCAGTTGATTTCTATTTTTGAAGATAATAAAACATTGGGAATATTGATTAATGTAATCATTTCTTAATAATTTCAATTAAACATTGGGAATTTTGAACCAGCCACCATATGTATATACTTTGACGGTACCTACATATACATGTATACACCTATCCGAAATCATTCCGAATAATTACATATTAGATCGTATCAGTATGTAATAATTTTGGTATCATATTCATAATTTTCAGGCAACAACAGGATAAGAAGCTTCCATGGCGATACCGCAAAGGCCCTCCTTAGCAACAACGTCTCTTTTAATCCTTATATACCCATTTTCACCCCAATTGCTTCCCCACGAATTTTTCACTATCCAATACTTCGTCCCATCCGCCTCCGTCCCGAATCCAACCGCCGTGACGCCGTGATCAAGACTGGTTCCACACTCGCCACTAAAAACCCCGCTCGAGTAGAATTGGAAGTCGTAGCCGCCGGCATCTATGGCGACCGACACCGGTTGACGTGCCACGGCTTGTAACAAGGCCTTCTCGTTGTTGGCCGGGACGTCGTGGTACCCGGTGATCTTGGCCGCCACCAGGCCGGATTTCTTGGAGTTGCACGCGCCGTCTTGTCCGGTGTAAGGGTAGTTTGACTCGGTGTTGAGGCCTTTGTTTTTAAGGATGAAATCGAAAGCGTTGTCCATGAGCCCACCGCTGCAACCTTGGTCTTCTCCTTGGACGTCGCAGTCAACGAGTTCTTGCTCCGATAGTGAAATTAGTTTTCCGGTTTTGAGTTGGTTTATGCCTTCCATAGCTGCAACTGCCGAAAATGCCCAGCAGCATCCTGTGTTGTATATCGATTGCTTGTAATTATAAAATAATCCCATCCAAAATCAATTGAACATTTCACTAATTGTAAAAAGATATTCAGTTGCCCTAATTTTTGTTCAAGTGAAAATTTGGACAGGTCTCGAACCAAATTTTGACTCTCTTTCCAGAAAAATAATCCATATTGCAAATTAAGAAATATACAATTCGCAACTTACAATTTGGACTAGTTTTGTGGAAAAAAAAATAGTTTATAATTTTCATATATGACCTTCATCATGTTTAATATAACATGAATATCAATAATATAATTGCTAATGAATAAGGTTATAATTTTAACACAAAAAGTAAAGTAAAATTTAGTATAACAAAAAATGATGATAATTATGAAACGAAATGGAGTCATAAATAATACCAAGAGCTGTATGTACGTACCACAATCTCCTTGGTTCTTGATGGGCGTAACTGCGCCTTTCTTTCTCCAATCAATGGATGCTGGAATTGCACTAACATTTGCATGCCTAAAAGGAGTAATTTCGCCTGAAGTTGTAGACAATATTTTGGGTTGTTGCCTTTTATAGCCATTGCGTATGGCACGGAATTCATCGTTTGTCAAGTCCGCAAATGGATTAACACCTAGCTTATAGCCTTTGTCGGAACTACTAGCAGCATTGAAAGCCTCAATTCTTTGCACGTTTTCCTTAAAAACCATGAAACGTTTGGCCTTCTCCTTCTCATCAACATAAACTTTGCCCTGATGAGCCATCCAAGCTTCATGCCTTTTTAACATGGCATATTCGTTATGACCATCAAATATGGCTCGACATGAAGCTTGAGAGGTCCAAACACCCAAAATAGTAACACTTGTTAAGGCTAAGAAGCACAAAATATTATGCATTTTGAACGTAATTATAGGGTGATTTGATTCAAACTGAATATTTGTATTCCTTCAGAAGAAGGCTTTTCTTATGTTTTTTTTTTCTTTTCTGTTTGGTGATTTTATTGCATGCATGGCCAGGGTTTTTATAGGCCAAGAGTTCAACAAAAGGCACAATTTCCTAAGAATTCCACATCTCAATTATTTTTGTTTGTGGAATTCATCTTCTTTGATAACTGTTAGAACGATCGAAAGAGACTTGACTTTCTTAACGTGCCTTGAACAATGTTTTGATTTAGACCACTTAGATTGAACGGATTACCAAGTAATTTAATCACTTCTCCAAATCCCTCATAAAATTTAAAATTTGAGCTCGTGACTTAATGTATCGGGACAACAGCGGATATTTTTGTTCAAACAGCTTCTTTCCCAGTCTCATTAGTTTTGTTTATTCCATGGAGGTTCGTCATAAGGTATTATAGAATAATACCAAATGAACAGTCACTAGCTAGTACTACATGAGTGAAATAGACAACCTTTAGTAAAAAGAAATACTATTTGCCTCCTTTCATTCAAAAAAAAAAAAAAAAGAAATACTAGAAGGTAAGAAGAATAGAACGGAGAGAATCTGAGATGAAAAAAACAATACAAAAAAAAAAGAAGAAAAAACTTATGTGAGTGATAATCGACAACTTGCGGTAAGCGTCGGTCAAACAATCATTACCGTTTACCATTGGTTCTATTATAGTGGTCTGCAAACTCGAGTGCAAGGTGTACTTTATCCGAATCTAACGATCCACACACATTTCTGTTCCTATATTGGAAAATATTGTTCGAAAATCATAATTATTTTAAGATGAAGAGGGTTTTATTTGTCATATCAGTCCCTTAATTTAATTGTGTGAATTAGGATTTAATTTTCACAGCTACAAGTTTCTGATTTTATGGAACAAGAGTACAAGTTATTTTAATTTACACAAGGAAAACATACATAAAGAATTATTTTCTTTGTCTTAAAATAATTATATACTACCTCTGTCCCAAAAAAAATTCACATTAAGTTTTTAAATTTGTGCTAAAAATAGTACAAAACCCAAAACTTAATATGGACTGTTTTTCTAGGACGGAATGAATAATAATAAATATGAAAAACTTGTAGTACTACCTAAAAAAATTCTGTGTCTTTCCCAACCTCCTTTTCTGAAGTTCTAATTCATTTAAAACTTGTAGTCTAAATTCTAAACCACACGAAAGATACATCAATCAGTTGATTAATACTAATCACAATGATTAGTGTTAATAGTGGTGATCGGCAGAAAAAGACTTTTGTTAATAGTGGTGTCACGACCTTCGGTGGCTCATGTCTGTGTAGAGATTGACCTCCTCAAGGAACATCCCATTCGAATTCGATTGGGAGTTGAAGGGAAATCATACTTTCAGTCCATTCTCTATGAAAATATGCCCCAATATTGTGTCGACTGTAAAAAGATCGGTCATGACACTCTTTCCTGTCGACACAACATGAAGGCAGCATCATTGCATAAGGTGGTTTTCTGCCAATCTGATTAGCCGGAAAAAGACAAGCGAGCAGCACATCCTACCGGAAAACAACCAGTAAATAATCAATCATCAACAAAGTCAACAGGGAGAGGAATTCAGCCTCAATTGAGGTTGTGCCACCGTTGCAAACTGCTGTTATGAACTCACAGCCGATACTGCTCACCACCATAATGGCTGACCTGCTGCACCAATCTATTGAAGATCAACTACATAAGGACCAAACTGTCGCAGATGATACTGGAGCTGCGAGGACTGATCGCATTATTAGAGACGACACAATTCCTAAAGTGACAACCGTAGAGAATCATAATCTCATCACCGTCCAATTACCGACAAGCACTGCCAGCAAGGGTGGAAAATCTTCATCGCCAGTCATCAGAGAGGGAGAATCAAACTCTCAATTGCTGTCGGACGCTTCAAAGGATGCAGGAGATACTCACTCTTCACCATCAATTGTTCCACGAACAGAAGCCATCTATGGGGGGAAAAATCTGTCGCCGGCAAGCTTGGAGGGACAGCGAGAACCACCGGCGAGGAAGAATGACGCGTCTGTTGCGGGAGTGTCTGTTGCACCAGTGCAGATTGCGCCTTCCCTGATATCCTCCGCAACTAACGCGACGTCAATGCCCCAAAATCTAGTTTTAAAATCAAATCAGAATATGCCAATTTTAGATGTGGAAAATTTAAACTCAAACTCTCCTCTCTCTCATTTCACTCCATCCCATTTAAAAAAAGTAAACTCCCAAAATAACTCGGTTAATAGCTCAACTCACAGATTAAAGCCCGCAGCACCAGAATTTTCATTTTCTCTTCAAGCACAACCCTATTTCTCCAAATTCTTCTCCCGATTTCAGCCTCGGATACTCAAAAACAATACTCAAAAGATGATACGGAGGTAGAAAAAAACAGAATCTTCCAACACGAATTTTTTGATTGAACAAATCCATTCAGACGGAGAACAACATCATGCTTTTAAGGATTCAAAAGATGAAGAATTTGACACGGAAAGGAAATTGGAATAAGAGGCCTTTTACAGTGAAATTTCTGCTCCAACATATCACAATTGATAGAAAAAAGCCAAGACTAAAAAGAAAGTTCAAGTTCATCTGTCTGCTAGATTGAACAAGGATTTAACTTCACTTTAAGATTAAAATTGTATTTGACATAGAGTTTAATATATTGGATGTCCTATATTTTCTTTATTATTAATAAAATTAATTTTTTTTTGTTTTAAAAAAAATGACTTTTGTTAACTTAAGTTTGAATTATACTTTTATAGTTTCGGCATAAAATAAAATGTGGGTTTCCCTAATTTCGTCGATGGTTCGTTTAAACTGATTTCCTATATCAACGCAATGAGAGAATCTTGAAGGCCCATATAGGCCCACATGTGGTTCCATCTCAAAACCAATTGACAATGAGGGGAGTAGCACATGGGGTATATATGTTGAGTTCAAGAGTCTAAGCCCATTGGGCTTAAGACGGGTAATCTTGTCTCTTTTTTTTTTTTTTTCTAATCTTGCGATCGGTTATTTTTCCGGATAAACCGTCGCCTGCCGAGCCAGTCAAAGTCTGAATTTGGGCAAGTCAAAGGTCCAATATCAGTCAATCAACCTCGCCCACAAGTTCCACAGGTCCGCAGATAAAACCCGCTCTGATACCATCTTGAAGGCCCAAATAGACCCACATGTGGTTCCACCTCAAAACCAATTGGTAATGAGGGGAGTAGCACATGGGGTATATATGTTGAGTTCAAAAATCTCCATCTATCCATGTAGGACAATGAAACATGATGCCATTTTTTTTCTTTCTTTCAATCATTTAATAGAGTAGGGTTAAGCTGTTCTTGTCCCATTACCAAGAATTATTCTATATTCTTACGTGAATAATGTCTATCTAGGTTGCATTGTTTCAGTAAATCTTTCTACGATCAAAAGCAAATATCATTCTTTTTTTCCAAAAAAAAAAAAAAATGAAGAAGAAGAAAGAAACGTGAGATCGATCGATTAACAACAATCTTAGGCCGTTAGGCGTGCTTCCATATTTCAATAAAACATGATTAAATTTATGACTTCAGAGTTCAGAGTATACATATTGAGATTGATGAAAAACCTCATGCTTTTTTTCCCCTAATGGTAGAGCATAATTATTCTTTAAATCTGAACCTGATTAAGTGTGCCACCAATTCCATGTATTTGTGGAGAAGTTTGCATGAGTACTCTGGATCATGCATGCAACGTACATATCTGTGGTCGATAATCACCAACCAATGGAAGAGTGCAAAGTTAAATTTTGTGTGCTCAAAGTTGATATCGTCACGGTTGCATGATTTCTGTCCCTGAAGAAAACTAAAGAAAGAATTTCGGGAACTTGTTCGACTTGACTACTAGGATAGCTACATTCTTCGTTTTTTTAAAAAAAAAAATATTAACAATAATAGAAAGGCACTCAAATGGTAGATTGAAATTATGGTTCATTCCTCATTAACAATTTTCATGTTTATTTAGTAGGTTTTAACGAATTGACCCAGTTATAATTATATATACATTGATTATTTAAAAAGATAATCAAATTAATACATGTAGATTTTGAGTTGATTTTTTTTTCCGAGGACGACAAATGAAGAAAAAACACGTCACTTTAAAGATTCAATTAAGAATCTTGATTTTAATGGCCAACACAAATGATTCTTGGGGCAGCAAATAGCTAGGTAGTAATGGCAACTAATATCACAATCAAAACCACTGTCACTAATGGAATCCGTGCAAGCATGCTCCTCCTTCTTCTTCTTACTATTACGAAAAATTAAATCAATTTGATTTAATTAATTATGACACTGAAAATCTCTATTGACCGGAGGAGAGGCCAATATTTCACGCAAAACTTTGTGATTTGCGGTACTAATTTTAGGCACTGAAACAACAGATGAATTCACTTTGGACTAATTGGGGAGTGGTCATTTACATGTTGAAAAAGCTATTGCAAATACTTCTTGCATCAGCGTACGTGGGGATTACGAATCATTTCATTCTGGAGTTTTGTTCATTGCCAACCATTACCCTCTCACCAAAAAAAAAAAAAAAAAAACCGTCTCTGTAAATAAAAAGAAAAAAAAGAAGAAGTTCACATTAGATTTTTAAATTTATACTAAAATCAATATAAAATTCAAAATTTAACGTAAACTATTTCTTTAAGACATATGAAGTACTAAAATTGTGTTTTTTTGGGGGTGATCAATTGAAGTTGTATACTCTAGGAATGACCTGATGACAATGTTCATCCCTTGAGCATGTATGAAATTCTCCTTGGCACATCAGGCATGTGTCCCATCTGGTACACATGAAATTCAGATTTCCACATAATATGTACCCCTTTCTTCTTTCCTACTAGACAAACGACCACGGGATTACGATTTGTTTAATTATTTCTTAAAAATATGAGTATTCTTTATTGTATTAAAACAAGGAATTTTATGAAGGAGGATTGAGATTTACAAAGATAATTCGAAAATAACTCCCCGTGTTAAAAATGTTTATCCAGTTTGGAATTCATTTTTAATATGTATTAAAATAAATATTCAAACGAAACAACTGTATCAATCGGAGAGAATATTATTATACTTTTAAAGCATGTTTGAAATTATGTTTAATACTATGTGATTCTATAATAGGAAAAAAAAAAATCCAATAAGACTAGCCAAACATCTAATTAAAGTGGGCGTGTTATATGATTCTATACCGAAATTAGAGTAGCCCAAAACATGCATGTCCAACCCAAAGTGTATTTATTTCTTGTTGAGTGCTGAAAACAAACCGTGACTTGTGAAATGTGAAAAACATCGCTTTCTGGTGATCTGGTCAAATATGACGTACGATTCTCGACAAAAGGTACACATTAATTATATCACCTGCCCCTCTTGGGGACATATTAGTTTATTTATGTTATTTAATCTCTTTCGTTACGCTAATTGTGGTTACGCTGAAGGGTGAATGTGGTTAAAGAAAGTAGGGTAGGGGTGTCCTAAAGTTGTGCTGAAATCAAGGTTTTTATAGTTAATCAATGTAAAAAGTAGTATTAATGGCTGCCATTGAATTGAGAGGAGTTCCAATTAAACCACGAGATTCCCTTCCCCCACCCCCGCAAAACAGCATCTCATTCGAGTCAAATGTCACCAAACTCATTTGAAGTCAACTAATATTGGATTACTTATCTGTATGATTATCCATACTCTTGTCTTTGTTTATACACGTCTCAATCTATTACAGTACTACATTTTTTAAAATTGGGCAGTTAGATCTTGTGAATCTTTTTTTTTTCTTTTTCCTGGGCAAGAAAGAAAAGCATTTTTCTTAAAAAAAATAAATTAATTAACTAATAGTTTAGAACTGCACCATTTAACTAGTGGTATATATGAACCAATTCAATTAAATTTTATTACAGGTGTCTACCGTCGACAACAATGACTAATACCCCTCGTTCATGTTACCTCTATAGGTAAGAGAACTGGCCAAAAGATTTAAGATTACTCCATATCCATTGAGAGATTCAATCATATTGTTGTTGATTTCTTTTTACAGTTCAAATGACGTATATCCATGGGTTGAAATTCTAAAAGTAAAATAGTAAACCGACATTATTACCAATCATATTAGTAAGACTCTTGTGAGCAGAAACACGAAATTAAAACAACTGTAAAGAAATAAAAATCCAGAATCATTAAGGGAAGTAATCACATTCATTTTAAGTATTACTCTCTCTCATCTCCAGACATAATTTTAAACTAAATTTAGTGTTAATTTGTGTATTATAATTAGGACCGGAAAAAATAGATATAGTTGTTACAAATTCACAGTATCATCAATACATATAATCACGAGCTCTTATAATTCGTTGAAAGTATTACATAACTATATATTACATATCTATTTAGGTTTAATTCCGCCCTTCTAATACACAATAGATAGTTTCATCAAGCCTATCAAACTGAAGATCTGAAACAGACCATACATTTGAATATTCACCAATGTACTACACTACCTACCATATGATTGAAAGATGCGGTTTCTGTCTATCACACTAGGTAGAAGAGATAAATTAGATTCGTGTAGTAGGCCGACTGCAACACAATCAGCCAAAAACTATTCGGACAGTTCCCACGTTCTCCGGACAGATGATGATCCCTCTATATTGTTCTTTTACTACTGAACAAATTAAAATGGTTGATAAATAAGACAAGGACAAAAAAGAAACTAACAACGATGTAATCATCAAATGACCCGTGAAATTAACAACGATGAATCATAAATTAATTACTCATTGTAAAACATTATGGTACAGGCTGATCCAACAAATCCAATCCTAAATCTCTGATCTGATGACTACACTGTTCAAGGATATTCAACACTGAGATTTGCCCATCTCGAATCTTTTTTATCTTTTTTAACCCCCCATAACTTTAGATGGCTCCAAACAGATGATGCAAATATATCACATGTCATAATTATGAAAAAAAAAAATCATCGTCCCACAACATTTTGTGCTGTGCCAAGAACTTCTGTCGTTGTGTGAGTAAATCCATTTATTTTGTTATAATTCGTCTGTTGTATATCAATAAAATTTTTAAAAACTAATAGTTGTATAAATTTGTAGACCTTTTATTGTCTATTGATTTAGTAATTTTAAAGAAATATATTTCTCACTCTCTTTCTCAGTCCAATTTGAAATTGATAAATTATCGTAATATATTACGTATTCGGACAATCGCCTCAACGTCAACGGTAATGTAAAAAACTCCAATATTGCCCACTCTCTATTTAAGAAACCATTGGAAGGGAAAAAAAAAATACAAATAAAAGAAATCAAAATCTTTGGGTAATTTCTTTAATTACAACAAACTTTGAAGATGGCCGTGCAATATTGTTTTCAATACAGAAAGATGTAGGGTCCACCCTTTTTGGCCTCCAAAGCAAGATTACTATACTAAAAGCCGTTGGGCCCACCGGGTCGGACCTACACCGTCGTATAAACAAATCATTGTCGTCGGAAGCCCAAAACCTATTGATTTCCAGTTTCCAGTACTACTCTACTTCACCTGGGTTCAAAACTAAACTAAACAAAAGGTCAAAACAGTCATTTCAAAATCGATTTATAGTGCATTTTTTTCAGGTATAATATCCCACATCAGAAAAAAATAGCAAGACCATAGAATTTCGTCCTTCTTAGATTTGAGCCCCCCTCTGTAATCTGGCCTATCAAATGCAATGATAGTGCCACCTCAACAGCACTATATATGAAAAGAATGCCTTGTGGAGTTGGCAAATACAATATACCACTTGCTCCCCGGCTTCATCCTTCGAATTAATTAGAAAACCAATATAGCTTTCATAAATTTAAAAAATTGTAATAACTCTAATTTATAAATATTAGTTTTTATATCAAGAAAATAATTTTAGTTCAAGAAAGTAGGGCTGCTAATTCGGTCGTTTGGCTCGGTTCGGGTGAGTTTGGTTCGGATAATTCGTTTTTTTTAATTTTCTTTCACCCACTCGAAACCGAACCGATATTTCAAATTCTCCGAACCGAACTGACCAATTAAACAGTCGGGAGATCGGGTCAGGGGCCGATTAAACCGAAAAAACGAAGGCCAAACATGCCATATTTGATAGAATTTCAGAATTGAATCTGAATCTATCCTTAAACATAAATCTACGGCCAACAAATCCAACTGAAAACTTGAAAAATCAATCCAAACAAACCCAGACACACTTTTGCACACTGGCTCTTCGAAATCCACGGATCCAAATTCTTTCTTTTTTCTTTCTTCTTCCTTTCTTTTTTTCCTTCAAAACAGCAATACCGGCGCCAATTTCGCGCTTCCTTAATTCCCTATGAAGAGCGACGAAGCAATAAAGGGATGCCAAATTGAAGGGAAAGGAATGCTAACTAACCTTTGTATATAAATATTTTATGGCATAAGAGTTTCATGAATAACGACGAAACAAAAAGGAAGAAAGGGATAAAAGGTTCAACTTTTTTCCTTTCGATTCTATAGATCCAAATCCTTCTCTTTTTCTTTCTTCTTCTTTTATTTCTTTCTCCTTTGGATTTTGATTTAGAGAAAAATTGACTTGATTTGGAAAGGGTAAGTTGGATTGGTGGTGGAATCGCTGGATTGTGGATGTGGGATGATGAAATCGATAGATTGTGGAGGTGGGAGGTGGAGCTGTGAGTGGAGGAGCGACGGCAAATGGTGGGGGACGGGGCTAGGAAGAAAAAAGATAATCGAGAATTATGGAACTCTGGATTAAATTTTAGATTAAAATGACTATATATATACTATATAAATAAAAAATAAAAAATAAATAATTAATCAAATTAATCAAGTATTCAAACATAATTATAAAAACCGACTTCAAACTGCATAAGCTAATCAGTTAATCGGATGGAGACGAAATTTCTCCGATTAAGCCGATTAACCCACTCGTTTTGATCGGATTAGTTTCAGGTCGGGCGGTTCGTTGGGTCTACCCGATTAATGAGCAGCCCTACGAAAAAACAAACTGGAAAAATATTAATAATAAATATATATGTTAAAAGTATGGAGAACTACTGAAAATTGACAATGCAAAATGTAACCGATATATATACATACTATCTAACTTCATAATAAATCTTGTCTATAAATTTATTTTTGGAACAACGATCTCAAATGGTGATATTGAAAAACATGCGAAAAAATCAGATAATCAAAAAAAAAGTTTCATCCATAGACTTTTTTGGTGGAAATATTCTTTTCTTAATTTATTTCCTATCCTCAGACATCAAAAAGAACTTTTCTTTCCTTTTCTCACAAAAAAAAACATTTTTGTTGGTTGACGAAAACACCCCTATGCAAATGTCTGAAGTTTTCTTCTCTCTCACCTTCCCAATCGCTCTCCTTGCAAGTTCAGCTGCTCCAATCGCACCTAATTCCTCTTCTCCTCTCTCTCTCTATTCTGTAAATTCTCCATACTGATTTCTTCATTTAATTCCGCCATTGATTGCAACTCTTCCCCACTCAACTTCTCCCATTCTCGTTTCCCGGAAAAATTGCATAGTAATTATCAATAACTGTCTTTTTTTTAAAGTGTGTGACTATGTGTTTCTGTAACGGGCAGCTTTTGCTTCTTCTCCCCACTGTGTGACTGTGTGCGCTTTCAGTTTTTCTTTTTTTACACCCCCTATTGTGTTGGCTGGAGAGTAAGCTAAAAGCCATGCCGCTGGTTAGAGTGGAGGTGAGGAGTGAGTTCGGCCTCGGTGCTCCGGAAGTGTACACAAATGCCAATAAGGAGGATCCTAAGGCCGTTCTCGAAGGCGTCGCCGTCGCCGGCCTTGTCGGGATCTTACGCCAGCTTGGTGATCTCGCTGAGTGAGTTTCTTTTCTTATTTTCTAAACTCATTGTTTTCATTTTCGGAATTTTTTGAACTTTCTCTCTTTTTAGAGTTTTCTCCCATTTGTTATTGATTTTTAGTGTCACTTCTTTACTTGAGTGCATTTTACTGCTTTTTGTTTGAAAGGGTTAAGAAATACGTTATAAATTTGATTAATTGGCGATTGAATTCGCTTAAATTTATGTAGCATTCTCAATTTTTAGCAGCGGAAGTTGCTGCTTTCAGGGTTAAATTGTTGTAGTTCTGGGTGGGATTAGGCTGAAATCTAGTTGGAAAGGGAAGCATGTAGTTGCTGCTGTACCCTATTGAGAAATCAGGGCCTCAAAGAAGCATATGTTTTGGTCAAGGGATCAATTCACTGAAGTCACTTGTGGTAGAATTTTGGCCCTTCTGTGGTATCTTCTCCCTTATAAAGTGGAGTGGTCTCATACACCATTTAGAAGAAAAAATGTTGTACTTTTCAATTGATATCCCTGGAAGTCCTCGGTGTCATTCTGGACTTTGAAAGCAGTATGCTGCTTGTGAGGTCATATGATAAGAAAGACATACCTGTCATTGTGTTCTCTGGGCAGTTTACATTTTAATTCGTGGATAGTTAAGAATGTATATCAAACTTGAGGCTTCATGGAGAATGTGGTCCAGCCAATCTTGTAGGAAGTTAAAGTGCTATTGCTTTGTTAGTTCCCCAAATCCCAATCCCGTAATGATTGAAGTTATGGACGCCTTTTCTTGTTTGCAGTTAATACTTCAGACTTGCAAGTTTGTCAACGTCATGTACTCATGTCAAAAATGGCATAAGTTGTAGTCTTTTGAAATTTCACGTGATACTTTGGCTGATAAATTCTTCTCAAAGATTGGAACACCATTTAGAGTAAGCAATCCTATTCGTCAAGAGCCTATGTGTGGTACCATAGAGATATTGCTGTATCATTCTTCTTGAAAGGTTTTTAATTCAAGTCATCTTTTTACATTTCTGGCCTGGCGGTAACAGAGTATTGAGATCTTGTTTCTGCTTGTGCTAGATTTGCAGCAGAAGTATTTCACGGCTTACAGGAGCAAGTGATGATAACTTCCTCCCGAAGCCATAAGCTGATGGAACGTGCGCAAAGAATTGAGGCTGCCCTTCCTCCGCTTGAGAAGTTGGTTTTATCACAAAGGAGCCATTTGCACTTTGCCTACACTTCAGGCACAGCTCATGACTTCTGTTTTAACATTTTATTTCCCCATTTTATACTTCTCATAGAGATGATTTTGTTTCTTATTCAATTATTGAGTGGTGGAGTACACGTATTGAACTAAGAAGTTGGCAATTTTTTCTATTACCTTTTTTTTTTTTTTTTTAAATTTTTTTTTGCCATGTCTTTTTCCTAGTCTAAGAGCAGCTATCAAAAAATTCAGGTTACAGATATTGATATAGTTGTGGATAAAACTGATTTGCAGGAGCCAGTTGGCATTCCCGTCTCAGGAGTGAACAAAACCATTTCATATACAATGACTTGCCAAGATTCATAATGGATTCCTATGAACTTTGTCGAGGGCCTCCACATCTGAACTTACTTGACAAGTACGGAAACTTTCAAGTACATGCTACATAGCTCTTAAATTGATGTCCCATTTGAACTAAAGCATTTTCATCCCACTTTCCAGATTTGATCCTGGTGGCCCTGGGTCTTGCCTGAAACGATATTCTGATCCATCATTCTTCCGAAGAGCTTCATCTAAGCAAGGTGAAGCACATGTTGATAAAATCTTAAAGAACAAGAAAGGACGCAAATTTAAGGTAATATGTGAAAATACTGGAATTGAATTACAGTTCAGTATAAGAATTTTTGTGCTACTTAATTATTGGTCATTTCTTATTGCTGCAAGTCTTGGAGGGAAGACTAATTCAGCCAATCCAGTACCGTACTGACCAAGTTTGCTTACTGCTCATCTGTATATAAATTGTACGTCTGGACACCCTTAGAAATCTAATACGTTTAGCAACGTAAATATCATCCTTTGGGTCGAAGATGGTTACAGTAGATAATTTCTAATATTCCGGCTGTAGGAATCAGTGAGCAGATAATTTCAGTAATACAAAATATGAGAGGTCCTGGGTCTTATCAATTTCGGAAAATGTTGGAGGGAGTTGACCGAATGATTCTGATAAATGTCGTGATTGAAGACTGAATGTAACACCAAGCTGATAAAGGACCCCTGGTTCTCCAATCCTCCATTATAAGTGTTTTTAGGTTAAAGAAATTGATTCTTTTTCTCCATCAAGTTTCCTATATGTTACTTAAACTGTTGGGTCAACTAAAAGTTGAGAGGGAAAATTGGGTAGCATATATATATATATATATGTTTAGATTTGATATGTCATGGATGTGTGTGAAAATGCTTGAAGTCAAAATCTTGGGAAAAATTGGGCTGTAAATGGTTAGCAAAATGCTAGTTTGCTGCTCCAACAAGAAATACATATCTTTTCTTACCTACATAGCACATATGTGTTTTGTTAAAGTACTGCTTTCTTTCTCTGGGTGTTATATTAAAAAAGCTGCATCCTTTGTTCTTCTGATGTAGAATTCTTATGTTGGCATTTGCATAAAACCAGCATTACTTCCTCTCAAGACGTCTGGGTGTAATTATAGTGCATGACACTAATTAAAATGGTTCCCAGCGTTCCACTTTTGTAATCTAGTAACTTTATATTGCTCACTTGAATTGCATTTTAACATTCTGCGATTAAGCAGAAGAGAAGTTCCTTGCAGAAGACGGGGGTACATTCACGTGCAGCATCATTCTCAACTGGGGTGCATTCACGTGCAGCATCATTTTCAACTGCCAATAGCAGGTATGTGCATGATACGCATAAAATCTTCATTGACAGAGAGAGAGAGAGTGAGAGAGAGAGAGGAAAAGAGTTAATAGCTGAGGCACATATGGATGAGATAGTATGGACCTTGATATCTTTACTAATTATTAGCATATGGGATTACAACTGCATAGTGGTTGCTATGGCCTATGGTACAGAACAACCTATATCAATTTTGCAGCATGCTTTGATGCTGAAACATTGTGTTCTGCGGATTTGCCTGTCACGCTGCAGCAAGGCCTTACCTTGTCAGCTCATTGCTCAAGTAATTAGTTCGGTGAAATCAATCGAAAATCTTGCTGCCATGCTGCAGAATGGCTTCATGTTATGTCGTGGCTTGACTTTTTCTTAAATTCTACATAATTCTTCACTTCTTCAGTCAACATGCTGCCTTATCTCTTCATGCTATGCCCTGGCATTACCATTGAGATACTTTTCACCACTTTCATCACTGTTTGAATATTTTACCATTCCAAAATCATGGCTACCAGAATCCTAATGGGAAAAATACAAATTTTATGATGAAATCAACCAAAAAAAATCAAATAAGAACTGATATCACTAAGAATGAGAGTGGGATACAGAGTAGTTTTACATATGATCAAATAGTTGAAAGCTTCACCATTTTAATTATTTATAAGTTTGACACTGAAAGGTTTACGTATGCAGAATGCAGGTTTCTTCACCAAGAATGGATGGACGGAGGTTGCCGTTTCAAGCCTTCACTTCACATAGTGATAGAAAAATGGACTTAGGAGAGCAATCTGTGTATTCGGGTTCAAGATATTGGTCAGGCGATTTAGATCATCTATCAAGCTACTCAATGAATAATGGGGAACAAGATTACAATGAATCCTACTCTTCTTCTGCAAGAATGCCTCATAAAAATACAAATGGTTGCGATTTTGTAGATGACAGAAGTTCAGTTTTGGATGACATGCGGAGTACTCCGTCTGTTGAGGAAGCTGGACCCTCTCCTTTTTGTGTCACCTCGGATGGAAAGTCAGAGATATTGGAGACTGCGGCTATGGAATATGACCATGAGGAGCTGAGGGGAACATTCTCTATTGATTTTGACTTCAACGGTGAGGAGAGTGGAGCCGCCATTTTAACTTCCAAGGAACCTGACAATCTTGAAAATTTGGAGACTCTGGAAATGACTTTTAATGGAGAAGCTGAGGATAAAGGAGCTCACGACCATGATTACACTGAAGAGACGCTTTCAACGAAAGCTGAGGACAAAGGAGCTAATGACCATGATTACTCTGAAGAGACACTTTCAACAAATTTCGACTTGGCAACTCAGGGCATTGGAGCCGCTAATTCCGGAGCAGCCCTGGATTATAATCTTGATCAGGGTTTCGAAAATATTTCTCCAAATTTTTACCTAGAAACCCAGGATGGGAAAGTTACTCATGTGGAAAGTGTTGACCTAGATTTTCTTGATGGTGATGAGCTCTCAATGCCACTCTCTAGCAATAATCTGTTAGAAGGTTCTGAAAGTGCTGATATGAGTTCCCAGCGAAAAGTTGAAAGTTTATTGCTGACTGGAGATGATCATCATCATGAAGTTGAAAGCGAGGCAGAGAATTATGTGGATGCGCTGAATTCCATTGAGTCAGAGTATGATACTGATGTAGATGGCCAAACCAAGCAAGAAGAGGAACAACCTGATTTTGATAAGAATGTAGTTGATAGTGGATTAGATATCTTTACGAGTGTGTCCATGAGTCATTCCTCTAATTATGAAACTCGTAACATTACTAGTACTTCACATAATGACGAGCCAGAGCTTCCTGAAACTTCTTCTGGAGAGGGGGAAAAGGCTGAGGTTATATCCAACTTATTACCCTTGGAATTGCCTGGCTCCATACATTCTCCTCAAATTTCTAGCAATCATCTGGATTCAGGCAGTACACAGGAAGTTGGTTCATGTGATACTGTTGAAAGTCTGCTTAACTCAAAGGATACTACAAGTAATTCTCATGATATTGGTGCATCGGGGTTGCCTGAAACTTGTCATGGAGAGAAACAAAGTTCTGAGATTTTATCCAACTCGTCATCCTTGGAATTTTCTGGCTTCATACAATCTCCTCAAATTGCTAGTCATAGTTTGGATTCAGGCCATATACAGGATGTTGGTTTATGTGCAAATGTTGATGGGCCGATCTCTACAGACAATTCTGTCATTACTAGAATTCCCTCTGGCCCTGCAGAGTCGCTTTCAGGTGTTCCAGATGGTGATAGAACAACAAGCAGTAACTCAGAGCTGGATAATGCTTCTCCTCAACATTCTATTGTTACTCCAGTTAAGTTGTGGACAAATGGTGGTTTACTTGGGCTGGAGCCATCAAAACCTCCGGATTTCAGTTTGTTAAATGTATCAACTCAGGTTTCTCAAAAGGATAATAATTACATGATTGGTCCTTCTACAGCAGAATCAAAAATGACGGAGAAGAGCTGCAGTGGTGTTGAGGGGAAAGGTATTGCCAACTTCTCTACATCATCCCAAGATGATAGGAAAGGTGGAATTTTCATGAAAAAGGCATCATGGTTATTTTCGTCAGCTGATTTAGGTGCTAATCTGCAAAAGCTGAGTGATCCTTCTGCTCCCAGTTATGCTGATACTTGGCAAAAAAATGGTAAAAGTGAAACACATGGATCTGTTCAGCCTGTTACGCCAGATATCCACTCTCCTCGAAACAGTCAAGAAAATAGTAGCAATTCCTCCCGAATGTTGGAGTTGGGAAACAGACTGTTTATGAATGGATTTCACCGGAAACCATCTCTAGACAGGGATGATAATTTCACTTCCACCAGTTCTAATGCTGGAGTTTTTGAGAAGGATATTGGCCAAAAAGTTGACAACCAGATTCCCTCTGAAAGAAGTAAAAACATGTTGAGAAGTAGATCGCCATTTGTTTCTCCTCCATCATCGCCCCCTCTTGGACATATGAAAATCTCTTTCCACCCTGTAAATGGTTATGAAGCACAACTTCAGTTGAAGTTTTCTGATGGGACTGTTAGTCGCGAAAGTGACAAAGATACTTTTCCTTCATTTCAGCTTGTTCCCGAGCCTACAGTTCCATTGCGTGATGCTGTTTCAGATTCTGAGGACGATACGTTCTGTAGATCCTCGGCCTATGGGTCGGATTGTCTTAGTTATCAGTCTGATTTGAATTCTGAGCTGTGGGAATCTGATGCTTCTCCAAGTACTAATAATCACGAGTTATATGATTCTCTACACGGCATTTCATTCAGTGAATCGGCTATAACGTCCTGGAATACTGAAACATTGGTCCAGGGAGATGTCAATAACAACTACAGAACTCAAAATTCTTTGTCCAGAGGCAATGTGGAATATTCCCAATCTGATCATATTTATGATCTCCCAAGTTTGGACTTACTGCAGATTTCAGTCATGGAAAGGAAAAGCCATGAGCTTAAAAATCATGTTGAACCACTATGTGCTAAAGAGGCTGCACCCTCACCTCCACCTCTTCCTCTACCTCAATGGCAAGCTAGAAAACCGCTATTAGAGTCGGAAGAGAACATCCAATTTGTTGTAACTGAGAACACAAACAGTTCTTTTGATGGGAAGTTTGGATCCGCCATTAGTCAACAACCAAAGCCAGCTCCTGTTACACAAGAACATATTATTGAGGCCTCCCAGACATTCAAAAGCAAGGTATTCTTTTACAGTTCATTTGTCTATCACTTGCTTTGTTTTTTTTTTTTTTCTCGTTTCATATGATAGTTCTCTTTTCTCCTTTCGATATACGAAAATGACAAGTAGCTCGGTCTGTTGGTTTATGCAGAAGACCGAATCACAGAGAGCGAGTAGGCAAAAAGAGGTCAATCAAGCAGTGTATCAAAAGGACCTAGAAGAGAAGGACGACTTTTTGCATCAGATCAGAACCAAAGTTAGTGGATTTAATTTATTTATTTATTATTATTTTATTTTTTGCAATTTTTTAGAGGTAAAAATATATGTTACCATTAACCAAAAAAAAATATATATATATATGTTACCAACACTAACAATAGCACAATTAAGATAGGAACGGGTGTCAAGTTCGTAGGGAGCTCATAGATGGTTTTATTTGTGTCAGTAGTTGGGGAAATTAAAATGGAGAGACACCAACCGCTACAGGAAGTGCTCGATGTGAGACTGCCATTGCCAGTTTAAAGGATTGTCATGTATTATTCAAGTTTTAGGCTCTTCAGTTGGAGATAGTTTAAGAAAAATATTAAGACAACTGATTGTCGACACAATTTAGGGAAACCCTGTTGTTCTACTAAAGACAAATCTTTTTGGCTATTCATTTTCTTTCTTTTTTGTTTTGTTTTGTTTTTCCTTTTCTGTGTTTCATTCTTAGCGCAACAATCCAAATCATGGAATATAGTAAAACTTGGACGTCTTATTTAGGAAAAGGGTTTGAGGTCTACTTTGTAATCAAGATGACATGAGCACCAATTCCTCTTTTATCTAATCATTTGCCTGCATAATGAATTACTGCAGTCCTTTAATCTAAGACGAACTTCGACAGCTAAGCCAGCAGCTGCAGCAGTTCCTCTAACCAGTGTCCAGGTCACTGCATTACTGAAGAAGGCAAACGAGATTCGCCAGGTTGTTGACCTTTTTTTTTGATTTACAATGCTCCTCAAGGAACACTCAATAGCAAGCATAACTTACGTGAACCTATATGTAGCTTCTTACACGACTTATTTCTTTTCAGGCAGTTGGAAGTGACGGGGAAGATGACGCGTGGAGTGACGCCTGAGTTCTTCGAAGGCGTGATTCTGTCTAATCATAGTCATATGAAGAGGTAGGTGAGGTTGTACTGTATTTATCGGTCCATGTGAATCTACTTAGAGAAGCTTGCCCTCTTTGTAATCAGTCTAGGTTCTTGTATCTTGATGATTGTTTTGTTTAAGTTAATGGTCTCTTGATATCCTTGATATTGTTAAGGTCGTATAGGTTAGGTAAAGCATCTCTAGAATTGTGGTCCTTTATCAGGGTAATTGCACAGAGGTAGTAAACACTAGGGTCAAGGATTCTTCAATAATGACTGTCACGTCCAAAAATTAATACTTTTTTCCGTCTCAAAGTTACTGTCATATTTGTTATATCAAAACAGGACAATCATTTAGAGACAAAAAGAGTAAGTTACTGCAAATGATCTTGCATTCATAGCAAAAAAATGCTAAATTTCAATGTATGCCTGTATGGAAGCAGCACTCTTTACTATCCCCATAAATAAAGGAATGCAAAAACATGAGACAAAAGCATAACTTGGCAGAAAACCTGATCCTGAAAAGCTTATCTGTGATTTCCAACTCTACAGGATAAATTCCACATTTTAATCTATAGTAGTCACTCTGTCTTAAAAAAAAAATAATAAAAAAATAATCCACCATATGACTTGTGAATTGTGCTATTGAAAATACAAAACACAAATTGTAATGAGTTTTTTTTTTTTTTTTTTGGGGGTGGGGGAGGAGAAAGATGGTATAAATTTAGGGACTTTGGATGGATTTCATACTGATCCGAAACTGAGTTGATCAGGTTTCCGAAAAAGGGGAAATGAAAAAAATGAATCTTTGGTTCGTGGGTATATATAAAAACATAATGAAGCTGCTAGAAGAGTAAGCTTATCCGCAGGTTTTGTCCCTTTATCTATCACAACAACAATAGGACACACTAATTAATTAGTAATTAAGACAAAAAGGAATGGCCATCTGGGGTCAGATTCAGAAACATGAACCTTCGATCATCCCACACTTTGTCTTTGCTTCTGTACTTCGGCCTTTTGTTCCTAAGAAACAATTAATTAACTATTAGAATGCTTCAAGGAGGACGAATACTATATAATAACAAGTAAAAATTAAATTAATTAGATGCATGGATGTATCTAAACAAATTTGCTAAACAAGGCATGAACTAACGAGATGCTAACAAGGCATGAACTAATTAATGTGCATGTGCTTAGTAATTTTTTTGCTACACTCGAGTCCCAATTTAATAATTTATTCTTCCTCGAAATCGTCATTGGAAGGAATTTTCAACTAATTATGGGTTTGAAAACTAGGGATGCAGCCAAGAGCAAGTTTATACAGTTAGGGCATTTTTTATTTTTTTTTTAGAAAATTATTTGAGAATAATTTGACAGGACTTCTGAGTATTTGGATGAAACAACTGTAGCACAGAATAAGAAAACTACAGTTGAACATCAACTAAAATAACCAAAAGGGAGAAGGCAGTGTACTTGATAAGAATTAACAATCAAAATCAAGTTGATAATTATCCACACCAGCACAGCAACATGTCACTCAAACCTTTCCAACCCACCCAATAGAATTTGTAACATTTGATATGGCTTTTTTTTTTGTTTTTTGCTCCTTGGGTACCATCATGAATAAAGATGCTCTTTCTAATAAACATTTATATTTTTGGCAAAACTCATGTGGGCGCCTAAATTTTTTTAATGTTTTCCTTTCCTGTCTACCTAATTAAGTAAAACTATCATCACTACTCCCAGCTCACAAGACCCTTTTGATAGACCTTATGGTAAATTATTGGCTCCAAGACCAAGAGCCAAATCCATAAAGTTCACTTACGGACAACTAGAATTTCAGGGTTTGATTTGATGCTCATCGTTATAGTTGGTTGATAAATGATAATAGTTAGCTTGAAACTAGTTTTGCACTACTACGTACTGCTGAATGTTTGAGAATCATGGATGATGATAGGGGAATTTCGGTAATTCATTAAAACAAAATAATATGCACTTCTACAGGGTAAAAAAGTTCGATAATTAAAGATTGATGTGTGTTGCAGTACAGTCCTCGTATATGATGAAATATAAAAGTGTTACAGAAATATGATCATATCAAAGTATATGCATTAGGACCAATTAAAGTCAATTCTGATCAAAACTAGAGGACTAGTAATTAGTTCGAGTAGATTTAAATTTCTTTTGTATAACTAATTGCATATCACTTTGTCATTTGAGTATATTAATTTCAAGAACTGCCAAAATATGAAATCGGGAGCCAATCACTTCAAGTATAACCCCCAAAAAAAAAAAAAAAAACATATATACATACAAATCAAGAGTTATCCTCGTAGTTAGTGTTAAAATAATTTTATTCACGTACCTTTTCAAAAAGAAGAAAAAAAAAATTTAATCATGTAAAACTATACTAGGAAAGAACCAGGTCTAAGTGCAGCCGCGCGTATCTGTGACAAAACATCTTTTAAGCTGTGGTTTTTATACCATATATATATATATATATATATATATATATATATTCTATTAGGGGCTGACTATAAAAGCAAACCCTAAAGCAAGAAAGAAAGAAAGGAAGAAAGTAAATGTATCTTTCCAACGAAAGAATCCAAATTTTTATTTGTGATATTTTCTTTTTCATTTGGGAGGAAAAGTCATTCGCGAAATTAGGGTGCTTTAGTGTGTGTGTGTGTGTTAAATCAAACATAAAGATGCACTTTATTAAAGCAAAATCCATATCAACTAATTAAGCTACATTGCTCTCTCCGATCTCTCTCACACACACACTTACACACACACACACACACACACTTTGATTGCACTATTAGCAACTAAAAGCAACCCAAACCACAACACAAATGTAAGTGGTTAAAATTAAGTTAAACAACAACAAACAACAAAGTCTCATCATGAAATCCCACAGAGATGCCCCCTTCTCTAAAGAAAAAGACTTTGATTTTGAAGCCAAAAGGAATAGCATTACCATAACCAGCATCCACCCTTTTTTAGTATCAATTCTCTCCCCCTTTTTTAGTTAAAATATATAATGGTCAGACGTACATATATACATCGATATATATATATGTGGCTTTCCTTTTCGTTACTGTAAATAAAATTGAAGCGAGCCGTCTAATAATAAAGATATAAAAAACCCATGCTTTATGTGTATAATATATTATGTTATTCTAATAAGAAAAAATTTACCATGGAATGTAATTGAGAAGTGATTTGTTTTACCCTTTAACTGCATGCATATTGTTCCTGTATATGTTTTCGTATTAATTTTACATCACAACTAAGCTCCTTAGTAATTCACTGATCAGAAGAATATAATTTGATTTTACAAATCCTCTCTCATGATCTTCTTTTTTTCCCCTTTCCTTTTGATTAATATTATATATACTATGGATCATATACTTAACAACGAAGGATTTGGAAGCACATGATGAGGAAGTGTCAACATAATATGAATCTTGATGAAAAAGGGGGACATATTCATGTATTAATCAATTATATATATATATATATATATATATATATATATATATATGTGTGTGTGTGTGTGTCTCTGTGTACTGCAGCTCCTAAGTTGCTAGAGAGATACGTATCAGAGTCAGATGAATAATAATATTATTGTGATTTTTGAGTTTATTAATTAGTATTATATATAATTATAAAATGGAATGAACTTTTAGCTTTATCCCTTTTATCTTTATGCTTCCACTTTGAAACCCTTTTGGACACAACAAACCTATCTGGGGGGGAGGGGCCCCCACCAAGTGTGACCTTCAACCAAAAACCCTATGATGACGTGTATAAAAAGCTCAGCATCAACTTTTTTCACGCCTTTCTTCCTCCCTTCCCGGCGACCGGCATTCTCAAAATATACACAACTCCATTTCTTTTGGCGGCTCATAAATTATCATTCTCCCAATCTTTATTTATTATTTTTTTGTGAATTTATTCTAATTTTCTACTTCATGACAAAATTAATAATGAAAAAGTTGATGCATTTTTTTTTTACTTGGAGCCGGATCTAATCCAATCACTTAACTCTAATGACCTTGTGGTTAGAAACAATGAAGGAAGAGAAAAAGAAAATAAAATCCTCAAGTTTTGTAATTTGTACTAATTTAATACTGTCATTATTAATTCCATCAATCTATTCATAATATTCACTTACAAGTAAACAAAATATCTTTCCCTCTATCAAAATTAATTAAATCCTCAAGCATCCAAACCTATCCCCATCAATCCCTATAAGGCCATGACCTTTTTGCTTTCCATATATGCTATTATTTAAGACAAGTAGACACCCTACTGTTCTTCTTTTGTACTACTTTTGTTTGTACAATACTTTTTTAAATAATATATATCTAAGAAGAAAGAAAAAGCATATCAAAAATCAATTCTGTATTCATATTAAATTCCCATTTGAACTTTATCTCCTTATTTGAAGTCGTAGACATCCTTCACTTTTTTTGCTTCATTTGAGGGTATAGTTTTCCATGATCATTATCTATCTATCTCTCTCTCTCTCTCTATATATATATATATACTACTAGCTGAGTGCTCACTCATCATCAAACTTAAGTTACTTATTACCCATTTTCTTCCTTTTTCTAAGAATTAACCAAAAAAAGAAAAAAAAAAGAAGAAGAAGAAGGAAATACTATCACTCAAATGGCAGATGATCAGGCTGGGATCAAGCTGTTTGGAGCAACAATTTCAGTAAAAGATAGGCAAGCAAAAGACGATGAAGGAGTTTTGGAGAACAAAGGAGATCAAGAAATTGTGGGAGAAAAAAGGCCAGACAAGATAATACCATGCCCTAGGTGCAAAAGCATGGAGACCAAATTTTGTTACTTCAATAATTACAACGTTAACCAACCAAGACACTTTTGCAAGAACTGCCAAAGGTACTGGACCGCCGGCGGGGCTCTTCGGAATGTACCCATCGGAGCTGGTCGCCGGAAGTCTAAGCCACCGGGCCGTGGCTTACTGATGGCGGCCGGTTTATCCGACGGTCTTTTGTTTGATGACCATGATCATGACCATCTTCATGCTTCTTCTGGGGTGGTGCACCAGTTTGAATTTAATCACGGCCATCATCTGCATGGCGGGATAGTGGAGGAGTGGCAAGTTGTGGCGGCGGAGCAAGGAGATTTCCGGCATATCTTTCCGGCAAAGAGGAGGAGGACTACATCATCATCAAGTCAACCTTGCTCGTCTTCTACTCTGTCTTGTAGTTGAATTATTCCACGAGGGAAAAAAAAAGGAACAATAATTGATATAATGCTAGTTGTTTAAACTTTCTTGATTAATGTAGATATTAGCTGTCTTATAGTTTATTTAATAATATCCAAAACCTTCATTAACAGTCAGTTTTGAAAACGTCCACGGTATTATCCTTTACTCCTTCCGTCCCATAATTATTGTACAGTTTGATTTTTTCATTTTTAGTTCAAATTATACTAAATCTGAAATCTCAAATTAGACAATAATTTTGGGACAGAGTGAGTAATGTCTATTTTCTTCAATTTTTTGGAATATATAATCCAAAAATCATGTGAAAACATCGTGTCGACCTTCATATCATGTGATTTTTTGCCCCATAAGAGAGAAAAATAGATGAATTATAATATCATGGGTTGAAAAGTAATAATTGATCAGCTGCTATAATGATTGACTTAATTGACAAGTTAAAAACTCGCTGATTGATTTCTTAAGTTACCAACATGTCATGTTTTTACGAAAAAACATGTCATGTACATCACTATAAGAGCATTTATATGTACTCTGTTAATTTCTTTGACCTTTTTTTGCCTCTTCCTTCGTTAAAAAAAGCGGATAATAAAAAGAATTTTTGATCTTAAAATGGAGAGATATTTGTGCTGTATGTTATGCATTTGGACAAATATTTTTTATTTTTATTTTTAGCGGGAAATCAGTAAACATAATTAAAAAGTAAAATCATCTTTATTGTGATTGAATTATTGGAATTAATGATCAAAGAATACGACAAAACAATCTATTAATGTTTCTTTGTGATTTGCTTTGTCAAAGCTTCAAAATGGAATGCATGGGCAATTTTTTTCAAAAGGTACTTTTACACAATATTAACTAATCTTTGTTGATTTACCGAAAGTCAAAAAGATTACTTCAATCTTATCTACATTGTAGAAAAGTTACTACATTAGGCAAAGTAACAATTGTGTCCACGACATTTTTATTGGTCTGATTTTAGTTGAGTAGCCAATTATAATAACTATATAAGTACTTTTCCAATTCGAGTAAAATAAATTAGAGCCCTTGAAAGCATTGTACAAATCACCCTTCTTTTTTAGGGTTTACTTCATTCGTGATGTTGATTTTCGTATACTGAGGCGAAATGGTAATCGATCAACAATGTCCATAATTGATTGGTAGTTATATCCATCGTATAAGTTATTATATTCGCGGCAACATAGGAATGGGTACCTTAATTAATTACAATGGATAGTTTTAGTTTCTTCTTCTTTTTTTAAGTGAGATTAATCAATCATGAACCTCTGAGAAATCCATTAACAGTTTTATCGTTACGTTAAGAGTTAAAAAAATACCACATTTCCCACGAGATTCTATACCTTGTTGTTTGTGACACAAGGAAAAGAAGAAGTACAAAGAATAGAATATATTAATTTTCTAGACATGAAACAACTATATAGGATCATCTCGAGGACATAGCATATCTCTCAAATTTTTTTTTTTTCAAAAAAGAAAAAAAAGGAAAACAAGAAGAAAAAAGAATGTAGCTAGGGATGTCTCCGGAACTTTATTTATTGAGATCTATAAAATAAATTATCTTTTTTTGAAGGAAAAAAGAAATGTATGTTCATCATGTATATATTTAGGTGAAAGAAAGAATATATATAAATAGAATCAGATCCAAAAGCATATATACATGAATTAAAATTCTAGAAAGGATTCTCATATACTGAAACACATGAAGTACTTTAGTATCAGATTTGCTGCAGAGAATATGTCTGTTCTTTTTCAGCAGTGTGGAATATATATATATATAATTAAACCACTACAGAAACAGAAGGAAAAAGCAATGATATGATTAAGGATAATGGCAGCTTATTTAATTGTAATCGTGCTTATATGGACTTTATCATCATCACATATCAACTTTTTCTTTTTAGAAAGTACCCCTTCTTCATGATCTTTTACATTTGGAAAGTGGGAATGCTTCTTCAAACTAGGTATTATGCATGTCTTTTAAAAGGGTACTTTCTACTCTCAATCAATAGAGTTTAACCAATACACACTCACCAACTGTTGAGGAAACTTTACAAGGGAACATCAATTTTTCATCCCGCTTTTTCCAATGGGAATTAATTAGGGTTACTTTAATTTTGTTAAAGGTAGTAGTAATCACCTTTTGTTATCTGTATTAAATTTCTCAACAATTTGTTAACATAATAACTTTAATTTGTCGATGTTATAGGTTCCTGTGGATAGCGTTTTGGATATACTACCTCTGTTTCAAATAAATAGTTCACATTGAGTTTTTAAATTTGTACTGTTTTTAGTGCAAATTTTAAAGCTCAAAGTGCACTAATTTTTTGGGACGGAGGTAGTATTATTTAGGGGGTATATTTTGGTTCAACATTAATCAGAGTTCAATAGCAGTTTGTGGGGGGGGGGGTGATAATGGGAACATTAGTTTAAAACGAGATTGATATGAAAAATATAAATGGGTATCCTTGTTTCTTCCATTTAGATAATCTTCGATATGGTTTAAAAAAGAAAAATACGCAAGTAAAAAAAAAAAAGAAAAAATTGATCAGAAAATTATAATTGTAGTACTTACTAATTAACTCCTAAAAGGGTCATTTCAAATCAAAATAGTGAAAATACTACATGCTCCTCTTCTCATTGTTCAAAACACACATCAGGAGGAAGAATGTTGAGATCCTTAATTATAAACCTGCATGCATTCGGGGTCGGGAGATGGCTTCCTAGCCGAGGATCGATCGGTGATGCCATTGTCAGTTTGGCTGATTGTTGAGGTGGTACTTGCCCTAATTCTAAATTACAGGCCGGGCTATATTTTGTGTTCAATTAACTAGATAGGTGGCCATATTAATATGGTCAGGATGGCAATGTTTTTATTAAGGGGATAAGGTGGGGGAAATAATCTCATTTAGACGTTGCAATTCCAAACCATATTTCATAATTCCCACGATTAAACAGGTCACGTTCATATTTGCATGAATTGTTGATTTTGATTTTCCGAGCTAAACTCATAGCATTCTTTTGATATACATCAGAAAATCTAACCTTCAAGACTCCATCAAAACAGTTTATAAGTATACAAGTGAAAGTTGAAACAGGGGGGAATTTGACTGGCATGTGAAGGTAAGTTTGCTTTTTAATTTTGATTTTTTTTAATGTAGCAAAAAAAAAGAGGAGAAATTGACTGGCATGTGGGACCCACAAAGGTGGGAAGTAAAAAAAAAATTAAAATTTGAAATCATTTTAATTTTTTTAATTTTTACATTATTTAATTTTTTATTATAAAATAATAATTTTTAATATTTTATTCTATTTATTATAAAAACATTTGTTATTTTGATCTTATATATGTCATTCCGAAAATACCCCTGACTTGGTAGGGTCAACGGTTATCAAGACGGAAATGGTGATGGAACAGTAAAAAGAGACCAAAAAAGTTTCAAAATGAAATGTAAAAGCTCAATCCATATACATGTTGATGTAGGGGACCAAAATTTAAATTCGGACAAATATAGGGGACCATTTATACAGTTTAGTCTCCCTACCTACTAACAGTTATTAAACATATAATACTCTCTTCTTCATTATAATTTGTGAAGTATACTAGTTTTAGTACAATTTCACAATTCACAATTTTAATTATTTTTGTGAGACAGATATTCCGTCTCATGAGATGTCCTCTTGAGATTTAAAGTGATTCAGTAAATGTGAATGGTCGATTTTAAGTAGATGTTATAGGGGAAGCTCGCGTTTAGAACTAAAGGGCTGCGCTTCGAATGAGAAGCGGGCAATCAAAAGATAACTTTCTAAAACTAAGTCCGGGGTCGGATTACATAATAGGCTCAGTTTTGCTAGGGAATTGGCTACTTTGTTCCCATGCGTTTTATATACAAAATATCGACGTGTCATTGTTGCTGGAGTGGGTTTTTGATTCGAAGCAAGACGTTGCTGTTTTCAATGCAGCAGGGATCATCTGCCTGACCTATCAAGTTCCTTTTTGGCACAGATTTAGACAGTATATTTTGAAACTTAATTTACACAAACAAATAACTGAACTTTAGTTACAGAAGATCTAACACATTTTACTTCATTCCTAGAAGCAGTAGCCCACATTTAGGTTGTCTTGTTACCTGAAGATGAAGAGGGAGCGAGGGTTTCTCCAGAATAAATAAGATGAGATTTCTATCCTTAAAATGGAGGGAATATACTCATAAATATATACATCAAGAGATTTCCGACGACCATTTCAACTACCTACCCAACAAATTCAGCTAGCTTTTCATTTATCCTCGCAGAAATTTCTAGCAACCAAGATTACTACCATTCCTACCAATGACCAAAAGAAGATTCCGAACTATTTACATTCAAAACCTGAGTAGATAAAATACTCAGGACTGATTTCCTCCAGAGGCACATCAGACGAGTTACTAACTGCTCTCACAAGAATGCACCGCTCATGGGATTCGCAAATAAATGCTTCCGACAAATCACTTTTGGTTTCCTGCTGCAAATCCCAAAAGTGCCACCTAGAAGAACAGAAGGTCCAACAGATGCCTGCTGCATTCTACGAACAATAATGTGGTTGTCCAGAATCAATTTGGCTAGCAATTTTCTGCAGTTCTGAAAAGGAATGAGCAAAGTGTGAAAATGACACTTATATTGCATGTTTCCCCCATTATACAGAACAGGTAACACATCCCGTAGTTTTTTTTTTTTTTTTTGAGAAGGTACACATCCCGTCGATGTAGTATTCAAAAGCTAAAATGTTCAGGAAATTAAATTGCTGCTAAATGCTAGGGTTGTACAAAGAACCTGCTCCACTAGCTAGGCCTAACCACTTAGAAATTATTTCCTCTACTGAAGAAGAAAAACTGAAAAGAAACGTGTTAGAAAAATCATTTCACAGAGACTTCAACAGCATACCTGTGGGTTTAAAGCTCTCATATGCTTCACAATATCATCCTGCACAATCAGGGAAGCTAGCATTAATATTCATAATAAATTTCAGTAACAGTGCAGCAGGTTGGTGATGACTCATATTTAATAAATGTATCAGAAGTTCTACACTTTGATCATCATTGATTACACAAACGAAAAACTTATCCAAAATGAATATTGCACAGAAAAGAACCAGTGTCATTAATGATCACACCTAACAGTTCCAAATTTTACACTCTGGTTAAATCATATATAAAGTGCTCTTATATAACATGTAAAGCTCGAAACGATGATAATAAAGCTTAGTAAAGTGCTCTTCCATAACATGTAAAGCAAAATCAAAATAATTAAACTAAAACACAATTAAGACTATCTTTCCTTCTTCTCAATAACCCACCCCAAGAAAGCCTTGCCACCAGATGCACATCCCAAAGTACCATATACTCAACCTGGAGCTTGCAGACGGCAACATACATGAGAAATATTCATATGATAAACCTCCACAATAAACAGTCTCTGGAAGAATGATCTTTTAGCCTACTGTAATATTCACAGTACATGAACTTGAAAATTGTTCCTACCTATGGGGCAAAAAGATGAGGCAAATGAAAGAACGACCTTCAACTTCTAAATCACTCATAAACAATAACACCTGCTGATACATTTATTATTTGTTTCCGGAAAACAACTAAAACTCAAGGAAAAAGTTCCAGAGAGCATTTATCACAACTATGAGCAGAAACTAATTTACCTCAAAATCCTTACTGGAGAAGTTTTTCAAGTTCACTTTAGCCACAAGGCTTTAAAATGCAGATAGAACATATCTACAATAAACATTACCACTAACAAATCAAGATATTTACCTCCAATATTCCAGGATTTTGCATCACAATCCCGAGAATCCGACGGACAAGCCCCTTGTAAACAAGTTCATTGACAGTTCCATCCCCATTTATCCAGGGGAGTATCGGTTTAAATAGATGAGAATCAAACGAATGGAGCTCATCTATTCTGACTGACGGGTTCGCCCTAACGGAAAGTTCAGTCGGTGTATCATTTACTAACTCAGTGGCACTTTGAGCATCACTTGATACTTCAAGAAACTCTTTAGGACGATTAAGAATAGTAACACGATGAATATCACCACTATTGATTCTCATATCATCCTGCAAACGGGACCCTTCAACATCACGATTAAATGCATCACTTTTTCCTTCAGATACTTCTGGGGGATTTCTCCCATGAATTTGAATAGCTTCAGATGCTGAGGACAACAAATACTTGGGGCGGTATAGAATATCCATGACGTGAATCGAGTCATATGCACAAACCTGTACAGAAAGCTACCAGCTTCAGCTTTCATATGGCGCGGTAATTAACAATAGTATCACAAAGGAACATAGATAACTTTTTGAGTCTTAGAACAGCATTCTCAAAATGCAGCACAATTTAAGTTTGACAAACAACCTCGACATTAACAGGGCTTCATCCAGGAAAAGCTTTTCCAACGCTGAAATTATGAGGAGAATATTTCAAAATGCAAAAACTTGCATTTGCGAATCATAGGCAAAACCACTTATAACCAGATCCTCTCTGAGAAGTATAGAATGCACTTCCTCATGATTCCTCTAACATAACCAAACCATTATTAACCCAGTGCCAGTCTTTGAATCTGGACAATATTGTTATTAGGTGGTGTGCAAAACTAATGACCCCAGAATTACAACCATGTATACACAGTACATTGATGCATGCAATATCTAAATAATGCACATTTTAATTAACATTTTAAAGCTTTTACCCAAAAGAAAATTTATATACACAAACCTTAAAAGCTCTTCCAAATGCTTCAAGCACATCAACAATGATTTCTGACTCCTTTGGCCCTGTATACAAAAATGCTGATAATTTAACTTTCAAGAAATATTAGACAAATTTGCTAACCTTTAAATCCAGAAAGAAAAATCAGAATACCTGATAAACTCAAAATCTTGGAAACTTCTTTCATGCTCAAACCTCGGTCACCAGAAGTCTGAAGGGCGGAACAAACAGTTCGGAAAAGCTCAGGATGGAAAGGAGAGCTTCCTTCACGAGATAATGAAGAATATAAATGCATGGCATAGCTAGTCATAGCTTCCCAGGGAGATGTATCGGTAGGTGCAGCAGTTTGGGTGATATCACAATTGTCTACTTCCATTCTTGCAGGGTCACATGCAACAGGTTGATATGGATCACTCCCAATTTGCATCTCCAAAGGATTAGTCTCACCTCTTTCACAAGTGACTGAGAGACAACTATTTTCATTGTCCTTGAAAACATCCAAAGTATCTATTCTTGGAACCAGTGAAAGACTCAAGGATAACCTAATGCCAGGAAAGCCCTTTTCTCGACGAGAGATAACTTCGCCGTCACCAGCCATTGATGTTCTGAGTCTCTTAGACCTGTCACCACCACAGTCCTCACTGCTATAACTATGGAGTTTAGAAGTTCTAGAGTCCTCAGCCTCTCCAATACCCGTCTCTGGCAAGCACGGTGTAATTGACAACTCTGCCTTTGACACTAAAGCACACAAATGAAAGATGTCTCCACATTGTAAGTCAGTTGGAAGACCCAATCCCCCTTCCATCAAATCGTTTTCTCTTTCTGCAAGCCAGCAAGAAAACTTCAGAGCCTTTTTGCCAGTATTTGTTGGGAACGGAGACAAAGATATGCTATGCAGAAACTCCTGAGAAAGTGAGAATGGAGTGGTACCATCTCCACCAATCTGCATTAAGAAGCAAATCAGAGATGTGAACCTAATTCAGAAGTGGAGAGCAATGGAAGAGTGAGAAAAATGTTGTGGAGCATAAGTTATTTGGACTCTACACCCAAGTCAGGTGCGGATGCAAGATCCGAGGGTCGAACTGAGAAGATTTTAGAGGAAAAAAAAAGATGAGCATTTTCCACCAAAGAAGGTAAGTATAGTAGCCACACCCTTATCTGATATGATCTGGATCATATCGGATATTTTCCCCAAAGGGGAGAGGCCATGTAAAGCTTCATAAAGCTTAAAAGGACTAATCTCAACTGCATAACTCCAGTGAGCAATATACAGAAAAGACACTAACAGAGTAGGTCTACTTTGTAATAGAAGCAACAAAACGAATCAAATTCTAAAATTCTAAAAAGCCGCCAGGTTTTTACTGCAATGCGATGATTCTCAGCAGGAAATACCTATACAATCCTATGTTGTCACAACTGCGTTCAAGATCCTAAAACACTAAATTGCTAAAGATAACATAAAAGAAATGAAATGAAATGCTCCACAAATGACGGCGAAAATGTAGTCCAAAAATGATGCAGCACATAATTACCATAATTTTATTTTCTCTCAGGTAGCTAAAAGCAGCAAAAAGATCATGTTGAGAATAGTGGCGCAATGTCTCAGCCAGTAATTTTGAAGCCTCTGGACTTATCGAGGTGCTCAGAAAGATAAGCTTAAAAAGCTCTGCAGCATTAGAAACAGCAACTGATTCATACACTCTTCTACCGATTCCAGTGCTTTCCTTTGAAAGCTTGTTATACTTCTGGACAATATGACGACAACGTAATCTCTGAGCACTAAGTTTCCTCATGCGAAAAGCCTCATCTTCTGGGCAATATGACTCCTGCATGCAGAACAAAAAACTAAATTAGATCAGTGTGACATTTAGGGCCAACAGAAATGGTTAAAATTGAAGATGATCATGCTGTGTGTGTGTTGGGGGGTGGAGAGCAAATAGGAAAAGATAACTTAAATGATCTAAGGAAAAGTTTACTAATTTATACTTTTTAAAATTCTACACCATGACTATCAAGTATCAGGTAGCACACTTTATAAAATTCAACTCATTTGCTTGCTTAATTAATGAACCGACTTTACAAATTGACTCCCCATGTTAATGTAGGAAAATAACATTTCATTGGTTGGGGACAGGGAGAAGGGTTTAATTTTAAAGACCAGACTACCCCAGCAGTAACAGTGAAGCCACACTTTTTCCAAAAACATTTTTTAAAAGTTAACAAAAAAAAAGCATAAAATAACACAAGGGAATATAACTTACCTGTCCTGCATACAATTCATCTGAACCAACTAAACTGGAGGAATCGAATTTACCAACCCTTCTGAATCTTAGGACATCATCTAGGGCCATCTTTAGATCACTGTCCTCAAAATTATCCCAACATTCTTCAGATCCCGACTCTAGAGTATCCTCAAAGGGATCAGAAACATTTTCATCACAATCCCCTTGAATAGGTTCACGAACCAGTACTCCTGTGCTTTTCAAGTTTAACATGTGATTCTGAAATTTCTCAAGTTTCTTTGCATATCGTTCGGCTAGCATATTACAGAGTCTCATAGCAGCTTTCCTGAACTGTAAATTTTCATTCAACAATGCCATTCTTCTTCTGCAGATTTCAGGAGGTGCAGGAAGATTTTTAATGGAAGCCCAATCAGTGCGGTGATAGTTTGCCCCATGAGCAGCACGATGCCTGACATACTCAATAAGCAATTGCCTAAAAATAAAACATATGAGCAAGTTATTTCATCAGAGCACTTTTGCATGGTTACAATTTCAGAATCCAAGATCTGCAGCAAACAGATTGTGGAAATATTCATAAGATTATAAACGAGCTCCCGACATCAGGTACTAAAAACACATAAAACATTATCTTGGAACCTTAAAGGAGTCATAAAATAGAATGTGGATGTTTACCCCACCAAACATTTAGAATTCCTCATTTACCTAAGTGATGCTAACTATTTACTTTACCTTTCTGCTTCTTCAGTCCATGAAAATCTCCTTTTACGTCCAGGATTAAGGTTTAATACAGTACAATTATCCATTACAGATTGATCATGTTCACTTTCTTCATTTGGTTCTTGTTCTTCTGTGGTGTGCATCTGATCACCACCAGCATCCTGTGGCACACCATTATCATGATCTCGCAAGGTTTGAATGAACGAAGTTTGTCTATCTGTTAACTGATCATTGTTTGCAAATGCAATACGCTTTGAGAAATTCCTTGCAAGAGGTCTTTTTCTTCTACGTGAAGAACTACATGTACGGCTCAGTGTCTCTATCACAGGGTCTTTGGCGTGAGCATCTCCAGACAGTCTAATGCGCTTCTGGCGCCTATCATGATATATACGAAGTACCTGCAAATATAATCCAAAATGTAATGACAGAAAGAGAGAACAAAGCCTTACTACAAGCCCCAAAGAGAATCTTCTAGGAAGCATGTCGAAGATACAAAAATTTTGATTTTTCATGCGGATTGAAGGTACTGATCAATGGAAACAGAACAGCACAAAGCAATACTCTTACTCCGAGCATTTATGTAAGCAGAAAACCTTTCACTTTCAGTATCTCCTGATATAGTGTCCATATACTCCAATTTTGATGGAAACTAGGGACAAATAATATGGGGTTATTAAAGTTCACAAAAGGTGGACAACAGTTCTAACATGCAAACTTCACTTTGACGTGCTTCGGATGAGAAGCAGCCAGTCTGGGACTATAATAACCTGTGAAAAGTGTTGTTTGAGCTCCGAAACCTTATTTCTTTTTAATAGCACTTTAGACTTTCTAGTTTCAAATGTATTTCACAAGAGTTTCTGCTTTGCCATTGAGTCAAATGAAATTCATTCTTTATGTTTATGGGATGAGATTACAGATGTGAGTTACCTGAAAACCACTGAGACAGTTTGTCTTCTTCATTGGTAGGTCACACAGGTTTGCATAGGGTTTAATGGCTAAAGTTCCCTGATGTGATTCATAAGGGGCTCTAAGACTGATTCTTACAAATTTTTTAAATTTCTTGAAATGATTTCATCAATGCTTAAGCTCAATAACTTTATTTTTCATCTAATAGCCTACGAAGTGCATAAGATCTGTTCTACTACATACACCACTGCACAAAAGAGAGCAGTTGAATGAGACAGCAAATTGACCTGTTCTTGAGTCAAATTAAGATCTCGGGATATCTGCCGGCATTCGTTGAAAGACAGCTTTATATGAGGCTCGTAAAGGGCAAGACGCTTAAGGAGTTCAGCACGTTGATCAGATGTCATTACTCGAGCAGATGCCCATGATCGAGGACCAAACACCTAAAGTAATGGATATGCAAAATGGTAACTTCAGATATTTTAAGCGCACAAATTTCACATATCTCAGAGAAAGGGCTCATTCCAATCACATGTTGCTTTTCTGGTAACCACGACAAATGCTAGTTTGCAATGCTTTTTTTCATCAGATAACTCTTAAAAAGATGCGCAGCAAGAAAATTTGTCCACACAGAAATACTGGAAAATGCTGCTTTTCGATATTCTATATTAGGGCAAATCCAGAAAGTGTCTGGTTCTTTTGCTCCTAATACTTGAGAAACTGGTGATTGCAAAACTCTTCCTGAATTTCTTAAAAAGCACCAAAACATGGCAACAAAAGGAACAGTATGCATCTGTAGTTGAAACAAGAATTAACCACAAAAAAATCCAGCAAGGAATCATATTTCACATTTTTCAGTGCAAGCACCATCCATATTGTCTAAAAGAGCTTAGTTGACTTCTCATACAACTATCACAAGAGGAGATGTAGGATTCAGGTAAAAAGTCAGAGGTGTTCCATGTTGAATAAACAAAAGTAACAGCCAAATTGCGTCTTACATGTGATCTATTATGTCAAATATTAAAGATGCATGTCGTGTAACAATTGAAAATCACTGGTTTTCTATGCCACCAACCAGAGAGGTAATGGATGTTGCATCTATGAATCAATGAAATTCGACACGTTCAAAACATCAACAGGCTAAGTTAAAGCTGAAGAAAATATGAACCATTAATGAAGAGGAATATGGAAACACCTCAGGAACTGCAGATCCAGGGAATGCATGTAAAGCAGCATTTGAGTTGGCAGTCGAATAGCAATACTCTAATGTGCTCCAGTACTCATCAACAGCTTTTCTGGACGAGAGAATGAAATCATGTCTTATATGAGGCCGAAGATCTGGAAAGATGAAACGGAATGATGAAGATGCAATAGCCACTGGTTCCTCCATGTAGGGTTTAAGCTCCAATGCATGGGTAAGGGTGGTGTCTTCAAGTTTCTCTTCATCGTCCATACGTCCTGCCCTTACAAGGCGAATCAGCTGCCAAGAGGTTATGAATCCATCATGCTCAAAAGGTAAAATATAACACCAACAAAGAAGCAACACATAGAATTCTTCTGAAGAATGGGAATGAAGCTGCTTTGAAGGAAGTAAAATGAAATGAAGAATCAGAAGGATATAAATCATCAGCTAGATTGGGATTTTGGAAATTAACTGTCCAACAGTACTGGTGCTATTTGAAGCATTAGTAAACAGTATTTCAACCCTTGCCCCAGAGAAGCTTAAAGAGAATGATGGCGGAAGTCCAAATCAGATGATGATAGTGGGTGGTGGTGGTGCAGCAGCGAGGAGGAGGAGGAAGAGGAAGGAGAAATATAATTGTTTTTTTAACATAAACGAGTGGGGCTTTTAATTTAATGATTAAAATTCTTTTTCAACCACATACAGTACTTACCCACTACCCTAAGAGGGTTTCCTTTCCAGATATAATCAAATAAATGCACATCAGCAAGCAAAATACTAAGAATTACAAAATTAATTATGCTATGTTAACCAAGTTAATAATGCTACTGTCAAGTAAGCCTTGTACCTTCAACCGCTGTAAAATGTCAATCAACCGTGATAGACCTGCGGTTGCTACAGTATTCATCAAACACCTGTACTCTGGCAAGCTTAGATCAGAAAGGCGAAGGCCATTCTTACATTTGTCAATCATATCCTCAAACTTTTGGGTTGATCCCACCACCTGTAAGAACAGCTCAAGCGGCATGGCTTTTATGGCAACATCTAGTCTAAACAATTTACTAGTTCCATGGGGATCTATGAAGTTGTGTCTGTTTTCCTCAATTGATAAAAGATCACTCCAACCAGGTGAACCACTAATGTAATCCCATAAAAAGCCATGAAGCAGCTTTGCCCGTACAATTTTTGATAGTACAAACCCATTATTGCGCCTTGCTTCAGCCTGCTCAGCTTGAGAATCCAATGGTACACTAAGTGGAATTCTCTCAACACCATCCAACACAGGAACTGTAATTTCCCTTAATTCAGAATGGGACTTACGTCGTGTTTGAATTTCGAAAAACCGTGCTTTCTCATGAATTTGATCAACTACTTCAGGAGACTCAATAGAGATAGAAGGGTGCAGGACTACCTCTATTTTGCGTTTCTCACTACAGTTCGTGATGACCGGAATGTTTAAACTTATACATTTACACCGACCTTCTTGCTGAAGTTTGGATAACCTACGCTGCAAAGTCTTGGAAGCCATGAGTGATGCTTTTTCCTTGTCACGTTTTTCAAGGTCATTAAGTCTCCAGTGCAGGTCAGGTTTAATTAGGATCTTCTCTGCCTGCTCAAAGAGGAAAACCATGCCAATGTGTTTCTAAAATTATAATAAGAAAAATTAACTCAAAAAGGTAACAGATGAGTAAAACACCTCTAACATTTCAAGAATCCGCTTCTCCCTCAATGCTTTAGTCGCATCTAATGTGAGACAAGGATATTCCCGGTATGATCGGCGGCGCCTTGATGAAGTTTCACATTGACCTGCATCTAATATAGTAGTGTCTGTATGCAGTTCTACATTAGGAACTTCAACACTAGCTTCTGTGGTACTCATAGGAAGCAGCACCAGATTGCTATCATCAGTAGCTGTGGAGTCAAAAGAAATTTCTGCTTCAATCACTGTGCCAACAGCAGCTTTCACATCTTTGGAAGCGGACGCATCAACATCTTGAATAAGTGGATTAGAGTTGTCAGCTTCCCAAACCAGAGGGCAAGGTCCACATTCAGTGATTTCACTAGACACGGCCTTGGGATCGCATGGAACAAGATGGGGTACTTCAGGCCTAAAGTTCCGAGAAGTCCAAACCCGATAGGCAACACCTCTGTCTCTGCTTTCTGCCTGAAAATGAACCCCAAATCTTGCACTCATCTCAAGGATGCGTTCATAATACTGCTTATGGCGTAAACCCAGCCTACAGTATATCTGTTCAGGATATAAAAAAATTTATGGGGTCAATTAGTGGAGACTTTCTAGTTTGGAAAGGAATGATAAACTCCCAACAAACAGGCATTTAAGCTAAGTGTATGATCACTATATTGCTGTAGCACATGTGTTTTACAGCTGAGACACATCCATATAATAATCCCACTATTTTACCAATCTGTAAATGTCCTTCTCTAATTCTAGTTCTGCAAAACTGATAAAGCCATCATAAAGCTTATGGCAGAGCCAGGAACAGAATTAGAACTTGTTTCCAGATGCGCTTTGTGCAAAGAGATGTACTTGTATGACTATAAATGAAAGAATAAAATTCAACCAATCAGCAGGGAAATCTGGGCTAAATATATAAAAACTAGGCACCCATTTCTATAATCCAATAGAGTTATTATGCTATTAGTTAATCTCATAGTCAGAGATCAACTATGTGAAATGATTTGAGAAGATACCAGACATGAGAATAGATCCCGAAAAGAAAAGAAGTCTCATCAGCCAATATTGGAGCTAGAAAACATTAGATGCATATCACAACAGCAATCATGATAAAACAACAAGAAGGTTTACAATGCTTCAAATTTCCCAGACAAGCCATTATACATTCGCAAGAATGCCACAACAATATTTTACCCAAAAGTACCATATAACTAAACCAATTTCCAAAAAAAAAAAGGCGCATACTTCTGTGATAGTCAGCCCTCTACAGCCTTCCTTATCAATCATATCATAAATTTGATGCTCAATAGGAAGCTCCACAAGTTGGTCTGTGATTTGAGCTCTCTTTCCTAATTTTTGTTGTTCTTGTTCAAGCTCATCATTTCCATGCTTACTAGAATTGGGCTCAAAATATTTCGGTGAAAACTTCTTCAGCAGGCGCAAACATTTAACCTTCTGCATCACAGACAAACAATAGAAAGGTTAAAAAGCATTACAAAAAAGTAACTGAAAGGGAAATGCACTTTCTTTCCTCCTACTAAATAATCTGACAAATGACATGTTTCATGATCTTCTAGAATTTACTTAAATGACACTAAGAAGTTGAGAACATCAAAACCTTGAAGGGAGAGAAAGAGAGTCGTGAGGAAGAACCCAGTTATTGGATTCAGGAAAGAACACACCGTACTTTTCTCCGCTTGAAAAGGTAATCACACAACTTTTGGTCAGAGACGTATTTACAAAAGATACCCTTCAAGTATATTTTTCTCTTTCAGCATATTCTGTCCAATGTTACTTCTCTACCTAGCTAAGAATGATCCTTGTGTCAATGTATTGTCGGAGCTTGCCTAAGTCAGAAGGAATTTCGGCTGACTACTTCCATTTACTCTTTCATTGTCTCTTCTCCAAGATAATCAGATATAACATTACCATGTTCCAAACCAACTTAAAACTCAAAGGAGGGTACAATGTTAATTTAAGATAACAACGCAGCCATTGCTATTGCAAATACGAGGAAGGCAGGATAAATGATAATCTGGAATCGTGCACGTTAAAAGTTCCTCATATTAGAAGTTTGGATTAGCAGGCTAACACTCTTACTAGGCAGTCATTAGTTGGCCGGTCTTTACTAGGCAGTCATTTTCTATACATCTTTTCTTTAAGTCATAGGACTTAACATCAGCTAACATCACAGAAATATATGAAGATCCTTCTGCGCATTTTCTAACTGTGGTCACTATTATCAATCAATCAGAATCAGCACAAATTAGCACTGAAGTGGGGAGGTCCTCAAGTCCAAGATCAAAAGCAAAGTTAAATTGATTTTTCAGAATGCACAAACTCAAGATAAAAACATCCCACCAGTATCCTATTGCCAATAGAACAAAGAAACTCTGACTTGCTTCCAATTCATCTCTTTGAGTTATCAAGACAAAGCAAAAGCTAGGATACTCTAGCGCAACCATGAGATTATTTAAATAAGGAAAAAAAAAATATAGTGTGATAAACTCAATGAGTCTAGGTCATTGTTCTTACTTTGCCTCTCACTTCAGTAGCACAGTCCTCGACTAACCCAGCAGCTCTCAACTTTTCATATATCTACATGAGAATGGATGAAATGAGCACCAGGAAATAAATAAGAAGAGACACAATCTTATGGAAGGTTAGAGTAAGAAGATGTACCCTTCTCCAAGCTCTATGCCCAAATTTATCACGATAACCAAGGTCCCGTTTAATATCAGACACAACCAGAACCTGGACAGACAAACTTATGTATAAAGTGGCTACACGTGAAGCTACACATGACCAAACTTCAAATAAGAAAAAAAATTAACTGACCTTTCTATCAGCTTTTTCAAGCTTGTCACAAATAGCTTCAAGTGCTGGTAAGAAGTCTCTCACCTGGACATCCTCCTCAACATGATCTTGACGAAAACCAACGTCATTTGCACCACTTACACCCCCATTATCACATTTGTCATAAAAGGGTTTGTCCTCTCGAACAATTTCTATTCTCTGTTGACAACCCAAGTGCTTTGCATAACGGTATAGAAACACCATATTGGTTGCCACCATACAACTATTCTTGTGCTCACCTTCGCGAGTCGCTTCTTTGGTCTTCACCACAGTTGACTGCCTCACTATCAACCCTCGAGTCTCTAGTTTCTTCAATATGTAAAAAATGTTGTTCCCTTTGATTTTCAGTTCTTTTGCAAGTTCACTTTGGGTGATTCCATTGCTTCTGCAAACAAATTAAAACGTGTTTATCAAATTTGAATAATACACTAGCAATATGTATAATCCGCTCATTCCTCACTTCCAAAAGAAATTTTACTTCCTGATCATCAATCCTTTTCAGTCCTACGAAATTCCGACTAAATTCCGATAACATAAAACATCAGTAAAAATTCGTACCTAGCCATGGCGACGCGTTCAAGAACAGAGCGCTGTTTCGCTTCAATGGCAGAGCTGGAGGCATGAACATCATATATTCCGAGGAATTCATCACGCAAACGTTCTGAAGCGATGATCTTCAAATTAAGCTGCTCACATTTCTGCACAGACTGAATTGAACTGTCTTGGGGGTCATACGCATTGCCTTGGGCTCGGAATTGGAGACCGGGAAAGTTGAGGAGGCTGGACCATAAGGCGGCCTTGACATTAGGGCACAGAGGGAGGCCATGGGTGGCTAGAGGAGATTGAAGCAAGCCCCAAAGGCTGAGGAGGTTCAGTCCATCGGGACCTGCCGCACATATCTCCTCAATAGCCACTAAGTGGACGGCTCCGGAATCCATGAAATCGTTCACCAATGATTAGACCATCGGCGGAGGATGGAGCTCTGCGGTACAGAGTATTTCTCAGTTTCTTGGAAGGACTAAGTTATAATTATAATAAATATGAGGGGTTAAGTAAGATAATTCTCCCTATATATTGTGGCTTTTGTCGAATTTGTCTAAAGTTAGGGGCTACTATTTCTACACTGCTATTTTCCTGCGTTCTCTAAAACCATTACTGTAAAACTTCCTGCAAAACTCGGCCAACTCCATTGATGAAGGAGATCTCGGAGTCATCTTCAACCTTCAGAATCTAATGCTTGAAGTAAGGAACTAACTTCCCTCTTAGGATGTCTCTTTGATTTTGGTTTTTTTAATTGCACACAGTTTTTGATGTAGTTAGGATGAGTGGAGGGATTGCAGTGATTGATTGGAAAAGTAGGGAAAGTTTTTTTGTACTGGATAGATGGTTAGAATGCTATTCTCTGTAGTTTCTCAATCCGGTAGAGGGATTATTTTGCAGGCCATTTCGTGCATTTTCAGTGTTTCACGATCTGTATGTAGCCGACCCCCAGGGGTTGGCGGTGAAATTGATAACGGTTGTGGAACTTTTGAGGATTATTTGAATGATTCTTGGAAAAGTGCCGATTTCGATGGCAGAAGCTGGGAGGAAAGGGAGAAACCAGCTCCTTCCCTTGAATTCACCGAAGGCCATTTTGGACTAAATAATTCGATTAGGAGTAGTTTTATGGAAAATGTGAGGAATGATGCTAAGAGTATCCTTGAAATTCTTTGGCAAGATGGCCCAGGTTTTGATGCTAGGGCGGCTTTAGATGGTCTAGAGGTTCGGCTTTCAGGTCTTCTTGTCAGGCAGGTTCTCTTAGGAATTTTGACAAACATGAGTGACTCAGATAAAACTCGAAGTGCTAGGTTGGGTTATAAGTTTTTTGTGTGGTCTGGTCAACGAGAAAATTATAGGCATACAACAAACGCATACCATCTGATAATGGAGGTTTTTGCCGAGGCTGAGGAATTTAAAGCTATGTGGAGGCTACTTGAGGACATGATTGATAAGGGGTATCCAACATCTGCAAGAACGTTTAATATATTGATCTGTACTTGTGGCGAGGCAGGACTTGCGAGGAAGGTTGTTGAGAGATTCATAAAAACAAAGACGTTTAATTTTAGGCCTTTCAAACATTGTTTTAATGCAATTCTGCATTCACTAATTACAATAAGGCAGTACAAGTTGATAGAGTGGGTATACGAGCAAATGTTGGTTGAAGGTCATTCTCCAGATGTTTTAACTTATAACATCGTTTTGTGCTCGAAGTATAGACTGGGGAAGCTTGATCAGTTTCAGAAGTTACTTGATGAAATGGATAAGAATGGTTTTCCACCCGATTTACATACTTACAACCTCCTTCTGCATGTCCTTGGCAGAGGTGGTAAACCACTATCTGCACTCAAGCTCTTAAACCACATGAAGGATGTGGGTTGTCAACCAACTGTTCTTCATTTCACCACATTAATTGATGGGCTAAGTCGAGCGGGTAATATGGATGCCTGTAAGCACTTTTTCGACGAGATGATTAAACAAGGATGCATGCCTGATGTCGTTTCTTACACCGTCATGATAACAGGATACGTCGTTGCTGGAGAATTTGATACGGCTCAAGAATTGTTTGATGAAATGATCCGCAGGGGACAGCTGCCCAATGTTTTCACTTACAATTCGATGATTCGGGGCCTTTGTATGGCTGGTAAGTTTGAAGAAGCTTGCTTGATGCTAAGAGAAATGGACTCTAGAGGTTGTAATCCAAATTTTTTGGTGTATAGTACCCTAGTGGGTTACTTGAGAAATGCTGGAAAGCTTTCCAAAGCCCATTCAGTAATAAATATAATGGTAGAAAAAGGGCACTATGTACATCTACTTTCAAAAATGAGAAGATATAGGAGGTGCTAAACAAAACCATTGTAAAGTGCGGCGGAACAATTTTGTAAGATGTTATGAATGAATATCTTTAGATTATTGTTTGGTAGCTAGCCCTGCAGCATTTTCTTAGTTGCTTTCAAAAGCTCCTGTTATATCATATCAACACTCTGATACTTAACGATATTCGAAGTGGGGAAAAAGCTGTATCTTCCTTCGATTGCTCCCTTTTACATGTGCAAGTCCGGATTCTCAGTGATGTACTGAGGTAAGTATATTTAGTCATTTGTTTTAGATTCTTGCTTGTTTAGCTTCTTTATATTGAAGTGAGTGTTTCCTATGTTAAATGCAAATTTGCTATGCTTTTGCTAGCCTTGGGAAAGAGGAATACCTAGTAACAATCAAATCCAGTGATTAATTAAAAATTTGCTGCGACTTATCTTACTGATTATTGTATGTTTAGTTAGACTACATTAACTCTTTTTTTAAACAAAATCATACCATGTGAACTGATCCCTATTGCAATCCCGACACGCATGCACAGGCACTGCAAAAGAAGCGTAATATCTGGGCTGAGATGTGTGATTCAGTTTAAGGTTGAGAATTGATTGTCCTGTGTGATTCAGTTTAAGGTTGAGAATTGATTGTCCTCTGTGATTAAAACAAAAGGCAAGTGCTTTTTCTATTGTTCTCTCTTTCTCGTGTTATTTACCCTGATGACTGTGTTGATCTTTGTCCCATGTGTACTCTAGAAATGCTTGCTGATACATGTCATGTTTCTAATATTAGTTGCAAAAGTTAACGGTCAGTAACTACGTTTACTAGGAAGTTTCACTTAGATGGATTTTTTGTTTCATTCGCAGTTGTTAAATCAGAAAAATTCAAGGTATAGTTAGCTGAATCTTCTAGACATAATAATGCCTAGTAATGCAGCCATCTCAACATTGACTAAAAATACATATTCATTGGTTCTTTTAAGCATTGCTGAGTTGGGTGTCACAGTCACATTGTTGATACTTCACCTTATTTTAGCATCTGCTGGGAGTAACGGTTTTCTTTGGACCTAACTAGATTGAAACTGCAGATTAGCTGGCTGAGTAGAGATTTGGTATTTATAGTTGATTCTTCATACTTGTGTATAGATGAGTATTTTATTGCCTCTGTGGTCTGTCCTTCGCGGGAGTTCTGTAAATTAGTTGCTTTCCACTATCCGGTCGGGGATGAAGTAGGGTCCCAATCACTAAAACGGGATATTGCAGAGAATTTGATTAGAGTCCAACTTTGTACAGATTGAATAGACTTTATTTTGATACTGTAGTTCCCTAATTGAGAAAATCTGCCAACGAACATTTCTTGTGCTTCTTTCTTCGGTGATCATAAGAATCCAGTGGTTTGCACCAATGTCTAAGTTGATCAAGTGTGGAGTCTTGAGAAAGCGAATTGTGATGTTAGCACTGATTGCTGTCAGGAAGCGGAATAGACTGGTTGTGTCCATGAATTCCCTAATTTCATCATAATTTGTGAGATTTGTAGCCATGCTGGCTCTAATTTGAGCAACCTTTTCATTTTTTTGATGCTAACTTGTGTCTTGGGTGGAAAGAACAGATCCACCACAGAGAGCATTCAAGTACAAACTCTAGTTCTGATAGCTATATGTTGATGCATGCTGACATAAGATATCTTTCTGCTGCTACAATTCTTGATACTCATGGCCATGGACATATAAAGCCACGACCATTGAACATGTTACCCAAAACCTAAATGCCGTGGTGCAAAGCTGTGTGTTTTGTGATTTTATTTTTGGGGGGAAGGGGGGCAACAATCCACATTGAATGGGATTTATGGAACATTATGCTGAAATATATACTTGTTCCTTCCCCTTCCTTCCTTTAGTTACATTAGCATCTTCAAGGAATTTTTTAAGTTGGCAATGTGATGCACTATACACAACTAGCTATGTATCCGTTCACACGAGAAAAAGCTGGAAAGAAGCCAATAGGTTGAACACCCACAAAACTGAATGCAGAGAACTAAATTTGCTTTACAAGTGCGTGATTTGCTAAGAGTATTTTTTCTATTAACTTCGCAAAACAGCCCACCAACCATAGACGGAGCCATCGTTCTTCACATTATTGAACAACCATGCGCATTTTCATCGCTGAACATGGCACTAGTTCTCTCGCTGAATACAGTTGTGGCAGGGGCTTCTTGATAGTATTCATTGTCTTGTCCATTGTAGCCGGGCACGTTGTAATTATACGTAGAGAAAAACTCGTTATCGTAATCATCATAATTAGGGTCGACATAAGTAGGCTCGACGCTGTAATAGGTTTCTGGATTCACGGTGAAACGGCTTGCCGGAGGCTGGTAGAACTGATCGTAGTAGGTGTAGTTGAAAGCATGGTTTTCCGGGTGGTGTGGAAATGGCCATAACTCAGCTAGTCTTCCTGTTTTTCGCACCGTTTCCAGAACTTTTTCTTGGTCAATCCAACCTGTGACCATCACCTTCTGCATGCTCATGTCTATGTCCACATTGTCTACTCCTAATTTATCCAAATGAAGTCAGTTTCAAAGTTAGTTGACAAGTACTTAATTTAATTGTTAAGGAATTTATATAGCTTATTATTAATATCATTATTTGATATAATTGCTCAAATTACCAGAAAAAAAATAAAAGTAAGATTAAACTGCAATATTAGTTTTTCTTTTTATACATATATATATATATATATATATATGAAATTAGATACCATCAAGTTTGTGGATAGCCTTTCTGATCTTGCTTTCACAACCGGGACAATCCATGTGCACTCTCATCTCCACAATCTAAACCAAGAACCCAAAAAAAAAACAGCCAAAAGAAATTTTTCTAATTAAACCATTAAAGCAGGAAAAAAAAATGATCAATAAAATACAATTAATCATTTGGAGATCCAATCAAGTGTATCTCAATAGTTAGACGACACGAGCCTATCAAAATTCGAATTTGTGCTTTTATTTACAAAAGAAAATGATCATTTCACAACAGGAAAAAAGTTTCCACATCAAAATTTGGAGTATATATTATTCAATCTCAAAGTAGAGTTGTTCAGAAAAACAAATGATAAAATTTCAAGTAGAGGGTGGGCATGTATACGTCATGTTCTCTAAATGACACGACCATCTACACTCACATACGGAAAGTCAAAATTTAAGCCCTTGCAACTTCATCGTGATTTCAGTTTTCTGCATTCAGAAGAGCTCCCAAGGAGAAAGTTATTATTACATCTGTCCTAAAATTATTGTCCGATTTGAAATTTCACTTGTAATATAATTTGAACTAAAAATGAAAACCCAAAATGGACAATAATTATGGGACGGAAGGAGTATTTATACTAATTGTTATTCCAGTTGATAGGAAAATGTTATATATTGGGAGGCCTTACCAGCTTGATCTTTTCTTTTAACACACTACAAAATGGCAGAAAACCTTCATTCGTTATTTTATTTTATTTGTTTTAAGGTAAAAAAAAAAAGGAATAAAAAGGTAGAGGTGAATAATAACTGTATATTTTTTGGAGGGAAACCGTGTGTTTTGCAGCCATACATCTTTAACTAGCTTCTTCTTCAACAAAAAAAAAAAACCATCTTTAACTAGGGTGCACAGAAGCAAAATATGTAGATGGATTCACAACAAAGATGCGCAAAAAACAACAAAGAGAAAAGAAGTAATCATATGATATATAGAGAGAGGAGAAATTAAAATTAACTAACCGTCGTGGCAAGGGTTGAGGTTTTTTTCATCTTTCTGATTTATATTTTTTTCATCAAATTTAAAGGCTTTCTTTTCCACAAGTTGTGAAGCATCTAAACTGTAAGTTTGTGATGATGGAAAGGGCAATGAGGAAGAAGGGCTTATTTATACTAGTCTCGGAGGAGCGTATACCATATTATATTTGTATATTTTGTTTAGATTTTAGAGCATTATTATTAAGCAATAATATGCAAGTTGATGTGGGAAAGAAGGAACGATAAGATTGGATTGAATAATAATAATAATAATAATACATAAGTTAGGGCTGGCTGGGATTAGACCCACTTATTACGTACGCATACCATTTTCTTTACTCCTTAATTCTTCTTTGTATACAAGTACGTCCCTTTAAATTAATATACAGGTACGTTTTTTATTAAAAAAAAAAAAATCTTCTTGTATAGATATTGATTTACATTTGTTGAGGGGGCTTTGAGAAATTACACTGAAATTCCCACCTCAAAATAATGTAACAAGGTCCACTCCATTGCTATCTTTCATGAGCTAATTTCATCATCTTCTAATAATGCTCCAACACAATAATTCCAAGCAAAAATTTCTATATAATTTGTCATAAAGAAGGAAATAATTCTGAACCCTTTTCCATGTACCTTATCCCTTCTCGAATTATTGCTGGTGCACATATTGTCTACAATTACGGTTAAGTGTTTGGTCATTTTGGCTTCTTAATTACTGAAGGCATATATGGTTTTTTCCTGGTAATTTTCATGACAATGATCCCCTCCAATGAATTTCAAGAATATCGATCCGTCCAGAGCTATGGTACGTAATTCTGGATTTTCTTTCTCATTTTATTTTAATATTATTGTATTAGTGTAGCTTAATAAAATAGAGTATTAGTCACTGTTGTGTCGACGGTGGACACCCTACAATATAAAAAAAAAAAAATATATATATATATATATACAATATTTAAGTGGAACAATAATCGATTGACATTACTTAGTTCGTATTAATTATACGTATTTAAGGATATTTTTCTCAACTTCTCTTAGTATAGTAAATAAGTACGCAACACATAAAATTAAAAATTAAAAACAACAGTATGTCAATATCTATTATAAGGCCTCACGTCAGCTTAAATACGTATATGGATCAACGTCGCTTCGATAAATAACAATCGTCAGATCATTTTCTTATATTAATTTCCCTCGATCATAAGAAAATGACCGTACCATTTCCAGAATCTTGTAAGCAGTAAGCTATAAATATCCTGGCTTTTGTTGTGTATATAATAGGATAAGAAAATGATGCAGAAATTTCCATACGTACTTCACAGTATAAGATAGAAAATCAGTTTATCAAAGACTTCAGGGCCAAGTCTTTTAAAATGCAACATTTTGTTTACTTGACGTATATGCGTGACCTCTTTGCAAAGCCAATTAATTGGTACGTGCAATTTAATTAAGCAATCAGCAATGAATTTACCTTAGAAGTTTCATTTGCATTTCTTCCTAAAGTTGATGATGCTAGCATCAAAGTTGTAGTAAAAGAGAAGGTAGGAAGAATATACCCTTTAAGAAGGGGAAAAAAAAGATACAAATATTGGAACATGCTTTTGTTGGATATATTATTTCACAGTCACCTTAAATGTTACTCTTCCACCCCATAAAAATAGTCTAACTTCAAAAAAGTAAATCTTAAAATTAGAGTTATGAGATCATTATAACCTAAAATTGATTATTAAATTTATAAATAGTCATAAAATTTTATTTAATTTTTCATGTTAAATTTTTAATTTACAAAATTAAGTAATCTAATTTTTATATTTTAGTCTTTCAAATTGGACTATTTTTTTTTGGGACGGAGGAAGTACTAATTCTTAAAAGTTTTGAATCGATCCATAAAAAAAGGCTGTGTTAAAGACATGTCGGATTTACTATCGTCATCTGAAAATTGTTTAGTGCACAATGCATGATCCTTTTACCTTTTTACTGTCCCGAAAAACATTAATCAACTTCATTAAATTGATTTTAATTCTATCTAAGGTAGTGTTTATCTTTTCTTTGGGACAGAAGTTAAGAGTAACAGGGTCATCATTTAATTACATAAAAACATGATACTTTCTCTTGTAATTAGATCGTCTCTGAAAATACTGCATATGGTTATAATTATGGTTATAATTATACCTATTGTTTGAGCAAGGGAAAACCAATGAAGGAAAAATAGAGAAAATAAGAAGGCGGGCCTCCAGTTTCGAACTCTCGTCGTTGGGCTAGTAATGGTTTTCCCCTTTTTCCCCAAATTGAAAACGCCGTTATTTCTTTGTTGTGTAGAGTTGTAATAAACGAGTATAACAATACGGGGAAAAGATGGAATAAGGCAAAAATCTTATTCGGATCGGGTCACAAACAGCCGCCATAATAAGAGCTCTGCACCGCACTTCTTCTCTCTTTCTGGACTGGAGTCCGAACCACTCCGATAACCAGGTTTGTATAATTCGCCTGAATTCTTTTCCTGCAAATTCTCTTTTTTTAGGCGTTATTTGATTTTGATTCTGTAATTTTCCTTTGGATACTTTGGAGTTATTGGTGTCGTTATTATGCGTCAATGATTCTGTTGTTTGGGAGCGTTTTCAAACCTTTTTCAATGTAAATGAAATTAAAAAAAACCTGTATATGATGTGAAATTTTTTGGAACCGAGCTAGTTCCGTTTGAATTTTTTTTTTGAAGGTGAGGGACGAAATTTTACTGTTTATGGAGTTTAGGGCATTATGGTTGGAACTTCCTTCAGGACTAAAAAAGCGTATAAAGAAAAAACAATCGATCTTTTTGGAATCAGGAATTTAGTTTCACCTTGTTGGTTGATTATTTGTTGCAATTCTGATTATTATGAACTGATTTGTTCATCCTAAAGTACTACCCCTTTCGGGTTTTAGTTTTAATGTGTTTGAACTTTCAACAATCTTGCATAAAACTTTTCTTTGTAGAAATCAATTACTCGTGATTGGCCAATATTTACAATGCAAGCTCCACACCCTTGTCGTAGTTTGTGATTTTGTTGGTAAAGGAAGTAACATTCTAAGAAGGATCTAATCAAGTTTCATAACTGCAGTCATCATCATTCATAAAGAGGGAGATGAATAGGCAGGAGTAGGATTTGTGGCCTGTACTTTGGTCATTTGTTCTCATTACGGTTATCTTTTTAAACATGTGCGTGCTAGTTTATAGCTTAAGGGATATGGTTATTGGTTAACTCACATGTTTACTCTGTAAATTGATACGTGATAAATTAGACTGATCTTAGCAACTCTATGTATCCTTAGGAAGGCTAAAAAGGGTTTTGATAAGAGAAATGAATCTGTGAGAGTCAAGGAAAATATGGGAATTGCCACTCAGGCATTGCACCTTCGGATCTGTTAGGATTATATAAAAGGGAAAGTTCCCTGACAAAGCCTAGAATACAAAAGTGCACGGGATCATTTTGTTGCCTGAAATTCTTTGTGATAATGATATGCTTTATTGGAACATTGTTGGCAGAATCCAAGAGTAAGACCCATTGAGAATTTGATTCATCCTTGACTTTCTGAAAGCTGGTGAATTTTACTTTGTTATCTTTGTTACAATTGAGAAAGGCTAAACCTAACCTAACTAAATTTTAGAAACTCAGATTTGGAACAGGGAATCTGGAATTTAGATATTGCATTTAAAGAAAAGTCCTCCACAAAGTTAATATTGGCAACTGGAAACTTTAGCTATTGTCTGCCATTTGTTCCCGTCAGATTTTTCCAAAGGATTGATGGGATCATGCTAAAGAAGTCAATGACTTGGAGTATTTATTTCATTGCTTCCTTTAATATTTACTTTTGGCTACGGTCTTTATATGTTTGCATTACCTTCTTTTGTCTCAACTATATGGTAATGTCATTTTGTTGTTTTCTTTCATTTGTAGTTAGGTGGCAACTATGGATGCACCTAAAAACAATATAGACTCTGATTTGGGATCTGAAGTGAAGCCTCAAGTTATATACCGCTGCAAAAAATGCAGAAGAATTGTTGCATCACAAGACCACATCCAACCACATGAGCCTGGTGGAGGTCAGCAGTGTTTCAAATGGAAAAAGAGAAGCGGTGAAGTAGATTCGAAGCCAGCCGAATGTTCATCTATTTTCGTGGAGCCCATGAAGTGGATGGAATCAGGTTAGTGACTTTACTGGTATCATTCTTTTCCTCTGCTATTGTAAATGGCTTCCTTCGTTTCACATCCTCGGATCCTCATGTAATTTGTATCGATTGGCAGTACAACAGTATGGTTGTGTGGGAGACAAGATTCAGTGCATGGGTTGCAAAGCGAGGTTGGGATCCTTTAATTGGGCAGGGATGCAGTGCAACTGTGGCAAGTGGATCAATCCTGCATTTCAACTGCACAAAAGTCGTATAGATGAATGTCCATTCTGATTGAAGTGTTTGAACATTACTTTGATATTCCTCTTCAGAGTTTTCGGCTGTTCTAATCGAGTATTACTGTTATTAATCCAGTTGGGAACAGGCCCAACAGGATTTGTAGTTGAACAAGCCCAAGTTATGGGTTCAATTCCTAACTGGGCTCAAACCGACCTTAGGAATCTTCAAAACCCAACTGAATACGTAACCGGGAAATTAGATGACGAATTATTATTATTATTATTATTTTAATAATAAAAACGAGACTAACTGAACTATTATGAAAATAAATAAACGAACAAAAATATGCTTTTTTTATAGCTCTGTATTCTCTCTAGTTTTTCTCAAAGTTGTCTGATCTTCTCCAGTCCAAATGGACACGGAGATGGATGAACATGCTCAATCTGGGTTGACTGAGGAGAACCCTGCCACTAAGAAGGTTAAGAAGAGAGAGGAAGCTTTCGGAATTAGATCGGAGCCGTTCTCCTTTGAGGCTGTTGTTCTGAACTCTCAAGGTAGTGGTAAAGTGAAAGTCACAGCAAGGGAATCAGCTCACGTTAGCAAGGATGAAGTTATCTATAGTAAGAAAGATGGGATTGGTTCAGTGATGTTCCTGGATCCAGTTCATCAACAAATGAAGAAATCAATGGGATACTCTATTGTGGTCAGCCCTCTCGGCCGGACAGTGACTTACAGAGCTCTCATGGACAGATTGGATAAAATTTGGAATCTTAAGGGGGAATTCGAAGTGACCGTCAAGTTCACGGTCACTATGTGATCCGATTAGGCCTTGAGGAAGATTATAACTATGTCCTCCTTAATGGCCATGGACGATGAGTGCTAGCTGCTACCTGAGGGTGTGTCCTTGGACGCTGAAGTTCGACGCTAAATCTGATAATCTGACAGCAGTTGCGGCGTGGATCAGAATCCCAGAATTACCTCTGCAATATTTCCATGAAGCTATTCTTAGGAACATGGTAAAATCGATTGATCCGTACATTAAAGTGGATGAGAGCACCTTAGCCGGTACTAGAGGGAAATATGCTCGGATTGCCGTCCAATTGGATTTGACGGAGCGGCTAAAGGGAATGGTTGGGGTGGATGGAGCCTCATATAAGGTCGAATATGAGGATTTACCATTGATATGCTTCGCCTGTGGGAAGTATGGTCATAAGTCAGAGTCGTGTCCTACTTTCCCGGTGGATACAATGGTGGATTCAGCCGGGGCAGAAACGGGCGCTACTCAAGCAGGGGACCAGGTGAATTTACCGGTAACGAAGCCGGACCAGGTAGCTAACTCTTCCGCAATGGCGATGGTTCAGAATCAACGACCAGGAGGAGTGGGTGATTGGATGCAAGCTCCGAGGTGCTCTTGGAGGGGACCACCGAGACAATCTTCAACGGCCTCTGACAGGAAAAAAGAGGCTGGTGCTAAGGACAAAACTTTTGTGAGGAACCCCTTTGAAGCTTTGAACAGGGTTGATCAGGATGAAGGGGTGGCTCTAATGGCTTCATCTGGGCCCAAAGGTTTTGAAGCAGGCCTTGGATCAGGGAAAACTCCGAACAAAAACGGGTCATCAACGGGGAGCAAAAGAAAAAATGATAATAGAGATAAATCTTCTTGGGCTCCAAAAAAAGATTCTTCTAAGGGTAAGGCCGTAATGGTGGATAAACCTACTGTGGCCCAAAAGGCCCAAGCATCTAAGCCTGTCGGCAAGACTATTATGCAAAAGCCAAAGTCATCTACGGTTAATGCGGTTGTCAATATAGAAGGTACACAATCGGAATTAACGACCGAATCGTTTGAGAACATCTCTGATGGAGAGAAAGGCACACACACAATGGCCAAATTACCCCATCCTAACCCCAAAATTAATCCAATCACTAAAGGCAGAAGCTTGCAGAATAATGATCAAACTCCCGACCCGGTGGAAGCTGCGGCGATTCCTCCAGATTTATCCAAAGTTTTCCATGTAAAGTCCGCACTTAGAGTGAAAATAAATTTGAAGGCTCCGAACGTCGATATCATGGAATACTCAGACATGATGGTGGAGACGTTATAGCCCCAAGATACGGATGAGCGGCCTTCCGATATGGAGGGAGTGTTGCTAGCTGACAGTGACGGAGGTGAACTCCTTTGAGCCAACAGGTAAGTCCCTTAAACCTTTGTCTACTGTTTTTATGGATTATAAAGTATTATCTTGGAACTGTCAAGGGGCTTCTAGCCCATCAACTATTGCAGAAATTAAATCTTTAGTCAGAAAACACAATTTATCAATTGTTGTTCTTTTTGAAACTAAAGTTAGTGGTACGATTGCTGAAAAGACAATCAGGAAAATTGGAATGAAAAACTCCCACCGGGTTGAAGCCGTAGGCTTTTCTGGGGGAATATGGATTTTATGGAATGATACACTGTCTATTAGAATAATTGCAAATGATTGGCAATTTATCATTTTCAACGTTACTTTTCCTAACAACATATTTGCAGTTTTTACTTCTGTATATGGTAGCCTACAACCGGTTATCAGACGCCAATTGTGGATGAAACTACAGGATTTAGCAGCTGAAATTCAAGATCCTTGGTTGGTGTTTGGAGATTTCAATGCATTTACAGAGGAAAGTGATAAAATTGGTGGAAAAAATCCAACGGGTGTAAGTGGTTTAGGGAGTGGATTAAAAATTCAGAGATGACTGATTTGGGGTACTTGGGACAGAGATTCACTTGGGCAAGAAAACAGTGTCATGAACGCCTGGATAGGGTGTTGGCTAATGACGAGTGGATTGCGGCATTTAGTGACACGCTTGTGAAGCATCTAACAAGGGTGGCCTCGGACCACTCTCCTTTATTGATAAGAATGAAAGTAGGAGTTGATGTGATCCCAAATCGTAAGAGTTTCAGATATCTCGTAGCTTGGGAATCACACGAATCATGGCTACAATGGCTGAGGAAGAACTGGTGTGTTAATGAACCGCTCACTTTGGCTTTACAGAACTTGGTATGCAAGATCAATGACTGGAAGTATAACTTCTTTGGAGACTTGAATAAAAGGAAGAATAGGGTGCTTGCTAGATTAGAAGGAATTCAGAAGGTGCCACCCTTTCACTTTTTGCAGTATCTTTTAAATCTGGAGGAGGAGCTAAGAGAAGAATATGAGCGGATCATCACTCAAGAAGAACTAATTAAAGCTCAGAATGCTCGCTCAATTTGGTTGGCACAAGGAGATAAGAACTCAAGGGTATTCCACGCAGTTCATAAAGAAAAACGGATTAGGCGAAATATCCAAAAAATACAACTTGAAGATGGTTCGTGGTGTTCAGATCCTCGCAAGTTGTGCGCTGAAGCAACCAAGTATTTTGAAGAAATTTATGCGGAGGGCCGGGACCAGATAGTTCCATATCGGATTAGGGGTTATTTTCCGCCGTTAGAAGAACGGTATGTGACTCTTCTTAAACGAGAGATTCAACCAAAAGAAGTGAAGACAGCCCTATTTGAGATGCATCCTTTCAAAGCTGTGGGGTTAGACGGGTTTAATGCAAAATTTTACCAACACAATTGGGAAATAGTAGGACAAACAGTGATCAAGATGGTGTCAAAAGCCTTTGAAGAGGGAAGGGTGGATCCGGGGATTAACAAAGCTTTAGTCACCCTCATTCCAAAAATTGGTCGACCAGAAAGATTCCAACATTTTAGACCAATAAGCTTGATTAATGTCAACATGAAGCTAATCTCAAAAGTGATCGCTAACAGGTTGAAGGTTATAATGCCTCTGATCACTCTGCCTACACAGTCCAGCTTTGTATCGGGACGTAACATCATTGATAACACTGTGATAGCACAAGAAGCAATCCACTCCATGCGTACTTTATAGGGCAAGAAGGTCTGATGGCGATTAAAATTGATCTAGTTAAAGCATATGATCGTATCAAGTTGGGCTTTATCCGTGATACTTTGGAGAATGCCTGAATACCATCAAACATGAGTAGAATTATTATGAGCACATTAACTACGGGATCAACTCAGATTCTATGGAATGGTCTGGTTGGTGAGGCGTTTTGTCCTACAAGAGGGGTGAGGCAAGGGGATCCCGTGTCCCCCTACATCTTCGTGCTCTGTATGGAGAGATTGTCGCATACTATCAATCTGGAAGTGATGGCTGGGAACTGGAAACCGATGAGGTTTGGTCGGGGTAGGCAAACTCTATCCCACCTTTTCTTGCCGATGATCTCATTCTCTTTACGGAGGCTTCCCTAGAGCAAGTTCAAGTCATACAACGGGTAGTTTCAGCTTTTTGCGACTCTTCAGGTCAGACTATCAGTCATGATAAATCTGTTGTCTATGTCTCTCCTAACATAGGATGTGATGTGGCAGCTGGAATCAGTCGTATGCTGGGAGTACAGTTGGTTGATAACTTAGGTAAATACCTGGGAGTTCCAATAATTCATAGCAGAGTTACCAAGGAGCTCTATAATAAAATAGTGATGAAAGTTCAGAGTAGAGCCTCAAAGTGGAATCCCCGAAAGGTCTCTTTGGCTGGGAGAGCGACACTATGTCAATCAGTCTTAGCTGCTATACCTAATTACGTGATGCAGTCTACAGCTCTTCCGGTCGGAACTTGTAATGAGATCGATAAAGTGTGGCGAAGATTTTTGTGGACTGGGAAAGAAAATGAAAGGAGAATTAGTCTGGTTGGCTGGGATGTTGTCTATCAACCGAAGGATAGGGGAGGTCTGGGATTTCGTAAATTTAGAGAGGCAAACAATGCACTAATTCTTAAACTAGCTTGGGGTATTATAGTTGATGAAGGCAATTTCTGGAGCAATATCTTAAGAGCCAAGTATGGGATCTCAGGGGACGTTTTACCTAGATGCATCAAAAGAAGAAATTCTTCCCACTTGTGGAAACATATACCGGAAGTGTGGGAGACAGCCTTGAGGAATGTGAAATGGTCGGTGGGCAATGGTAGGAGAACTTGTTTTTGGTTGGATAATTGGACATCTATGAATGCCCACTTGATTAGTAGAGCATTATATCCTGTGCCAGATACAGAAAAAAGTAAGAAGTTAAGTGAATTTGTAGATGAAAACGGCAACTGGAAATGACTTGAGATATCACACTGGTTGCCTGAGGAAGTCATCAAGTATATAAGGGCTGTTCCTCCTCCACAAAATGCTATGGGGGAAGATAGAGTTGTGTGGAGCTCGACTGCCTCTGGTAGGTGTACTACAGCCTCTGCCTTTCAGGTCCTGTATGCTGGTAGGTGGAGTTGCAAAGAGAGGAAGTGGGAAGCAGTGTGGAAATG